TGTGGTGCCCACACAGTTTTTAGACTCAATAGTGGATCCGCTTCTACATGATGCCAGTGGGTTGTTTTGACCCAGTGTCAGAGTTGTGTTTTTCCACCACCGTGGGGTTATTCAGCTGCATTTAATGTCGAGCTAAGAGGCGATATTTTGACCTCAGTGTCACACAAAGTTACCTCCTGCTGACCCTTAAACTGCTCTTTTAAATTCAATCTTTCTGTGCCCAAAGCGATGTGTCCAGAAACAACATTTAAGAACCAAATCTATCAATAATTACTGTATAATTTATATCGAAATAGATCATTATCTCATGGTGCAAACATTTAAATTGATGCTGACATGTTTGGCCTTTGGTATATTTATTACAATCAGGGGCATGTCAGGACTTTTGGACTGAACTGACTCCCTCAGTACTCTGGCTTTATGGACTCGAGGGCCATGTGGTGTGTTCCCGTCCTCACATTACTGTGTCTCAGTTAATTAAATGCCAGAGCGTCCTGTTCTGCCCACGTTCGGGGACTCTCACTATGTTTAATTAGCGTTTCAGTGAGTTGAGTGATGTTTACTCTCTGACCCGTGTCTGGAAGGAAGAGTGAACCAGTGTCCATTTTTATCAGTAAATAGTGCAGCTGCCTGCTTCTAAACTTAATCCATAAACATATGCTCATGTTGCTGACACTGGCATTTCCTGAAGGATCCTGTAACGACAGCCAACCCTCTTACGGCAGTAAATTGTGTTAATTAATACAGTTTGTGATTCCCATCCCCCCATCATTCAGGGGCTGACATAAAACAGACGGATAGACATCCTTCTCATACACAGATCAATTTCAGGAAGAGTCGAATGCTTCAGGAAAACAAACTATCGCACATAATGATTTTAACTTTTCTGTCAATACATATGATCACAAATAATCGACCAGCCTGATCCACTGCACCACTATAGGGCTGTACGACTTTGGCCAAAAATTAAATCCAGATTTTTTTCTCTGGAAACTCGATTTTCAATTTTTTTATTCAGTGACAACTTCGCCAAACTTCACTTTCATAATAAAAAGTTTTTCTATCATCTCTCAAAAGGAAACCACTGAAAACGATGTAGTACATATGCCAAGCCAGTAAGTGGCGCTGTAACGCTGCACAGGAAATGGACAAAAGACAGAAGAAGAGTACAGAGCATGTGTAAAAAGGTTGTTTTGGTCGGACACGCTCAGGCGCCATAAAAGAGTTACTCTGTGTGTCACATGATCTTTTCCAGAGATAAAGATCGACATCCACACGGAGATGAAATGGTCGTCGTTTACAGATTTATGCACTGTCTGACCTGCTTTCAAAAAGTAACATTTACAGTCACCCCAAGGACTGTTTCTATGCCGGTAAGACAAAAAACTTGCAGCGAGGAGTGGTTTGCTCTTCGTCTGAAACTGTGAAGTCGTACCAATTCAACACGACTGACTCGCTCTTGTCCTATTCAACCAAAAAATTATCGCCTTCTTTTGCAAACGCCATGTTTGTTTACACTGATGTGTGTGGGAACTGGGGCGCGATCTGGCGAGAAGGAGGAGCCTACAGTGGCCTGGAGATGTGAGACATGATAGAGAGGAAAATAGATTTGAGGATTTTAACTTTTTTAACATTGTCATGATTAAATTATCTGATTACAATTTGAAATTAATTTATCGGGCAGCCCTACACCACTAACAATTTTTATCCACCCTTTTCATACTTAATCACAAACACTAAAAAATCTTATAGATATTTTCATCGTAAACTGCATTATTTCACCTCAAATACTAAATCTAGACTTTGTAATCAAAGGACTACTAAAAGAAAGTGTGTCCAAAATCAGAAAGTGCTGCATTCTCTTGCACAACCCACTTGATCTCTACACAGAGCCAACATCCTTTTGGGTAAATATTCCAATCAAAGCTGCAGGATTTTTGAGTGGCATCAAGGCTGGCCAATCATATCTCAAGGACAGTCCACGCCCCCTCTGGCCCCCTTCCACAACTCTGAGCATCACTGTGTTTTTACAGCTCATGCTTGAAAACAGTGTTCCTGGGTTACTTACAGCTGCACATAAATCAGAGAGGTGTCCGTTTATGAAGCTCTAAGTGGAAGTGAGCTTTAGACGACTTTGTATCGCTGCATCTATACTGCACAGAGATGAATTTTTAAGCAGGATTGATGCTCCAGCTCGTCTCTCTGCTCTCGCTCCTGCCAGAATGTCAGATGAGTCACATTTCTGGTGTAAATTTATCCTGTCAGATCTCTCAGTGCAATTAGGATGCTCAGCCGTTTGTCATAGATAAGGCTGCAGCCCGGCTCCTCTGGGCTCCACTTCACATTCGGCTTGTTAAGAAGATTAATAATAACAGTGCAGTCAAGTTTCTCAGCTCTCAACGACGCATTATTAGATTTCAGACTTGAGTCCACCTGATTTGCCCTTTCATTTGTGTTCAGTATGAACCCATTTGTTTCATATCCGTGCTGTGAAGACGCCTGTAGAGAAGAAGATGATCAACAAAATCTCGGTCTAAATCCTCTCCAGAGGCTTTAAGCTCAATGCAGTGATCCATGAATGGGGATTGAATTTAAATAAAACATGATAATGATTCACCCCCCTCCTCATTTTCCTTGTAAGCACACACTCACACACTCTGATTCAACACAAACAGGCTCAGCAAACAGATGGGCTGCCATGTTTTGTTCTGTGTTGCTCCATACTAATTGGGGGGAAGAGAAATGACATCAAAGTTTGGAAACAAGATTCGTGTGGGTGACTTACAAGACCCCAGCTGCTTTGCTGTTAACTTGTTGTTTATCTGTTGATGGAGAGACCACTTCAGAAGTCTCTCTCTGTGTCGCTCTCCACATGACATGTGATTATGATGATGATGGCATCCATCTCCTGATTTCAATTAAACAGGAACAGCTCTGGGTGGAGGTGCTATTATTTAAAAACCAAACTGTGATTAAAGAATTAGTTGTTCATTTATTCAACATGCGATATATGAAATTTTTAGAGTAGCTCTGAGCAAGGTAACACATCATTTAACATTTAATTAAGGAGCCGGGATACAAAAATCTTAATGAAAGTTAAACGTGCAGAGATCTCAGATATGCCTCTTCTATTCTTCTTCTTCTTCTTCCTCTTTTTGGTGTGAGATCAAAGAGTCAGTTCAAAGGTTTTTTGACAATCTTTGTCATTTTTTCATGCATATTTATTAAGTTCATTAACTTACTGAAATTATTTTATCCCACATATATGAAAAAGGAGGTGGGTTTTTCTCTGCACTCTCACTCAGAGCCCAGGATCTGTGTGATTTTGGTTTCAAACCAGTTGACAGTTCCCTGCAGACAGCTGGCCTCGTGACTTTACAAACACAAGGAAGTTAACCTTCTCAGCGCTCCTCTGCTGAACCAGACAGGCTTGTTTGGTCTGGGTTTGTTGTGCATCTGAAAACCTTTTCCTTTTGCAGGCAGGGCTCAGACTGAAACTTAAAACCTCATATCGCAAAAGAAACACAGATTTTGTGAAGTATGCAGCAACAAACACTCGACTGTTGACCCACATAACATCATTCAAGAACAAAGTTTGGAAATGTTGGAAGAAAAGACATTAAAGTCAAAAGTTTAACAAAATAAAGGCGTCCAAGAGTTTTTCTTTCTTTTAAATTTATTAAGATGTGTTACCCCATTACTCAGTTCACTTCATAGTAGGGGAGAGTGGGGTAAGATGAGCCATTTTTCATATTTCAGATCACTACATCAAGTCAATCATAGTTTTGTCTCTAACTCGTGTATCTGCATATATTTCAAGATGTTGTTCATCCCTGCAAACCAACAGAATGAGTGTAAACAGAACTGTCTTGATAATATAGTATGCCAAAAAAAGTGGTCTACTATGGTCAATTTCCCCCGTGTATGGGGTATCCTGTTGTTTGCAGGATAGGAGTGAAACCCAAACAGCACATTCACGAATGTAAGAGACAAACCAGACGAGATATTTTGGGAAATAAATGTACAAACATCAGAAAACAGATGAGCAGGGAAAGGACCAGAACAGATGATGAAGATCTTCTTCACATTGTTTGCAGAATGAGCGGTCCACATCAATGTCTTTTTTGTATCTACATAATTTCTAATTCGATTTGATTTTTAATCTTTTAATATTTGTATAATTAGGGAACGACTAGCTGTGATCCATCAGAGCTCCTCGACTTTGGAACGACCTGCCAGAGGAGATAAGGCGAACAGCCGAGACAGTCGCTTCTTTTAAGTCAAATTTAAAAACTCCCGTTTACAGACTTGCTTTTACGTGATGCTGTCTTTTATCTTTTCTCTCTATATTTTTTCTGTCATCTCTTATCTCTTTTACTTTTTTATCTTATTTCGGCTTTACCGTCTCATTAGCTTTTGTTGAACTTGTACTCTTTTCTTAATTAACCTTTTAGGCCTTTTATTGTTTTATCTCTTGCTCATTTCTGTTACTCTATTTTATCATTACTTTTATAATTAGGATTACCTGTTATTATTTTTTTTATCATTGTTGATATTGCCTTTTATATTTACTATCCTGTTTCTGCTTTCGTCCTCCCTTTTAATTGCATTTTGATTTTTTCTTAACTATTTTATGTATTTTTTTTTTTTTTTTTTTTGGTCCTCATGGTCTCATTTTATGTTGCATGGTTCTTGTATTGTCTGGGTTCGTTATGGCATGAAAATGGCTGAGCTTTTTGTTTTTATTTGTCTTTTTCCACGTGCTTTACGACTACATGTCAAAGCATTTTGTAAACTACTGTTTTATTTAAGGTGCTATACAAATAAAGTTATTATTATTATTATCATCATTCATATTATTATTATTATTATTATTATTATTATTATTATTATTATTATTATTATTATTATTATTATTATTATTATAACTACAGTACCGTTCATGGCCAGCTAGGGTCGCTACTATCCCTCAGCGCTACCCAGACCTCTGTGATCTCGCTCTCGCGGTACCTCCATGTGCCTCCACCACCGGCGGTGATACTTTGGAGAGGAGATGGCGGCCAGAGGGGGGTTTCAGTCGGCACCTACAGGAGGTGGTGGCGGAGCAATGGGACCCGGACCACCGGTACCGGGTGCAGGACCAGGCATGGGCCCCGGGACTCCCACGGGAAGGATGGGACCGTCGGCCGCCGCGCAGAACCACATGTACCGCTCCCCGATGCCCGGGCCCGGGTACCCGGTGAGATCTCATCGCTCCATCTTTGACGCGTTAGCCTGTCCGCGAGAACAAAGCCTCCAACCGCCGCTTTGTCACGGCGGCTAACGGGAACAGGCGCGACTAGAGCGGGCCGCAGCCCCGAACAGCCGGCTCCCCCTGAGTTAAAGAGAGCTCTAGTTAAAATAATCCAACATTTATCCTGTTAAAGTTTCCTCCAGAGTTAGTTTTCTGTTTGAATTCGCTAACCCTCCCGCCCGCTAACGTTACGGTTAGCTGGTTAGACACGGTGGCCAATTAGCTTAGCCCGCTAACGCTGCTAACCGTGTTTCATTAAGTTGATAAATAACTCCGTTAAGGGTCTCTTTGAGTGGATTTTGATACTAAGCGAGGGCTGGAGACTTTAGTTTGAGTTTTACTGTTCAGAAAAGTTTGAGTTAGCCTCACAGAGAACTAACATTAACAACCTGATCCACTTTGAATGAACAGGCTGCTGTTCATAGATGTAGTTTTACACTCATTACAGCAAAATGTCACGGCGAGACTCACAAATGCGATTAAAAAAAGGACAAATTACTCAATGAAGACAGCTTTATTTTGATACTTTGTAAATATGATGTCCGTGTGTGTGTTGTGTGTGAACTGAACCAGCAGTCACAGGCTCACCAGCTGGGTGAGACTAAGTGCAGGATAACAACAATTCTGCTAAACTTTCTGCTCATAAAATCTCATTACAATCAAGATTCATGGCCTTTGCATTAAACTCATTTAACTTCAACCGAATCATATGCAGTTTTAAGTGGTATAAAGTAGGCCTGAGCGATTTGGCAAAAAAAAAAATGATTACGATGTATTTTGTCATATCGTCTGATCTCGATTATTATCATGATTTTTTTTAACTGCCAGTTTTAAAGCATCTGTACTAAAAACTATAGAAACTAGAGATTAGTTCAACATTTTATTGACATATAAAGTTAATAACAAAGCAAATTGAGTAAGATACACTTTACCTGAACAGTACAACAGATGAAGGTAAATACTAAATAGTACAGTGATTTAGTTTACAGTCCTGAGTGTTTTTGCAGGTATGCAAGACCCAAAATCCCCCCCTCAGAGATAATGAAGACGCCTTAAAATGTAAACATAGATAGTAGATTGATTACTGCCTTGGTCTAATGGCTGCACTGCTCGTTGTGGCTAAACTGCTAATGCTACTTGTGCCATCAGCAGTGACAGGCTGTACAGACTCCGCTCACATTTTCATGTTAAAGTTAAAGATTATGAAACATTAAAGTCAGTACAAAAACATTTCAGTTATAATATTGTTAAGCCAAGTAGATAAGTTAAGGTACTAGCAGGGCTGGGTGATTCAGGAAATATTTTATCACAATATATTTTTTTCATATTAGTCGATATCACGACATAAAAAATGAAATTGAACAATACTTATTGGTAGCGTGTCTTTCGTAATACAATAAGCTACAACATCTGTGAGGTCTTTGTGTCTTTTTGATGTTTTTTCATAAGACATCACACTAGAGAAAGTGGACTGAATGGTTGGCTGTTTTCGGGGTTAAAGTGCTATGGTTGTGTGTAGCTGCTGTCTGCTACTACACAGTTGTTTCCTACTTGGTTCTAATTTAGCACATCATTAATTCAGCTCAAGCAGACCCAGAGAAACTCCCCTTTTCATTGGCTATTCGTATGGTCTACCAAAACATGGCAGAATACAGACTATCTGAAAGCATATTGACCATGTTTTATATTGATATTGAAGGAAATTAATTTTTGACAAATATATCGTTATCGTTTTATCGCCCAGCCCTAGTTACTAGTATTGCTCTTTAAGTCTTCTTGCAGACTGTTGAAGCAAATCTGATTGTAGCGGCGAAAGTTAGAAGCTTGGTAGAATTGAAGGTTTCCATCCACTTTGCTGAAACCAGGGATATTATTTCTTAAAGTCAAAGATCATGACTGAAAAAGCAAAACTGTCAAAGAGCTATACAATCTCTTTAAAATGTCATATACCCAATCCTTAAAGCCCACATCCACATGTAGTTAGTGGGCTTGATGCAGCCAATATAACACTTAAAAAAGTATATCTGAGATGTGAAGTCTGTCTTTGTTTATGTTGTTAATTAATTAAAAGAGGAGGATGTAGAATCGGGCCAACAAGCTCAGCTTTGGTTCATATACAGGTGTAGGATTGACTGATGTTACTGTTACTTTAGTCTGTTAATAGGGTAAATGGTGCCAATGACAAATGATCTCTGCATCGTAAATAAATAACAGTTGGCACTAAATCTCAAAGACACATTCTGTGCCAAAATTCAAACCGAATGACTGTGCCAAAAACCAGAATATGTTAACAGGAAAGAAACTAAAATATTGGAAAGGGGCCGCGTAAGACGAGATGAAGTCCAATTATTTTTAAAACTCTACCTGTTGGAAGACTGTTATTAAAACAGAAAAAAATTACTCCAATTTTCTTAGTGGAGGTGCTCATTATTTTTTCCATTTGGACCAACCTTCCATTGGTCATTATTTGGTCATTATTACCACAGGAAACCTGTTTTTTGGGGGGCTGTGGTGTTATTAAATTAAAAACTTGATTGTAGTTCTTGTAGTGATTGGAGTGATTACCTTTCAGGGAGCCAAAATAACCGGGTCCCAATGGAAGAGCAAAACAGGATTATTAAACCCCCCAAAAAGCCAAATTTATCCCCACTTAAAAAAAAAAGGGACGACATTGTGAAGCAAAATGGAAGATACAGGGAACTCAGAAATGCCAAGTCCATGCTTATTTATACAGTCCAAAATCACCAAACATAATTTGCCTTTGGCAGCTCCACGGTTGAAAGCATCTATTGAAATGAAGAAAAGCTCTGAGGGGGTCCAGAGGTGAAGTCTTTTGTTTGTTTTCAGTGTAAGAGAGAGAAATTTTGAAGTAGAGGACAAAAAATAAGCCAAAAAAAGAACCACTCAGGATACTACTGATGAATGAGAGATGGCTGATGAAATTTGACTGTCAAAACAGGTGACGGGTGTCCTTCTATACAACACGAGGCCAGTTTGTACGATCAAAAAGACTGTTATTTTTTAAACCAACGGAAATCAGTCCGTTTAGTAAAAAACTGCGCAAATATTTCGGCAAAATCGTTCAATTTCACAGATAAAGTGAGTGAAAATTTGTGGGTTTTGCTTCACTAAAGTATATCAAATACAACTGATAATTTGCTGTAAAATTTGTAACTAATACGACTCTATGTAACACAAAATAGTAACTATGACACTCTGGGAAGTCTTAGCTGTGAGTGTCTCAATTCTGCAGTTTGTTTCAAGTCAAAGATTCAGTGATACAGTTTTGTTCAGTCGTCCCAAAGGTACAGAGAGGAGGGGGGGGTTTAGAAACAGAATTACAAATCATTTTTGAAGGAGACATTCAGCTGCAGTGAAAGAGAGAGAGAGACGTGTTAGTGAGAACAAAGCGGTGAGATAGAGATATGATCCTGAACAATATCAATATTTTAAGATAACACAGTGACACCTCAACATAACCCTGTGAAAAAAACGTGTGAGGTATTTTTTTTCTCTGCCTGTTAGCTGTTCAGTCAAACAGAAACAGAGGAGAGGAAAATACTGGAGACAAGGTTCTAACCTGGTTGCCACCGTTTTTTTGAGTTTTGACCTCGCACCCCGATAGCTGGTAATTTGCAGCGGACTACACATTCTACACCACAAGAATAATGAGAAGTTAGAGAGCGGAGGGCAGTGTCTGTACAGGAACAGATACCACAAACTACTGTGGTGTTTCATAAATGTTAATTGAGATGGGTTCAAATTTTATGAGCGCATATTGTAAATTTTTTTTAAGGGGTTTTTAAGGCTGATGATTATTACCTCTAAAACAAATCCTGCATACGGAAACGGACTAGATCTTTGTTTGTGTGTGTGAACAGTTGTTTTTCTTTATGTAGTCTGGATAGTGTTGTACACTAGTATTGATACATTCCGATTATGTACTTTTGTTTTCTTTAAAATATCTCCTAATCCATTTTTAATTTTAGCTCACAGTTCGGGTCGATTTGTTCTTGTTTCTGAAACAGTTTGTCAGATAATGAGTTCATGAAAAAGGAAGTCTTATCACTGGAATCCTCTGCTCACATATTTGACTGACTGCTGGACAGGAAGTCATGAAAACCCTGAAAAGTTGTCTTGTGCACCCAGAGGCTGTACTGTGGTCAGATAATGTACCACTATGACTTCTCTTACATGCAGTTTTGACACTTATCTCATATGTTTTCAAAAGTCGCTTATTTAAACACGTCTCCCTGTGTGTCCTTGAAGTTTGACAACATTTATAACATAACAGTTGACTAAGCAACATTATGATGGCATAAAATTAGCATTTATATCGCTGCTGTGTGTAAACAGACAGATGTGCAGACTTTTTCATTCTTAATAATAATTATAATAATGATAATAACTTAATTTGTATAGCACTTTTAAAAAAACAGATGTTTACAAAGTGCTTTGACATGTCGTCATAGAGCACATGGAAAAAGACAAATAAAAACAAAAAGCTCATTAAAAACTGAATTAAAGGCCATTTTCATTTTTCACAAGAAACCCAGATAATACAAGAACCTTGCAACATAAAATGAGATCATGACGACCAAAATAAAACGATAAAATAGTTAAGAAAAAAGAAAAATGCAATTAAAAGGGAGGACGAAAGCAGAAACAGGATAGTAAAAATAAAAGGCAATATCAACAATGATAATAAAATAATAACAGGTAATCCTGATAATAAAAAATAATGATAAAATAGAGCAATTGAAATGAGCAAGAGATAAAACAATAAAAGGCCTAAAAGGTTAATTATGAAAAGAGTAAAAGTTTAACAAAAGCTAAAAAGACGGTAAAACCGAAATAAGATTAAAAAAAAAAGTAAAAGGGATAAGAGATAAAAGATAAAAGACAGCATCACATAAAAGCAAGTCTGTAAAAGTGAGTTTTAAATTTGACTTAAAAGAAGCTGTTCGCCTTATCTCCTCTGGCAGGTCGTTCCAAAGTCGAGGAGCTCTGATGGAGAAAGATCGATCATCTTTAGTTTTGAGTCTCGACTTTGGAACGACCAGGAGGACTGCGCTAGAGGATCTGAGGCTGCGAGTTGAACTAGTTGGAGGCAGGAGGCTGATTTCTTATTGAGACCAGGGAGGAGAAAGATACAGTATTATTATTATTATTATTATTATTATTATTATTATTATTACTATTATCGTCTTGTAAACAATACTCCGCCTTCAGCCTCAGGTGGGTTTGTTTATCCTGTTACGTCTATTTTTTTCCAGTTTCGCTCCAGTCATGTGGTGTCAACGTCCCCACACCTGTCTGCTTGTTTATGGCAAATATTCTGGAAATTTAACTGGGTGGCTGTCAGGACAAAGTCGGTGTCAAGTCAGGTTGTTTGTGCTCATATATGCTGCTCACTCCCAAAATCCTCTAGAGGTTTTTTTCATAGTCCTGTGCAGTGTTTGTTCTGTGTGAGAACAGCTTATATCCTGTGTGCTTTTCTCTGTTCCTCCAGTAATACACAGAGGCCGGTATCTTGACTTTGCTTTTGTATCATGGTGTTTAAATAGGTGTCTAGCATCCTCTTTTCACCCCTGCTAAGTGTTGAAGTTAAAATATACCTGATAATGGAGCCGGGTTTGAATTGAAAATGATTCTGTCACATCTGTGTTGAATGTCTCTGAACACAATCGATGTGAAAGCTTCATAGAGCTCATTTAATATCAACTTTTGAATCCTCTCTCCCTTTGTGAAGAAGCTCATGATCTAAAATAAAGTTGCTGTTACCAAGGATGGCATTTTTGTCTTTTAGTATTCTGAACCATGTTTAAAAGGAGGAGGCATTTATCACAGATCGTGGAGCTTGCTGCTTAGCTACAAGCGATTTGAAACATAGTTGAGTGAAAGGATGGTTGCATCTGTTTTCTCTTCAGTATCCTTGACAGCATTCACACACGCAGTCAGCCTTTCACAACTTAGTCAAAGAAGCTTCATACTCTGTATTCTGCAGAGCTCCCATTGTTCCCAGGTAAGCCAAGGTTGTACTGATGTATGGCAAGAAGAGCACTTAATGATCAACATGCAGCGGCTTACTGCCCACACTGCACCGCACGCAAAAGGCAGAGTGTATTTATCTATCTGGTATTGTTGACAAGTCGAAGTCTGTCACTCTTCCTCCCTCCACTGCAGGCAGAGGAGAGAGCACGCCTTGCCACAGCCTCTCTCAGTTGTTGGAGTGACTGCTGGAGGGGACGCGGCAATCGATAATTTGTGCTTTATCTGTTGTTTTCACCTGACCTCATGCAGTTAGATACGAGGAGTCGCCTCTTTGAGTTCTTAGCACTCGGCTTGGTGAGTTGAAAGTGGAAGTTTTGTGTGGACTTGTTGGAAAGAGTCAGTTATATAGATGATTTTAGATAGTTTAATTACATCAGGGAGTGGGTTACTGTTTTTGTTTATGTATCTTATCTTTTTTTATATAATTTTACTCTTTATAGAAACCTTACCATCATGCTGGATGATATTCTTTTCAATGACGTAAACTGTTGGTATAATTTTCCTTCTTTATCCTCAAAAGTTGTTTTGACCTTTTAATTAATTGATCTCAAAATTGCAGTTTAGTTTTACTCAAATCAGTCTGTGGGTTGTGCTTTAATCATTAAGCTTTAATTTGTCTAATTTAAGATCCTCGTTAAGCATTAATGACTAACATGATGGATTAAGTCTTTCATGTCTTGCTGTAGCTTGCAGTCGATGAATTTAGCCGGTGTTCGGTTAAAAACAGAAAAATGCTCATCAGAGGTTCATTTTTAATTGCTTCATTTATTTTAACCACCTGTCCAAACTCACAAACCTCTTATTTTCCATCATTAACGTTGTAAGAAAAGAAGCAAATCTCTGAAAAGTTACAGAGACGTTATTCTGATAAGGTTGTTAAATGGAGGCGCAGGTGTAGCTGATTTGGGAGAGCAGGCACTTGGTGTACCGAGGCCGTCGTCCTTGACTTCTCTGCACGTTTTCTGTCGAACCCTCAAGTTGTTCAATCTAATAAAGGCGTAAAGCTCCAAAAATAATCTCTTAAAATAGAATTGTTGCCAATGAATTTTCTATTGATCACTAAAACAGTTGATGATTGGAGCTCCTGCTGCTTCCAGGTGTTGCTGAGTTAAAATTTACATATTCAACATCCACACCGGTTTTCAGTTATTTTATTTTTATGATTATTCCCTCAAAGATATATATAGATATTTTAAGTGTGAATATGAAATAAGGCGTTTGACTGAAGACCTGAAAAAAAGCATCATTGCAACTCTTTAAGAAATCCCCTTCTAGGGCAGGGCGATATGTCCTCAAATCAATATCACGATATATTGATCAGTTCACCTCGATAACGATAAATGGACCATAACTACTCCACAAGCTGCTCACCCCCTCCCACATTAACTTCGTCTACTTCAGCCGCTACAACTTTTGAACCGTCCTCCATCTCCTCACCTGTCTTTCCCTCTTTGTTATGGACTGGATGGGGTGGAGTCACGTCTTTGACGTAGGACATCGTCTTAAAGGGACAGGAGACCATAGCCTACCTACACACATCCAAAACCAACTTTGATTTATTTATTTTTTTGACACCGTATACACCGACGTCGGTTATTGTCATAAATATCGGTATCAGTAAATTTTTGGCTTATACTGCATAACACAACAGTAAAATCTTTCATTCGAGAAGCTCTAACCAACAAATTTTGACCTTGTAGAAGGAATTTAGATGATCAGCCAACATTAAAAACTGTTGCTGATTTTATTTCCTATTTAACTGGAACTAGAACGAGTCTCTCCAGCGAGCTGAACTCGACCTCCTACACAAACATGTCTGAGGTATGCTGGTGCTCAGACATGAGTCCTGAGGCTGCAGAAACGGAGTACTGGTGAACCTTGTTTGACATGTACACAACTTTCTCTGCAGGTGGTTTTCTCTGAGTTGGCTCTCCAGGCATGAAACATGTCGAGCAACTTGTGAAATCCCAAACAAAGCACAGCATCTCTTCTCCAGGAGCCTTTTTTTTCTCAAACCGTTTTTTCTGCTCTCTATACAGAGACCGGGCATGCCTCCATCCAGTCGTATGACACCTCAGGGACCAGCCATGGGCCCCCCAGGGTACGGCAACAGTCCAGTGTCTCGCCCTGTGATGCCTGGCGTGATGGACCCGTCTCGCAAGAGGCCCGCCCCTCAACAGATTCAGCAGGTGCAGCAGCAGAACCGCAACCAGCAGTAAGTCTTGTGGTGAAGTGCTCCACCTCAAACAGAAGATCAGTGTGTATAAGACTAAACTTGAATTATTTGTTTTGTAGTTTAAGGAGTCCTCTTAAATGGAGGCAAAGTTTTATCAGCCTTTGAAGAACTTTAAAGTGTTTTAATGTGATCAGAAGTCTCTGTGTGTTTGATATTTAAACCCTGCAGCCGCTCTTTTAGATACACCACCATATTCCTGACAAAGCCTGCAGAGTCTTTGACTACCACCACCAAGACCATATTTAGTATCTGAATTTTGTCCCAATTAAAGAAGTACAAGCCTAAAAGTGCAGCTTTTGTCAATTAAAGACAGTTATTTATGATCTTAAATCTTTTGAAATAAAAGAGTTTTTCTGCTTAATGCAGGTGGAATCTGAAGCATTTGAAGTCATGATGGTAACCTTTTTGTTTTTTTTAGACAGCTGAGTTACTGGCACAATAATTAGATTTATTTTCCTCATTTTTCAGCTTCCTACTGTAACAGAAGATCAAGTATTTTAACCGTTGTAATTTGGTTTCAAAAAGAAAGCAGAAGGTTCTTGAATGAAAACCATTTCAGCTTTCTCCGCCTTTTTAAAATTGTGTCTCAGCTCACTCCTCGCCGTATAATTAACTTAAAATGAATTTCACGTTAAAGACTTCCTGGTTAGCCCTGAAGGAGGGGATGATAGTCCTTGTTAATGAGTTAGATAAATGCAGCCGCCGTTCTGGACCTGTGAGATCGGTCAGGGACTGAATTATTGTTATTATGTAAATGCAGCATCACTATGTGCTGACCCACGCTCAAACTTATCTTGTTTTTCGTTAATTTGTTTTCCCAGCACAAAGAAGAAGAAGATGGCTGATAAAATTCTACCTCAGAGGGTGAGTGTTAATCAAACAGCAGGAAATCCATTAATTCAGGCCTCTATTCTATTGAAGTGATTGCATTCGCCTGTCTGTTTGAATTTTAATTCTGGTGGCTCCAAACAAAGCTGAGCTCTTCCGTATTAAAAGGGCAAAGACGAGGTGTTTGAGATTACCTACCTGACATTTTTAGGGGGTTTACTCAGGCCCCTCGCGGTGATGTCCACGGTGAACTGACTAAATGGACCTAAAAGAAACTAAATCTTTTTATAGGGCCCTTTGTTTAGTCCCAACCAAAATGAGAGGTGTGAAACCTCCCCAGGACCTTGGTCCGGACCAAACAGCCGACCGAGGTCTGACCAAAAGAGGTGGTCTCGGTCCGGACCAAACTGAACCACGGTCTGGTTCATGCCCAGTGTGAAAACATTATTCTGAAAGGTTCAGACCTTCGTACCAAAGACAGGAAATAAGTTAAATAGAGATTGTCGGGAAACATTATAATATTAAGGATAAAGTTATGATGATTGACAGCTTACTTTTCAAGAGTTTTACTACACATACTGTAATTTTCACACTATAAGGCGCACTTAAAATCCTTTTGGCTTGTCGGAGCACTGCAGCTACCGTAGCCTCGCAGTGTTATGGAATGAGTTAAATAAAGTTTGACTTATCTGAGTGTTTTGTTTGGCTTAATGCGCTTTATAATCCGGTGCGCCTTATAGTGGGAAAAATACGGTACTCTTCTCCTAAGCCGGTGTTGCAATGACTCGCAGGATCACATCTTTTCTTTTCCTTTTCTCTCGATTAAGTTTTGGTCTGATTGATCAAATTCATGAGACTTCCTCGGACCAGCCTCATGTTCAGCTCTTCAAGTTGTCGCTGTTGGAGGAAGAAAATCAAAAATAGTACGATGATGGGAATGATGGTTTCATTCTTGTTTAAACCATTCAAGACCCGCGTCATTCAACGTGTTGACGTCAGACGCCCGCCGGCCAAATGACCGATCAATGTAAACTACAGAGCACATAGCTGATGACGGTCAACTATCATGTAGGTTCGTCATGTAAAGTCCGTTAGTCTGTTTGCAAATATGACAGAGTGAAACTTAAACAGACTGAACCAAATGTAGACAATGTAACAAAAACACAGACCTTGGTTCGAACCTTGGTCCGGACTTTCAGGTGTGAAAACAGCCTCAGAAGAGACAATGGGTCACCTAAGTGTGACTGAATAGAGATGAATTTAAAAACCTGTAGTGGGTTCTCCTGAATGTGTCCTGTTGTAAATGTTTATCTCCAGTCTAACGCGTCTTTTTATGTTCACTAGATCAGGGAACTGGTCCCAGAGTCTCAGGCTTACATGGATCTGCTGGCTTTTGAGAGGAAGCTGGACCAGACCATCATGCGCAAGAGGCTGGACATTCAGGAAGCCCTCAAGAGGCCAATAAAGGTGAGTCTTTGTTTCAGTCTGAAGCAGCTCCATGAAAAATCGCACACGTTTGGGTTTTAAAGTAAGATATTGATCCTTCTTTGTTTTTATCTCCATAGAAATTAAATATTGATGGCTGCTCTGGAGAGAAGTTTCATTCATCAGTCGCCGCTAACGCTTTAAAGTGACAGCCAATCTATCTGATGTTTGATATTTCATATAAATTTAATCTTCTAGGTGTCCAAATTGCTTAAACGTTGAAATAGATGTCATCATGAATACAGGCTCAAACTGTCACTGTGGAGTTTTCTAATTTTTTCCTTCAGTAAATTTAATTTCATCCAGTGAAACAGAACCAGAGTCATTTCTGTGAGAAGTTAAGCACATCGATTTTCCAGTTTCTCTTGACCGACTTTTTATTTTATTTTATCCAGCAAAAGAGAAAGCTTCGGATCTTCATATCAAACACCTTCAACCCCGCAAAGCCTGATGCTGAGGATGGAGAAGGCACTGTGGCATCATGGGAACTTCGAGTTGAGGGGCGTCTGCTTGAAGATGTAAAGAAATTCTTTTTATATTCGAACCACAGATTAGATATTTCTGATGTTTGTGGTTTTAGAGCAGCATAATCAGCTTTTTAACACTTGAACTCTTTGAGCCACAATTATGAACTCTTGGATCTATTCATTGTCTTTATTCTTCACAAATATTCACAGGAGTGTAATTGTCTTTACAGACTGCTGTGTCAAAGTATGAAGCTACCAAACAGAAGAGGAAGTTCTCCTCTTTCTTCAAGTCTCTGGTCATTGAGCTCGACAAAGACCTGTACGGCCCAGATAATCACCTTGTGGAGGTAAGATCATCGTTTATTTTTACGTACCAGAACATTGTTGTTGGGGCTGTCAACGAAATTGAGATTCAAATGTGAAAGTTAATATTCGAATATTAAAAAGACTGAGTGGGGAAAGAAAAGAAAAACGAAAAGAAACAGCGGCTGCTTTGCGAGTGAGCGCACTGTCACGACAGGTCAGGGACAGGTCACAGGAGCTGCACCTGCAGTGAGACTCTGCAATGGCGGGAACTTTAGAAGGTGTCTTTGGAAATTCTTCGTATTTTGTGCGGACACAGTCGACGTAAAAAATGCTGAGCTAGATCAAGTTATATGCTAGCTATGTTGACAGATGTTCAAACTAAAGTAAAATTTAAAAAATACCCAAACAAGTAGTTATGTCTTGTTTGTTTGTTTGTTTGTTTGTCCTCCAGTTGGCATGAGGCGCAAAAATAGATTTTTGAAAATGTTTGAACCTTTGTGTTATTTTTAGAAAAAATATTTGTTATATTTTGTTAAACATTTTCTGAAAATAACTCCACCTGTCCTGTCTTCGGTATTTTTAAAGATTTTTCTTTTTTCCTCAACAAGAGAAACGGCTGCTTCTTTCTGTCTTTTTCTTTAATTTAAAATAAATCATTTTTCATTGTTTAACAAACTGTTGGGAATTTAGATCAGAAACAGGTTTGAATTGACTTGTTTAATTTCCAAGGATAATGTCTGCAGTTCAACTGTTTTTCATAATCGCTCTGAACTCTCAGCTTTAGGGACCAGGAGAGTTAACAGGATTTTGTTACAGAAAGGCAAAAAAAAAATTAGTTACTATTTAATCAATTAAACTTTTTTGAGTTTTTAAACCTGTGATGCTATTTTACTGTAACTTAAATCTGACTCTTATTTAAAACTCCTCTCCGTCTTCTTAGTGGCACAGAACCGCCACCACCCAGGAGACTGATGGTTTCCAGGTGAAGAGGCCCGGTGATGTGGGGGTCCGCTGCACCGTCCTGCTGATGCTCGACTACCAGGTAAATGTTGAAGGCTTCACACTTGGTTCACAAAGTGTTATATGAAGATATTTACTCAGCCAGCCTCTCAGTGGGATGGTATAAAGGTCATTGAAACCCCTAAATCCAATAAGCCATTGTTTTTATTTGCTTCCTGTTCCGTCACTCACCTTTCTGTTATTCCAAACAGCCCCCTCAGTTCAAGCTGGACCCTCGGCTGGCTCGTATGCTGGGCATCCACACCCAGACCAGACCGGTCATCATTCAGGCCCTGTGGCAGTACGTCAAGACCCACAAACTTCAAGACCCCCATGAGCGCGAGTTCATCAACTGTGACAAATACCTGCAGCAAGTGAGTCGAGTCTATAAATCACATGAAACCTCAGCGCTGCGGTTTGTTCTCAGTTAACGCCTCTGTGTTTTTTTACACCTGATGGGAAAAAAAGCGTCTTTGCTTTTTGTCGTGATTAACGGTTCGATGATCTTGATGCTGCACAGTCTGTTTTTCCTGCCCTTCCCTCTCTCTCCTTCTAAGGAGACCGTTGCTCATTCTGAGTCTGACTGCTTTCCAAGTGTCTTCTCTTTGACGCTGCGAAGATAAACAAAAGGGTTGACGATGAATTCCTGCAAAGTGAACATAATCTCACTTGTAAACTAGCAGTGGCTTGAAACACTAACAGAGACTGCCTGTGGAAAAAAAGGGGATTGGTCATTAATTTGAGGCTCAGTTTGTTTTATTCTCTTACATCCACACCTGATTAATAACCACAGCTGACTTTAGCCGAGCAGAAAGACAAACACAAGAGAGAGAGAGAGCAGAGCGTGCGGCGTTAGTTTGTACTTCAAACCTGCTTCAATAGAAATTAAAAAGGAGCAGAAACACAAAATGACAAATAACCATCGAGAATATTTAGCACGTGCATTTTTCCTCTTTTTCTATCAATGTCTTCGTCAACAAACATGCCAACTTTTATTCCTTTTTTCTTTACAGAGACAGTCAAACTTTTTCAGACTGAGTTTGAGATCTGTTTGTTTTTATTTCACAGATATTTGAGACTCAGAGAATGAAGTTCTCCGAGATCCCTCAGCGCCTGCATGCACTCCTGATGCCCCCAGAGCCCATCATCATCAACCATGTCATCAGGTAAACAAACTCTAAAAAATGAGCCTCCTCCCGTCTCTGGGTAGAGTTTTCAATAATAAGAGTGTACGGCTCAGTTCATGTCGTATTAAAGTTCAGAATATCTCATTTTTTACACCGCCTAAGTATTTTAATGACGGAGGAAAACCAACTAAACATCCTGTCACTGCTCTCTAGTGTGGACCCCAATGACCAAAAGAAGACTGCATGTTATGACATCGATGTGGAGGTGGACGACACACTGAAGACTCAGATGAACTCCTTCCTGCTCTCCACAGCTAGTCAGCAGGAAATAGCAGGTCTGGATAACAAGGTGAGACCCGACCTCCTCCCTCCTCGTCTGTGTTTCTTTGTATGTTTGCACAGTTCCTTTAACTACCAAATAAACTCTAAATTAACTCAAATATTAGAGATATAATCTAAAATTGAGATTACAGAGTTTACAGTGAACACATAAAAAGCTCTAATAACTTCTTTCTCCCTCCTGCAGAGCAGTTTTCTCCCTGATAAATGCCACAGTAACAAAGGAATTGTTCTTTTCTGTTAATGTGTGTGATTAAGTCGTTACAAACGGCACCGTCGTCCCGGTGATTTACTCCCTCTGCTGCAGCAGCTCTTTAAAGGCCACTTTAAGCACACCAAGTTTTCATTCTGAATGGGCAGCTTTTCTCCATTGTGTCTCTTTTCCTTTGAGTTACAGTCCGCTCTTTCTTTCCCCGTTTTGTTCACCTGCTGAGAGCCATTTCACACATTTCTGCTCCCTCCGTTCGTAGCCTCTGTCCCCGAGTCTTTTCTCCAGTTTTGATGTCAGCGAGGTTTTCTTGACCTCCCGCTAACAGACGCTACCTTGACTGGGATGGCTGTAATCACTCCGATAAGACAGTAAGGCGCCCAGCTGTGTCGTCTTTGTCCTCAGACGAGTCAACATTAGAGGGAAAAAAAGAGGTCTTTGTTTATCGCTTATGGGCCCCACTGGTGTTGTTGCTGTAACACTTACTGATACACACAGGGTTCCTGCTGATCTGATATCACTAACCGTTAGATTTAGAGCCCTGGGGAGAGAGCAGATCAGATTCATGCAGGCCGGGGACAGATCAGACATTCCCATGACACTCAGACACACAGTTGATACATTTAACCGAGACATAACAACCTGCTGTGTCCTTGTGTCATGAGATGATGGGAAGACACAACCCCAGAAGAGTGTGTCACATTTTGTGGTGGACAAAAAGAACTTTCTCCGGAGCTCAAATGTGTCTAACCAAGATTACAGTCTACAGCCTGGAGGACATTTCTAGGATCCTTGAGTCGGTGGAGCAACAGGCCGTTCAGCTGAGCATGACAGCTCTCTAATTTCTGCAGTGATTTTTTATTTTTTTTTGTCTTATGAAATGTCATCTCGCTGAAAAGGTTTGATTAATCACAGCTCGTCTTTCTTTTTAATTGGAAAGAAACCTGATCGTACTCTGCAGTCTCCGTTCGTCTCCTTCATCTTATTGACTGAAAAATAATTAAAGCAGATAAACTCTGCTCTGTAATGAATTTAACATCAAACACACTCCAAAAGCAGAAGCATCAAATGTCCCCGGTGATTTCTTATAAATAAACAAAAGCCGGTCACATTAAATATAACTCATTAAAGTGCATTTTAAATTCCTTTTCCTCCTCGTCGAAGATTACGCAAACACTCATCTGTGTGACAGCTCCAGACCGTTAAAGGTTGGTCCTCTCACCAAAAACACTAAAAAAGAAGTGGATATGAATATTATATGAGAGGAAATAAGTTCAGCTTAGAGGACGGTTCAAAGCTGCTGCTGATAAATAAATTTAAGATGTTCGATGAAGTGAAACCGGATGAAAACTTAATAAGTTTGTGTTCTTTTAAAGTTCTTAAAGGTCAAACCTCAGAAGTATTATTTGTAGTGATGCACCGACTGGAAAAATCTGAGCCGATATCCGTGTTTTTTTGTTCTTTTTTGTAAACATTTTTTTTTGTTGCTTACTTCATTTTTTAAATTATTAATTACGTTACCTTAATTGAAAATTTACTTTAATAAAAACATAAAATTAAGAGAGCACCGACTCAATAATACAAATAAACAGTGCAACCTTTTATTAAATGTTCTTTCACATGAAATATTATACTGGAAATTACAAAAACAGCTTTGAAAGCCTCTGACAGTCACCCCTGGTAAGGTTGTGTATAACGGGACTCTATACAGGCGACTCCATCAGGCTTCGAAAACCCACAGCAGAGAGGGTCTGGTCATCTAAGGTGATAAACTCCATCTCTTTGGTTGTAATTTCCTTCGCCTTGGTGCTGTCAGTGGAAAGTTTTCTACCCTGATGAAATGTTGTGGTTTTCTTCCTCTGAGTCTTGTAAGCGGTTTGTGTTCAGGTCAACTCTGCGCTGATTCTCAGCTCTTAAGAAAACTGCTCAGTGTCTGTTTTATTAAATGACTTTTGCTCTTAGTCCCTCCTCTTGAAATTTCACAGGAAAATTTCTCCCAAACTGCATGTCACTGCCGTATTTTTCCCACTATAAGGCGCACCATCAACAAACGCGTCTATTCTCGTCTATTATCATACATTAAGGCGCACCGGATTATAAAGCGCATTAAACCAAACAAAACAGTCAGATAAGTCAAACTGTATTTAAGTCATTCAATAACTCAGCGAGGCTATGGTAGCTGCAGAGCTCCAACAAGACAAAAGGATTTTAAGTGCGCCTTATAGTGCGAAAAATACGGTAGTCTTTTTCTGGAGATCGTGTAAAAATCCCTCACACGTTGTACTCAGACGTCACGCTGGTATCTGACTAACATGTGACTCCTTCTGCCCAATGAAAAATGTGTTAACCTTATTAGCAGTAGCTGTACTAAAGGTTGATGAGTAAACATACACATCGACTACTGCCATCGGCACATTCCACTTTTATTCACAGATGGGCCGATGTCCGTCAACAGCGCAGACATCGGCCCATACCGATGTGCTTCCCTAATTATTTGTTTTGTGTTCGTTTTTGGGCCTCCTGTGGACTAAGATGTATTCTTCATGTTCAGACTGACAGTAAATCCAAATGTAAATCTCCACGAGTCTCTGTTGTGGGAAATGTAAAGTAGGTGTTATGGCTGCTAGTGTTGATAAATTTGTGTCATCTAACCAGCTCAGCGATTATCGATAGTGAAAATCATCTCGCTGATGGTCTTGTTTGCTCGTAAAGGTGCATCAATCTGTTTCACACGCGGCTAAATCTCCTCTCTGGATCTCTTGCAGCAGTTTTAGGACACTGGGCCGTTCTCCGATCCAGCAGGCAGTACAACAGCGCTCATACGTCTCTTTGATTTCCCCTCAGATTCATGAAACCATCGAGACCATCAACCAGCTGAAGACTCAGAGAGAGTTCATGCTGAGCTTCGCCAGAGATCCTCAGGGCTTTATCAACGACTGGCTGCAGTCCCAGTGCAGAGACCTCAAGGTGAGTTTATCCATCATGACCTCGAGCCCGATGATCAAGGAAAGAGACGCACTTTTATCTCTTATCCAATAAACTTCAGACAGAAACTTACTTATCCACATTTTACTGATGATTGCTGGAACTGGCCGTCTCATAGTCTGACATTTGTATCTGTATCTCCTCTTTCCACTCTTAAACTTATTTTAAAAAAGAAGTATCATATTTAGGATTTTGGTTTTCTGAATCAAATTTAATTTCAGTGACAAAAAGAAAAACACTGGAGAGAATGACATGCAGGAAATGATTTGTAGCTCGAGTAAATAACTCTCTTGTCAAACAGGCGTCTCGGTGATGACAGGTATTACACCTCGTGTCAAAAAACTAAACAGAAATTTCCCGTACGTCGTTTTTCGAGCTGAGAAAATCCTCCGGGTCATGTTTGAGGTTAATTTTTAATCCACGCTGTAGAGAGGTGACCGAGTGTCAGCTGCGGCGAGAGATGACTTCATTTATTCAGTCCGCGAACATCACGCTCTGTCATAACAGCAAACTCGCGCTGCTCACCGAGGCGTATCACTGAAGGGCACAGACAGACGACTGTGTGAAACATTTAATGAACATGTCTGACCGGCTGCACGGCTCGCTCATGAACTGCTGACCAGCTGTCACCACCTGCAGTGTTCACTCGGCCGCGTCGCTCTAAAATTGAATTAATCCGGTCCGAAGCTCGCCGAATGCTTCAACAGCAACCTTATCAACAAAACCCTCCAACACTCTTTGTCACAGCTGCTGTCAGAGTTGGATTTCTGCCCTTCGACTAATGCTTTTTTTATCAATACAGACTTCTGTGCTGTTTCATGTCCCAACTTTGCATCTGTCTCTGTTTTCAGACCATGACCGACGTGGTTGGAAACCCAGAAGAGGAGCGGAGAGCAGAGTTTTACTACCAGCCGTGGGCTCAGGAGGCCGTCTGTCGCTACTTCTACTCCAAGGTAATCTTTTTTACCCCTTCACTGTTTGCTTTCTGCTTCACTGGATCGGCTTTGTTTTGAGCCGTGCTGGTGGCAAAGTTCTGCCAAAGTCGCCCAAACTTGGATGAGACGACTGCAGAGAAGCAAAGTTTCTTCTGGTGGTTAATTTTGGCACACAAGATGTGGCCGTGTCAAACTTTAGCCAACTCTGAAGTGACAGAAACAACAAAAGTTAGGGCTGGGCGATATGGCCTCAAATCAATATTACAATACTGTAGTTAATGAATTCTCTATTGATCACTTAACCCATTAAGACCTGAACCCTGTCTGAGACACGCCTCTGAAATCCTGAGGGCTCTTTGTTACGGACTGGATGGGGTGTAGTCACGTCTCTGACATAGGACAGCGTCTTAAAGGGACATGAGACCATAGCCTACCTACACACATCCAAAATTAACTTTTTATTTATTTATTTTTTTGACACAAAATATATTGATATGGGCGAAATTACGTTAGTTATTGTCGTAAATTTCAGTATCGGTAAATTTCTGCTTTATCGCCCAGCCCTACAAAAAGTATAGCTTGACAGAGTTAGAATGGATGGTGCTGAGACATTTTACTCTAGATTTTCACAGCAGTCGTATCTTTCCTGATTGCATGTTGATCATTAAACCTGATTGGTCGTCTGTCTCTGAGTGAACCCTCTCTTGTGTAAACGTTTTCCAGGTCCAGCAGAGGCGACAGGAGCTGGAGCAGGCGCTCGGCATCAGGAACACCTAAACGGAGTCTGTCCACAGGCGACGACGAATAAGAAGACGACGACGACTAATGTGTGTGTGCGTGTGTGGGATGTTCAAAGTCAATTCCCTGCAGAATTTTCCGACAACCTTACAGAGATAGAAACTAGATGGATTTACTGTTATATAGGATGTCTGTTTTTTTAATTAATTTCACCCTGCAGCCTCGCCGGTTGCCATTTCCACTTAAGTTTGTATGATTTGTGGTTGCACAGCTCCTTGTTTCATGTCGAGCATGTACTCCAGCCTCACCTGAAAGCATTCCTGTCGTTTTGATTCGTGCGTCCACACAAAAACGCAGATTGAACACGAATGAAAAAGCGGAGAGGAGATTGTACCTGGCAACCCATAAACCAGCTGGAGTGTGTTGATTTTGCCTTGAGCTTTTGTTCCTCTCTTTGGTAAGTTTTTTTTTTACACTCCTTACCCATTCTGTTAGATTTTGTTTTCTTTTTGTAACCAATCAGACTTCTTCTTCTCCTCCTGAATTGCTAAAGTGTCAATTTGCGTTAAATTCACCTTCGATGGTTTGTGCCATGGTGATGTACAAGAGATGTTTGGAGAGCTCGGTCATGAAAAACTACATCTTTTATTGACGGTGGCATTTGGTATGAAGTTCAGTCTTTTTTTTTTTCTTTTTTTTTTATTATAAATGGTTCTCGTTTAAAAATATGTATTATATCAGTACTTGTCTTGTTAGCTAGTACAGATTATCAAGGAAGTAGCTAGTCTGAGTACCTCTAGTCTATATAGTTTTGTAAATACTGAGCAGAAATAAACTGAAGATGGATGTGAAGTGAAATTGTATCTCTTATCCTGGCAGATGTTTTTCTGAACTCTTTGTCTATGCTCAGATAGTTGAAGCAGTATTTATATTATTAATCAGCCCTCTTTGCCAGAGCACAGTGGTTTAGCTCTCTGTAACACAAAGACGGTGTCACGACATTTGACAAACCAGCTGATCGACAGGGACCGAAGTGTCCGCAGCGTTTATGTACCTGCGAGCTGGACAAAGATTAACCCTCTGCTTTTGGTTTTGTGTATTTCACGTGTGCAGAGAAGCCATAAACACTTGAACGAGCTCTGTCTTATTCGCTACACCGGCTGAAAACCGGACACGTCTTTTTTTAAGTTTGACGGCTGTTTCCCTGTCTAAGTTAAAGAGGAGTGTCCGGACTGAAACTTCAGCGTGTGTGCATTTCAATAACTGATTCCAAGAATACACTAATGTGGGTTTGAAAGGGGATGAGATTTGAAACCAGTGATGGGAACGTTTAAGTGTGGAAAATGACACTGAGGGAGGGAGGGAGGGAGGGGATGCTGTAGTTTTATTTCAATCTGCAGACTTTTTCATGGACCAAACCTATTTTTCTGTATGTTCCTATGTTATAATAAAGGATATGTAAAATGGACTCTTGTCTGTGGTATTGTGCTTATTTCATCTCTTAGGTTTTTTTGTCTGAACTTGGTTGCTTTATACGGAAGCGTATTGTATTTACTAAAAAAAAGCTTTGTTTTTCTGAGTATTTTTAGTATTCTGTTCTTTGGACTATTTTTTTCTGGTTTTTGGACTAATTCTTTTTTCTTTTCTGTTTTTTAGAATATTGTTAGCCCTGTTTTTTTTAAATTGATTTATCTGTTTTAAGACTGTTTTCCCCATTCTCTGGGATCATGATCATTAAAAACCACACGCCTTCATCCCCACTCGAAAACGGAAAGAGAAAAAATTTATTTTAAAAAACAGAAGAAAAAAATTGTTCAAAAAAACAATAGAAATTTGTTTGAAAAACAAAGAGGAGAAAAAATAGTACAAAAACAAAAAAAAGTACAAAAAAACTACAAATTTGAAAAGAGAAAAAAAATTCATACAAAAAAAACAAAAAAATGGTACATAAAAAAAACAAAAATTTGTTTAAAAATCAAGAAAAAAAGTACAAAAAAACAAAAATTGTTTGAAAAAAAACAAAGGGGAAAAAATTTTGCGCAAAAACCAGAAGGAAAAAATAATTAAAAAGTTTCCTTTTTTTTCTCGTAAGTCAATGTAATACAATGTAATAAGTAGTTTTGATCATTTTTAAATAAATATCCAAAAATGGAAAGGAGTATTTTTGCAAAAATACCAGTTATAAGTATAATACTGTGGAGACAGTCTGTCCTTTCTTTTGTCCTTAAACATGCTTTTTAGTAATGTCTGAGGAGGAAAATACTCGTCCTGCTGACTGAAGCAGTGAAATTTATTCTTTGTTATGAATATTTTATGTGGAAATTGTAAAAAGAAAAGTTTCTTCAGCTGCTCAGTTGACACCAACACCCTCACACCGGTTTCGGACACTAAAACTTACAATATAAAAGACATCAATCATGTTGCTGATGGTCTTGTTTGCTTTTTTTTATGATAAAAATAATTATTATGATAAAAAAGCTTTAGTATGACAGTATATTTTGTGCATGTCAAGAAATCTCTTCACAGGAGCTTTAAAGTAAACAAAATCTCGATTTAATGGTAGTAACAACAACCACTGAAATGTTGAAGGTCCATCTTTAACAAAATAGTATGAAATAAAAATAGACTTGATGGCAAAGTCTCCAAAAGTTGTATTTTACCATAGTAAGTGGAAAAATATGAGATTTCAAATGGTACAAATAAAGCTAACTGGTCATTTAAAGCTCCTGTGAAGAGTTTTTACTGGTCATGAATCAGACTGAAACTAACAATGGTGGCCTATAACAAGGCTTGTCCACAAGGGGCGCCAAAGCAGGCAAACAGAATGTTTTTCACAGGAGCTTTAATTTGATGTTGACTGATTTTCTATCAGAAACTTGCTCCTGATCAATTGGAGGGTCAATTTTTTTCCTCTTCTTTTCCTTTCAGTGAACTTCATTATTTGGAGGCAGTTTTCTCATTTCACTGATCAAGTTAACTTTTATAATTCTTCATTTATGCGTCAAGTTTGTTCAGTTTCTCTCCAGAGACAGACTCACCAGTTTAAAACATCACTGTGTAAACTCTCCTCTAAGTGTTATTTAGTGTGTGTGTGTGTGTGTGTCCATGAGTTAGTAAGGAGGAGAGAGAGTGTTTCCCTGAGAGGCGGTGGAGCAGACCAACCAGCAGCAGGGGGTGTGCCGGAGCCTCTGCTCCCAGTCCGGTATAAATACCTTCTTTCCCGTCTTCAGGCTGTCTTCACACCGGCAGCAGCAGCAGCTCCTTCTGGAAGGTCAGACCCACGATGGCACCCAAGAAAGTCTGTGTGATTGGCTCTGGTAACTGGTGAGTTTGACATACTCTGTAGATAAAAATGAACTTTATTTGTCTGTATGCATCAGTTTAACTTTTGAACAGAGAGGCATGTCAGTGCTGAGGTTAGAGTCACTGCATTAGATATTAGATGTCACATATATTTAAAGGTCCTGTGTGAATGCTGCTGAGAAGTTTGAAGGAACCAGGCACCTTTAGCTTTTGTAAAGAGCTGATAAATAAACCACAGGGTTGATAAAGCTGTTGTGAAAGACTGCAGACTGGATTCAGCTCTGCAGTGTTTGTGAAAGTCTTCTAGTTTGTGTAAACTTCTAGTGCCCCAAAGTAGTCACACACTCAATCTTGACTATAGAAGCAGCTCCTGTCCTTTATGATCAGCTGTTTCAGTGCTGAGTCAGCCCTTAGGGGGTGTTTGTATCTCTGAACCAGCGTGATATTTACATTAGATGAATAATTCAGATGTTCATTGTAGCAACATCAGGTCATGGAGGAAACTTTGTTAGAAGTTTTGCCTGGTTGTGTTTATCAGAATGTACAGTTTTTATTCCTGCTGCTTTAACAAACTCGCAGCATTTAACACTGTCGCCCGTTTGAGCAAAGTTCTGTCAAATCAGGTCTGTTTGATTTGGTTTAAGCTTAGTTTAAGTCATTTTTATTTGAGATGTATTAATTTTTTTTCATTCAACCAGGATAGACAGCTGCACAGTTTACAGAGTTCCTGACAGATGAACAGCAGCCATACATACGATGAAATATGTGACATATTAGAAGAAAACAGATCATGCTTTGAGAACATGGCAACCTCCTAAAAGCTGTCAAATAGCCGTTTGTACCTGATAACAACCAAGAGGTGTTAGGTTATATCAGTTTACTAGCCCGTCTAACTCATACATGAACACAAATGTCAGCCTCATATCCACCTCTCTTATCCCTCCATGTGGGATTATAATAAGCTGTCTTGAAATGAGATCCGTCTATTGCTCGATAATATTCTGTCAGTATCCTGCTCTCACCTGTGGGGTTATTCTTGTCTGCCAGAGTAATGTAGGTCACCAAATTTCTTCCCCAGAGCCCAGACTAAACAAGGTTTAAGTGTCGCAGGTCGTTCTGTGTCAAGCAAACACTGAGATCAGTGTCAGTGGGCGAACAGTAATTAAAAACAAATGTTATAGATGTAGAATTAGAGTTTATGACAATGCTGGGAGAAGTTTGTAGGTATTGCAGGAGTTAAAGTTACAACGCTCTGTTTTAAGAATGAGTCCGACTTTCATATGTTAGAAAATTAGCATCTAAATTAGGGAAAAGTACTCATCCGAACTAACCTTTAAATTACAAATCTTAACTATAGTGAATTCACTTCTAAACATGACTTACAGATGAGCTGTAAACTGTGTTTGTTTACATGTGAGGTACTTAGTTATATCATAGACTGTATCTAGAATGGACGCCGTCTGCCTCCTCGCTGGGTGAAGCCACTCCGAGAACAGCACCCTCTGCTGACGGGCTGCAGTATAGGTCATAAATCCCGCCTCCTCCAGCAATCCCTATGGAGCTGTGGACAAACTCCATAAATGAATGACATAGAATATATATGTGTTTCCCCTTGGTTGCAATGTTGACATGTAGTTACTGTCAGACTGGTTTGTGCTCAAGTCCTCTTTTTTTTTAAAGTTATTAGGGGGTTCATGTTTTCTATGATTGACACTTGATACAGCCTATGGACGTACAAAGATTGTGTAGCTCACCCAAGGGAACAGCTGTTTGAGCCGAGCGTCATCACAGCGACTCTCCTGCTCAATGCATACAACGCTACTGCGCAAGAGGTCGTTCCAGGAAGCGGAGAAAATCCCAGAAATAACGAGAGTGTTTCAGCTTCAAATTCAGTTAATGACAGAAGGCGGAGCTAAGTTGTCCATAATATATACAGTCTATGAGTTACAGCCTCTATGAACCAAATGCAGTGTTTATAGAATATTATCTTATAAACATGTAGGGAGTTTTTACCTGAAAAAACATGAATTAAAAGTTCAAGTCCCTAAATAAGGTATTTTTACGTTGATGCACTCATCTGCTCACACAGTCCAGACACATTTTATCTGCAAACTAAGAACTGAGACTCTCAACACATCACTGTACACGAGGCAGCAGAAGATATCTGGTTTATTCTTGGACACTGTCAGTTGATCCGTCCAGTGTCTTCTTGGCACCAGGATGATCATTGTGTGTCTCCACAGGGGCTCTGCCATTGCCAAGATCGTGGGCGCCAACGCGGCCAAGTATGATCAGTTTGACACCACAGTCAACATGTGGGTGTTCGAGGAGACGGTGAACGGACGCAAACTCACAGAAATCATCAACACAGACCATGAGAATGTGAAGTATCTGCCCGGACACAAGCTGCCCCCCAATGTGGTGAGTGGAGAGGAACTGTCATAGATATTTGGCTCCTACTTAGATTTTGTTGTTGCTATTTGATCGTCATGTCTCCTTTTCTTCCTCATCAGTTGGCCGTTGCAGACTTGGCGGAGTCTGTTAAAGGAGCAGACATCCTGATCTTTGTGGTCCCTCATCAGTTCATCATGAGAGTGTGCGACACGATTAAAGACCACATCAAGAAGGACGCTGTGGGAATGTCTCTCATCAAGGTGACGATTTTTTATCCAAACATTGACAGGAAGAGGAAGTTGGGAAAATAAATAAACTCATTTATTTACTTTAATTTATGCGTTTCCGACTGATTTAGGGTGTTGACGCGAGTCCCGAGGGTCTGAAGCTGATCTCAGAGGTCATTAGAACGAAACTCGGCATCACGATGACCGTACTCATGGGAGCAAACATCGCCAACGAGGTCGCCGATGAGAAGTTCTGTGAAACAACCATCGGTAGGGAGGATAATCCAGGATTTGACTAGTATAACATCCTGAATTTGTAGCTTTAAACTTAATAACGTGAATAATTCTTGATCTCAGGGTGCAAAGACAAAACTTTCGGGCCCATGCTGAAGGAGCTGATGCAGACCACCAACTTCCGAGTGACCGTGGTGGAGGAATCTGACGTTGTGGAGATCTGTGGGGCACTGAAGGTTAGCTTTTCCCTTCCAATGAGGTTAAGTTCCTCCTTGATTTTCAAAATAAAGTAAGCACAAGAAATTTAGATAGTAAGTTTGGGCTAAAGCTCTTAAAAAGCACTATTACTTCATTCTCTGAGAGCGGCTGTGTCTCAGTTGTCCCACATGCTAAAGTATCCAAAAGTAAGTTGTAAGTTTACAATTATGTTGGTATTATAAAGAAGTATTTGCAGTTATTTGTCTACAAAACTTAATTATGATTTCTAGATGAAGTCATGCTGATATCTGCGCTGGTGTAGATCACCTCCTCTGTGTTGTCGACAGAATATTGTAGCAGTAGGTGCCGGTTTCTGTGACGGTCTTGGATTCGGAGACAACACTAAAGCAGCTGTGATCCGTCTCGGCCTCATGGAGATGATCTCCTTCGCTAAGGTCTTCTGCACGGACTGTCCCGTCTCACCCGCCACCTTTCTGGAGAGCTGCGGCATCGCTGACCTCATCACGACCTGCTATGGGGGGCGCAACCGCAAGATCGGGGAAGCTTTCGCCAAAACAGGCAAAGTAAGAAAAACAGATGTGATCTTGCTCTGTGTTTATTTTTAATTACGTTGTTAGGTCTAAAACCTGCCCAAATACCTGAAAACATATAAAGAAGAGAAAGACAATGGTATTTACTCGAGGAGAATGGACAGAGATAGTATCAGGTACAATCTCAAAACCACTCAGAATAAAACAGAATAATGAACAACAGAAAATATGTGAGGGTCAAGGCGACATTGTTGCATCAAACGAGCTCCTCCTGATAGGAGCGGATCCTCCTCATTACTTCCCACGATTCGAGGTTACATCATCCACACACACACACCTGCTGATAGGAGAAACGAGGTCACAGAAAAGTGAAGAAACACTCATGTGCTGTGTAATAAAGCTATTTGAGAGAGAAGTTAGAAAACACTCATATGATGTGTAACAAGAGGTCAAAACAGTTTATACTTGTAGTAAACTCTTACATAAGAATATGAGTAAAAATGATAACTTCTATATACATTTATACACATTATTCTGACAAAGTCTATTCCTCCTTTTCTTTGAAAACTGAATCGTCTGTTATCTCTGTGTTCAGACCATCGAGCAGCTAGAGAACGAGCTGCTGAATGGACAGAAACTTCAAGGTCCAGCAACTGCATCTGAGGTCCACGTTGTCTTAAAACAGAAGGACATGATGAAAAAGTGAGTTTGTCTTTTCTCATTGACAAGCTTTCGACAATTTTGTCTTGCTTTTTAATCCCTACAAGCACTTAAAGGTGGTGTAGTCAAGATCTGAGTTAGTTCCAGTTTTTAGGAGAAATCTTGAATGTAAACTCTACTCCTCCAACTAGTTTTCCCCTCAGCTCCTCCTCTCCCCTCAAGCCCCGCCCACAAACAGACGCTCCTGCTCGCTCGTATCGTTCCAATTAAATTCAGATATAATGCAGATAAATACTTAAGATCATTACAAATGGGGCCCAGGCAAGATGAAAGTCAAAAGCATTGGTGCTACTGTAGATGCCAACAGACGACCAGCAAACACAATGTTTGCAGGACTTCTACAACTAGGATAAAGTGACATAGTCCAGGACCCGAGGGAGGACAGTTTAGCGATGGCGCTACAACACGCTACAGCAGGTCCGTTTGACAAGAAACACTTCTGTTACAGACACTTGTCTTACTTTGTTAAAGCGATTTACCTGTCCAGCAGAAAGGTTACATGCTGACCCAGCTTTTTAGCTCTTGTCCGGTCTTCCTCCGTTTTAAGCGCCCGTTATTCCTCCAGAGTCTCCGGTATTTACTTTGTTTTCTTGCTTGTGTCGGCAGTCGTGGCCAAAGGAGGATTCACACAATTTTCCCAACTTTCTGGTTGGTTTCTACTGTCCGATATTTTAGCACGCTAACTTTGTTTTGGCTCCTGAACGACACGGGGGAGCAGCGTCCGACTCACAACCAATCAGGTTGGGGCAGAGAACGGCTTCGTTCACATTTAGAAAGAGAGGACCGCTCAAAAATGTTCAAATGTTGACTACACAGATATAAGAAAACACAGAGATATCGTTATATTACCAAATGTCATCAATAACTATTGACCGATATTAAAAGCTTGTTTGTATAAACACCACAAAAAAAGATCTTCTTTAACAGAATCCTGCGTACCCCACCTTTAACAATGTTTTTTCTTATGTGAAGTGAGTGGTTATCTAATAACTTTAGGAATCTAAGTGATGAGGATTCAGCTTTAATAACAGTCTGCATAACCCAGGTGAGGTAACATCCTGGAGTTGTGATGTTGCTGTGAGGTTGCCTAGCAACACTCAAGGAAGGCTACTTCTTTCTATTCTCTTTAAAAGGGAAAAAAGAAAATGGTGTTTAAGGTGTTTGAGCGTAGAGGATCTTTTTAACAGGTCTTCTTTATTTTGGACGAGGCCGGACTAGTTTGTGTCTGATAGATTAGGGTGACCATAAGTCCTCCTTTACCCGCACATGTCCTCTTTTTTGGGGGCTGTCTGGCTTGTCCAGCCTTGTCCGGGGGAGTGTATAAAATCCTTCAAATGTACGGGGTTAGAAGCCAAAAAAAAAACACAAAACCTGACTCAAAAAACTCCCAAAAATACTTACGTGTGACTCCGTGACTCTGCCCCCACGTAGTCGTATCCTCTTTCTGGGGATTCAGAACATGGTCACCCTACGATAGAAACAAACGGCATATCTTAGCTTTCCTCCAACTCTTCCCTAAGAAAGATCCATGTTTATTTCTTACTGTTTTCTTCATTCAGTGATCTTGAGTCCTTTTGTCCATCCAGGTTCCCTCTCTTCACCGCTGTGTACGAGATCTGCTTCAACGGTCACCCAGTCACAGAGTTCATCCAGTGTTTGCAGAACCACCCCGAGCACATGTGAAAAGACTGACTGAAGGAGAAATGAATGAGGGGAAGCTGGGGAAGGACTTTTACTCCACTGTAGATCCAGGGTGATCATGAGGGGGAAGGTCAGATCTTTGTCTACTTTGGTGTTTGGATCTTAAACAGAAGCACTAAATCGAGCCGAGGTTCCCTCTCATCCTGAGCTGCTGTTTCTCATGGAAAAGTCACTCCTGTTTTTATTGATCAGACACATACATGTAAAAAAAAAAGTTATTTAAAACCCTCAAGTCTTAAATTTGTCTGTGCCTTACACAACACACAAACCGACCTGAATGTTATGAAATGTTACAGGATTTCTTGGTTGAAAAAAGTGCCTTAACTCTCTGAAGACTTCTTATCAGTGTTAAACAAAGCCCTCCAAAGTTCCAACTCACTGTGTTTTTTCTTCTTAAGATGTTGCCAAAAACTTCTCAAGCTTTATTTTGGAATAAATTTTTGAACTTTGTGCTCACAGTCAGTGTTTCTTTTACTCTCCATGGTACAACCTGCCTGCAGGAAACACTCCCTCGCTCTCTCGCTCTTCAGCCTCACTGTAACCTGACCTGAGCTCAACTGGGCTGCCACTCTAAACTCTTCACCTTTACCATTTTCTACAGCGCCCACTTCAACCTTTATCTGAGAGCACATCGCGCCTCAGTACTGGCTGTGTTGGACAGGATGGATTATTCATGGTACTCTCATTTATTCAGCGAAAACTCCACGATTCATCCGTGCAAAACCCGTCTGAGATCGAGTCTCTTCTGGATTTTGTTGCAAAATGCAGGAAGCCATTGTGTGTTCATTAATAGCCATCTGTCTTGTCACCATATGTCAATGCATCCCATCAGCACCGCGTTAGCCTACTTTAATCACTGTGGGGGAGAGTTACAGCTAAGGACACCATGACAGACTGAAGGGTAGCCTATTTCCCCCGGCCTTGACGTGTTTTTATTATAAATTCTCTGCCATGCCTCCTCCACTGAAGTGAAAAAATATGCTGTTTGATCCAACAAGTGTGTCTTTTCCTGGATTTTTATCGGCTTTGTTACTTCGTTATGTGAAGTATCCTGACGTTACATCATTTGCCGCTTGTTTAAATTCAGTTTCCTTCCCTGACATCCCTTGCATAGTTATTGAGTCAACTGCCCTATGAGATTTCTAATAATAACACTCTCCAAAGGGGAAATGTCTCTCTATAATTAGATTCTGGACAGAGCTGCAGCTGCTTCATCCCTGCTGAACAACACAGACAGAGACGTTGTATTATTTCAGAGTATTTTACTATTGTGTTTCCTTTTAAAAGAACATGATGTGACATATTTTCTACTGTTAGAGTTTTCACATTTTAAATGATTAACTACACATGTGCATGTTGACTTTCAGATGAGTTGAATGTTTGAGTAATCCTATAAAAAGATAAAGTATGCTTTAACAGTAAAGGTCAATGTGAAACATAATATTTACAGATAAATTGTAGTTGTAGTTCATGGATTGACCACTAGGGTGCGCCATCACATCAATCACGATCCCGTCACTCCTCATGGTTTTATCTATCTCTGAAACTTTTTGGACTTTCCTTTCTCCCGTACCTAATACAATTATCTTTTATTAATTCATAATCAGTCAGATATGAAGCGGAAGTGTCTGATGCTGACAGAGAAATAACAGGGTTGGATGCCAAGAATGAGCAGCACCAATCCCTCCACTGAGAGAGGAGGGACCCGCCTCACTTCCTCAATTCCAGTCCTCATCTTAGGGCGGCAGCCAAGAGACGTCAAGCTCAACGATGGCAACCGCGTGAACAGGAAGCTAGGCTGTTCACTTTCAAATTAAAAGCAGGTCTTGGAAAATGATATTCGTGTATATTTGCGAGTATTCGGCGTGAAAAAATATGTGTTGTATGTAACAAAATACACAATCACTGTCTTCAATAAAGTAAGTATATAGAGATGTCCAGAAAAGATTTTAACTAGCCCAAGTGGTATCTATTTACTTAACAGTTTCTCAACATTTAAGACCTTCAATTTTCAAATTTGAACTACTGTGGTGAATTTGTGGTCCCTTACCTTGGCATTTACCTGTAGTGCAATTTTATAATAATAATAATAATTATTATTATTATTGTTATTATTATTATTATTATTATTATTATTATTATATTTATTCTTATTCTTATTATTTATTATTATTATTATTATTATTATTATTTACTTATTTATTTATTTCCTTTTTTACAAAAATCTATCCCGCTTTACTTTTAGTGTTAGGGCGATATTTTTATTTGTAGGATGGTAGAGGAAAGTCCCGCCTCCTTCGCCTCTGATTGGCTAAAAAAGCTGGCATTATCGTCAAATGCTTAAGCCAAACGGGGGCTGTCAGCTCTGTACATTGAACAGGAAAGAACATTATTGCACTTTTGAATCTCCTAACCCTAACTCTTACCCTGATCCTAATCCTAACCCTAACCCGACAGATGATGACGTTTCGCAGCCATAAGGAATAACCAATTGGAGCCCAGCACTTCTAGCCAATAAGAGGCGAATAAGGGCAGGACCTTCCCCTACAATCCTACTGCGCAATGTTGGTTTCAGGAAGTTGAGAGAAAACGCAGAATTACTGAGAGCTTTTCAGCTTCAAATCCGTATACTGGCGGAAGGCAGAACCAAGTTGTTCATAGTATATACAGTCTATGTTAGTAGCATTGTATAGTCTTGTCGCAGCAATTATATATATATATTATACATATATTAGAAATTAATTAATAAAATAATGCTCTTTTTTTCACTGATAGTCTCACTTGCGTATGTTTAGTCAACCTTATAACCATATAAAACTCATTTTAGTTGTTTCAAGCTCACTTCTAAACTTAAATTTTTATTTTTTTTAATCAGTTTTTATAGGCACACAGGGGAAAAAAAACGAGAAAAAATTATAACATAATATAATGGTAAAAAAAAAAATTGAATAGCAGCCGTTGAGAGTCTTATTTTGAAAGCGTGAACCGGAAGCCTCGTCGTTAGGTCGGTTTCCTCCGCTGTAGTGTTGGAGAAGTTAAGTGTGGAGAACCATCATCACACAAGTGGCCGAGAGGCAGAAGAAGAGGCGCTGAACAAGTTTCCCTCTTCTTTCTTTGGGGATAACAAACTCAGTGAGTGTCATCGTCCGGGGACACAAACTCCGGTCAACATGGCTGCTCTTTCAGCCTGGTTCTGGAACGAGAGGTTCTGGCTGCCACATAACGTAACCTGGGCGGATCTGGCGGACCCAGCTCCCGGGGTGGAGTACCCCAAAGCTGGACACTTGTTTAGTGCTTTACCGCTGGCTCTGGTCATTTTCACCGTCAGGATCCTCTTTGAAAGGTGAGTTAAATCCGGAGGTGAGTTTCCTGAAACTCTTTTTAAAGCAGGTTTATGGGCAGAAACAGATGATGGATTTACTCAAAGATACCCCAAAGTTTATCAACTGTTATTTATTTATTCACAAACCAACACTTCTCCTCTGACCTTCACTCTAAACATACTTACTTTGATTATTCTTCATGTTGGCCTATTATTGATCACTCATTGTGACACGTGTAGTGGGAATTGCCCTTTGTTTATTTATTTATTCTAAAGAGAGATTGTTTATTTAATCAAATATACATACAGAACAATTTAGATAAGAAATAACCTATTTTTTTGGAGTTGGTAGAAGCTGTTTAGCCTATTTGTACCCACCCTCATTCTTTCCTGTTCGTTGACCCTTTACATTTGACAATTTCTGAGTCTAACATGAATATGTAACTAATCATTAATACTGAAAAAAAGACCTAATATATACATATATACATCCATACCCATATACACACAAATATGCACTTTATATATACCTAGAATACTTCAAATCTCTCATTTGTACTACCATATACAATATAGTAAGAGTGGCAAAACAAAAATCCCTTTTCTAAGTATCTTTCAATCATACTCTCTAAATTCTATTCTATATCCTCTATTTTCTCTTGACTCCTGCTTTAATCTGAACCGTTACAACTCAACCTTTATAGGTTTTGTTGGGGGAAATCCTTTTCCAACAAACTTAGCATCGGTGTTTGTATAACTTTAGACGTGTTTGCAGAGCTAATCACTGACCAATCCGCTTATTGTGTCTTTAGCCCTGCCAGCTCGCTGCCTCTGTGACACTGACACATCTGTTTGTCACCTCGCCGCTGTGTGATCCAGGTATCCGTGCAGAGAGAGGTGCAGCTGAGCACTTTGCTCAGGGTTCAGGCTGCAAAAGTTGGAAAGGCACTAGTGTGATCACATGGCATCCAACTACACACAGAAACCCACACACACACACACAGACACGGTCTTGGATGACAGCCAGCTGTGAGACTTGCTATACAGCCAGCTTGAGATGTCCTGAGGGCATTTTGCTTTGACAAAAAAAATAAAAGAGCCGAGCTTTCTGATATTGTCTGAGAGTTGTTGCGTAGTTCAGATATGTGGGAGTTATCTGACTTGACCCTCTTCCTTAAATAGAGATAAGGTCAGTCCAAGCTACTACTAATAAACTGATAAGACAGGAAAGAGTGGAATTACTTGTGAATCAATCTTAGTCGAGTGTAACATGCCGCAGGTGTGTCTGGTCTGGTCTGGTTAGGTGTTGGGTGTATTTTTCAACCTCAAGACAATGTTTATTTAAATTTTTAATTACTGTCGTATCACAACAAGAGAATCCTGAGGTTGATGTCAGTAATTATTCGCTTAATAATGGATGCTATTGGTGACGTTTTGTCTCTCTCCAACTCCAAGACAGACTCCACCCTAAAAAAGTTTGAATGCAAAATTTAGTAACACTGATTCTGATGGTTTGTAAAGTAACTTAAACCCATATTTTATTGAAAATAGAGCAAAAACAAAACGACAAAAATCAAACCTGAAAAGATGATTTTGCATTAAAAAAAAAACTCAAAATAACAAAAAACAAATAATGAATAAATACGAAAACCCCTGGTTGAACATCTTTTATCTTATTTGGAGCAGGTTAGTTACCTGACTGGGTGTTAACAGAGAGGCTGAGTCTTTTAGAAGGAAAGATAGGAAGCTGAAACTAATACTGAGTGGCCTGATCTTTGGGCTCCCAGACATGAGTCTGTTGTGGAAACCACTGCACAGGCTAAATATCACCCCCTGAAATGGCCTGTTAACACGGCTTGTTGATGCATCCACAAATACAGGTTAAAATAGTATCTTGTTTTGTGGTAACCATAAACATGTTACAGAAATGCAGGCGACTTTTCATGATCTGAGCTCGTTTGAGATGGGCTGAGTCGTTAAAGCACTGGCAGGTTCAAATGTAAATGTCATGATTTATGGATCTAATAAAAGATTAATGTGGGGTTAAAGCGGGGTTTAGAGAAGGTTAATTATTCTGCCAGTTTGAGGTCAGGTGGACAGCTGCAGTATATGGTTGTTACATAGATCTGGAGGTGATATAGGATCATATAAAAACACTCAGAGCTTATGTGATGATATGAACTGTGTGAATCATTGTAGTTCTAATCTTACAGTATATGCTTAGTAACTATTACATAAATGTGAGGAAGTTCAATGAACATGATCAGAAGACATTGACTTCTAATGGTGTTTACATTGTCAGCTAACAGCTGTAAAAAGTTATTTGATCAAGGTTCACAGAGAGTGCTACAGGAATTATTCTCATACCATCAGACTTAACGCCAGTGTAAGTGGGGTTCTTGTGAGACACCTGAAATATGGTGTGTGGTCAAAAATCAAGCTTAGAAGATTTCCACATTCTACTTTATGACAGGAATAAAGTTGTGAGTGGATGTCCGAGTCAGAATCATTAAATATTACGTGTTTCAATATGTTGATTGTTCTCAAGTGCAAAGATGAATGTACAGAGGTTACCTGTGACATCAAGATATCATTATATTGAACTCTGTTGGCTTCAGTGGAGGTGCTGCTGAGGTCATGTGACTGTGTTGTAGTTTGTTTACTGGTAAATTCCCTCTGGCTATTGTTTTTTACTTGTTAAGTCATTAAGTTTGTGTCACTTGTAAAGTGTTTCTGTCAGGCGCAGGTGAAACAAACTCGACCTGCAGAGTTGGCCTTCAAAAAGAAGTCTTCCCTTCTATTATGGACTGAATGCACATACAGGTGGTAGGGCTGCACGATTCATCGATTTTAAATCATAATCGGATTATATGATCATGATGATGTCAAAAAATTTAAATCATCAAATCGATTTTCCTGTCATAGAGATTATTTCGTGGCTAGATAGAGCAAGAGCAAGTCAGTCGTGTTGAATTGGTCCGACTTCACAGTTTCAGATGAAGAGTACACCTCTCCCTGCTGCAAAGTCTGTCTGAAGGCGGTATCAACCCGTCCACACGGAAATGAATTCAAGAGTAAACGCTAAAGATTTTTGTCGTATCGACGTTTCGGGTGACTGTAAACTGTACTTTTTGCACTACATCATTTTCAGTGGTTTGGTTTTGAGAGACGATAGAAAAACATTATTTTTGAAGTGAAGTTTAGTGAAGTTGTCTCTGAAAAAAAAATGTAAAATCAAAGTTTTGGGATTTTATTTTTGGCCAAAATCATGCAGCCCTACAGGTGGTTGAGTTGATGTGAATTCAGTCAGGATTTTCTGTAGTTTTCTAACAGTCACAGTAACAGGATTAGGTCTATACCTGTAATAATATTTATGTTTAACGGAAATTATGAAGTTATATCAGATACATGTTACAGTCTGGATCAGTTACAGGAGATCACCTGTTGCCATTCTGGCAAGGTTTTCGATCTTGACACCAGCCCCGCTTCGGCGTCATGTCGTATCTGTTGAATTCAAACAAGATCAAGTGGCTGTAAATAAGGAGCAATCAGATATGGAGGCGTCTGATAAGATGCACACACTGTCTCAGGTGTTGCAGTCGACCGTCTGTCCCTCTCTGGTGTGAGGTCGTTTTCAGGGTGAAGCGGATTCACAGCGATGTTATCAGGGAGCGTTTTACTCCGTCACTGCTGACACTCCAACCGGCCCGCTGCTTCATTCATTTATTTATCAGAAAAAAAAAACAGCATCACACCGCAGCTTGAGTTCCTACTCCTGTGTCTGCAGAGCTCAAACACAAGCTGTGCTGTTTGTTAGCACACAGTGTACTTGACACAACATGAAGCACACACTCTTTGTGCCCACCCACCTGCTGTCTGAGGATTAGTGACACACACAAGCACACAATGAGGAGGCTGAGTTTGGTTTGGGGGTGTTCACTCTGACACATCCTGTCAGACTGAGAGTTTGATTCATGGCCCGATTTCACTCAGACTTTCCTTTTTTACTTCCTTTTCTGTCTCTATCTTCAAAAAATTGCAAGAAAGAGAAAAAATTGGAGCTTTTGTCTTTATGCAATATTCTCAGTTTTAGTTAATAATGGAAACACTTCTGCTGATTCACTGTCTTTGACTTTGACCCGGCTCAAAACACAGAAAGACTCCCCAGCCTTGGCTCGTGTTAGTATTCACATAAAGTCACTGAGGGCTTAGATTAACTACCTGAATTCAAGTTGACACAATCACTGAATTAAGATTCATTTTTTAAAATTTGACAGACCAGCTGAAGATGATAGGAAATACAGATAGCACAGAGTGAGGGAAGACATGGAAGCGACAAGGACTGAAGCCTCTGTTTATGGGACATGTGCTGTAACTGCGAAGCCAAACTGGTGCTCTGAGGTTCAAGTTTGACAGCTTGTTTGTTTGTTTTTTTTAAAGTAGGGCTGTCAGCAATTAATCTTAAATTACAAAAAATCCCAGACTGTCAATAGTTGCTTAGAATTTAATTGCACTCTGAATTGTATGTTTTAAAATCTAATATTTTGCATATGGAGATCGTTTTTAAGTCAACTGGAAACAATGCAAAGCGATTTGTGCCCGTATCTCAATTAATAAGTCAGGTAAATGCAGTGAATGACACCCTGTGATGTTAGCTGATAGATTTACTAATAGACTGTATATACTATGAACAACTTGGCTCCGCCTCCAGCCATTGTGCGAATTTAAAGCCGAATTGCTCTTTATTTCTGGGATTTTCTTCACTTCCTGGAAACACCACTTGCGCATTCGGCGCAGGAAAGTCGTTGTGATGACATTCTGCTCAAACAGCGTATCCCCTGGGTGAGCTACGAGTCTTCGTACGCCCATAGGCTGTATCAGGTGTCAATCATAGAAAACATGAACCACCAAATAACTTTTAAAAAATGGAGCTGTACAGAAAAAAGAGGACATGAACACAAACCAGTCTGACAGTAACTACATGTCAACATCACAACCATTATGTTTCATACTGGTCTTATACCCCTGAACCAGGAACAGTAAACTCAAGTCTTTCCCAACAGATTCACACTCAGTCTTTTTAGCTGCAGCTGTATGTTTCACTCGTCAATTGAAGCTCTTCCTCAAAGTTCTTCAACGAGATCTGAAGTCTTTTCAATACTAAGTGAACGTTACTTTGGACTTGTTAAGGAAAGGGCTGGTCGACACAGCTGTGCCTAAAGGGGGAATAACATACCACCTGTCAGGATAGTCTTATCTGGACTGATGTCTTAAAACTGACAGGATTCATTTCAAGTCTGCTAATGTTCTTCTTTCATGTCTTCCAGGCTGCTACTTAAAAACTGGAAAGACAGGAAAGAAAGTCATTACACTGAAATCATTGTCAGGTCAAGGGTAACATGTAATCTTCGGTGTAACTCTCCTTTAAATTCCTGCATTTGTGTCTCTTCTATCTAAACTGTCGTCTGTATCTATAAATAATCAAAGACTGACTTTATTTATAATCAGTCAATTCAATAATTTTACAGCCTAAGATACAAAATCACTATCCTCCTCCTCAGCTGTGAGGATTTTGTCACGGTTTTTATGATTATTTGGGGTTTTTCTCAGAGTTTTGGTTTAAAAGAGGAGCAATAAAATAAGTTTTATGAAAATACAAAGGTCAGGCTGTTGAGTTAAATTGATGATAAACATAAACTTCAACTTTCCCAACGACTTCCTTTATTCTGACGTGCGTTTTACAGCAGCAGCTTGCTGTGGTTAGACTCAAACTGAGAGCGTTAACCTTCTCTTAGCACTTCCGTTTTCACCTTTTTTAAAAATAAAATCCTTTGTCAGTGTTTTTACCACATTTATCTGCTAATCTGCTAATCACCTCGTGTGATCGCTGCTGCTGTGCTGAGAAGTTATAGTTCTATGAACCGAGAGGAAGAGGTGCAGATATTATTTTAGTGATATGTTTTGTTTTTATTGAGGATGGAGGTCAGACATGTCAAGTTTTCTGCACCTTTTCCATGTGATGTTCAGGAGTTGTCTTCTACCTTTCTCCTCCCAGGTTCTTCCTATTCCTCCTCCCAGTAAGCCCCTCCTCTTCCAGACCAGTTCCTTCTTGTTCGATTCCCGTCGCGGCGTCTCTCTTGGCGCTGACTTTGCAGATAGGAGCAGTCAGGCTGTTGGAGTGTGCGAGACTGGGCCGTCTTAAGCTGTGTCATGTGTTGCCTGGTGTTTTTTGTGTGTGTGTGTGTGTGTGTGTGTGTGTGTGTGTGTGTGTGTGTGTGTGTGTGTGTGTGTGTGTGTGTGTGTGTGTGTGTGTTTGAGATTATGAGCAGCCAGACTTGCTCTGTAATCTGTTGTAGCCGTTTGGACTGTTTCCTCTTGAAACGAGCAGGTGTTTACTGTGACAGAGCTGTTACAGGAAGTAAGGACTGACCCTGAACAGAAATGGGATGTGATTTAATGAAGTCCTGCGTCCACAGAACCTGGTGTACTCTGAAATTTCAGAACTCATGAAGAGGAAAATGGGCGTGTAATAATTGATATGTTAGATAAATACAAAAAAGTGATTTTTAGGAGAAAAGGTGTGGTAACTTTTAGTTTTTTTATCACTAAAACACAATTTCTACTTCTCCAAGAATAACCACACAGCAGGTATTTGGCTAAAAATACTCAATGATAGTTTGAGACGAGGACGACTAGCTTGGATTGTTTTGTATTTTACAGACAGCACTTGCTAATGGCACAGAGCCAGCTTGTCGCATTTCATCCATAGCTTCATATCAGGATGTTAGCAGCTACAACTGATTTACTATTCAACTCAGGAGCAACTTCTGAAACTAAAGGCAGCCAGAGTCTCAAGAGCAGTGAACACTTTCTAGGAGCTCTGATGTAACTGTTGAGCAGCAGAAATCCACATCCAGCCTTGCCCTGATTCGTCATGCTTTGCCATTGTTTTTGGTCTGACTAATAACGTTAGAAAATTGGAGTTTGAGCCCAGGGAGTGGGTATGTTGTAGAGTTCACTAACATGCAAATGTTGATAATGTTTAATAAAATAATACACTCTCTGACCCGTTTACAAAAAGTATCGTTTACAGTCACCTGAAACGCCGTTTCTGTGTGGATGAAACGCCGATATGACAAAAAACTTTAACGTTTACTCCTGAATCTGTTTCCGTGGTGACGGGTTGATACCGCCTTCAGACAGACTTTGCAGCGGGGAGTGGTTTACTCTTCATCTGAAACTGTGAAGTCGTATCAATTCAACACGACTGACTCACTCTTGTCCCATTTAACCACAAAATTATCGCCTTCTTTTGCAAACCCCATGTTTGTTTACACTGGTGTGTGGGAAGGGGGAGCCTACGGTGTCCTGGAGGCACGAGACGTGATAGAGAGGAAAATCAATTTGGTTTTCATTTTTTTTAACTTTGTCATAATCAAATAATCTGATGGTGATTTAAAATCGATTAATCGTGCAGCCCTAACAATGTAAAACAATTCATACAGTCTTGCATCTTAGTTTTATTCTTATTCGTATAAATGCTGCTCTGCTTCACCAGTGTGGTCTGAAACCTCGGCCCGGAGGCAGGATACAACTTATTCTGTGAAAAACTGATTATTTTACACTATTTCTAAACTATAACACTGGAGTACATTCACAAACTGTCAAACAGTTTCAGTTCGGTGTGCCGTTATTCAGGAATTCCAGTTTGATCACTTTTCCCGTTTCATTCTCTTTAATTCCGTGTTGGTGAAACTATTGTTCCCCGTGACAGTTAGGCATATGACCGGTCTCAACATGCCAGCCTGAGGACATCCCTTAGACCCGAGTCTTCCAGAGTCTGCAGGCAGTTACCTCCCATTTTGGCAAGTTCCTCCATGTAGTTTCACTCACAGGTCTACGTAGATTCACATTCTGATCTGATTGGCTGCACCTGTATGCTTCACTCATGGGTGGTACATCTTCAAATCGAAGTCATAGATTTTCTCCTTCCTTGAACATCAGTGAGTCACTCGTCAGACTTGTTTTTTACACATCGCCTGATTTTCTGTATTTCACGCCGAATGTTCTGAGTCTTTAAACATCCTCCTTGTTCTGTTTATTTCACACATAATGTGACATTGTCTCCATCCCAGGTTTCCTCCAGGACCCACCAATTCTGTTTGAGAACACGCTTTAACCTCGTGAGTCAAATGAAGGCCACAATTACATAAAGTGCTGAGCTATGAATAGAGTCGGGTCCGCGCTTCAGTCTGGAGAGCTCTTCCAGTGTCAAGGTTGTGTGTGGCTCTCTGCTCTTCCCCGGGTCCACACTGACTCTGTCCCCTGGTAACAGTCTTTGTGTATGTCGCAGTGGTCCGGTTCTGCGGAGGAACGGGGATGTTTTGACGTTTAACATAAATAGATTCGCTCGTATCTCCTGCTATGCTGCCGTCTGCCAATTAGCTCCGCAGGCTCGGACTTGCACAGACTTTTTTTTTGCTGATTTATTCTCCCGTTTGTCATGCATTTGAAAAATCTGCACTCACAAAGGAACCCGGACCAGATCAGCGCACGTCTCAGCCCACACATGTCAGAGTAAAACAGGTTAATGGAGATTCGCAGACGGATAAAGCAGGCTTGTAAAGTCAAGCCGGGGTGAATCAGAGTGATGTAAGTGCTGCGCTACGTTACGCTCAAACCTGCGCCGTCTTCGCGCTCTTAGGCGTCAAACTGCCAAATGGAAATCAGTGCAGGTTTACTTAAAGAAAGATTTAATGCTTCTGGTGCACTCAAGGACATGAAGATCACCTCGAGTGACTTTTAACGACATTGAAAGTGATCTATCCAGTCTGACTTCTCCTTACTTTGTTTTTACCTCCAAGAGATCTCTAAGGTTTAAGGGCCCGCTTACCTCCACTGTCGTGACATGTATTTGTAATGTGAAGCAAAGCCTTTGTCAGCTTTGAGTCGTTTTTTTCAAAAAGAGTTAAAAGAACCTGTTTTCTGAACTCTGTCTTCAGTGTGAGGGTTGTCTAACACGGCCGCTTTGATCCACATACCTGTCATTTCTCCGAGCTAAACGCCACTTCAGGACGGAGAACAAAGTGCTCAGAGCTAAAGAGCTGCTTCATACAGGGAGGCAATAACAGAATCACAGAGAGAGAAAGAAGTGCTGATGGTTTTACTCGAGGGTTCGAGGGTTTTCCTGTCGTCCTCATGAAGGAACACAAAAGCTTCAGCTGTTAAGTGGCGAGTGTCAGATTTCTATCACCAGGAACACTCACCTTACACACCGCTGAGACGGTACAGGTTTCATCATATAGGGGATTTCACTCCAGTCCAACATGAATCTATTATTGTTGTTCCAACACTCAGAGAACATGATGATCTCAGGCTGTTAGTGCCACGCCTAGTGCCCCCATGAGCCTATTTGAATGAATAAGCAGAGCCGTGTAAGACTGCTGTAAGTGACGCCACTCTCCACAAACTGGTCCTGCATCAGAGGGACCGCGCACGTGCACACATAGGGCCCTAGGGGTGCTTGACAAAAACAATCCTCTACCTAAGGCCATAGCGCCGGCACTAAAAGTGTTATTACCGTAACTCCGTCAAAGTTTGTCCGATCAGAAAAATGTCAGTGGCGTTGGAAAGCTAAGAGCTGTGGACGTGTGCACATATATGATTCACTACAGTAGGAAGTATCGACAGAGCGCTACACAGCTTCTCAATGCCGTAACTCCTTGAAAGTACGGTATATATTACGGTAATCTTGAACTGTACCACCAAAACCACAACTTTGACAGGAGCGATGGAGAAAAGGAGAGTAGAGGAAGAGAGTGAAGTAACAGAGCAAGCAAAACACTCAGTACGTTTACATGACACTAGAGAAAACTGAATTATCGCCGTACTCCGATTCAGACCGGACAACTGAAGTGCATGTAAACACCTTAGACCAACTATAATCAGAGTTGGAGAACTACGATTAAGACACCCAGATAATGCGATTGGAATTCAATTTTCTCTACCATGTAACCAGCGTAGTTGGAGTACGATTAGACAATGCATGTGCGCCACACCCCCATAACTCCGGAACAAAAACACCAGAGAAGAGGAGTAGCGTACGTCTCATCTGCAGAAAAAGTAGTGCGTACATCATGTAGGACAAAAACAACGCTGTACGACACTCCATCTTCTTGCTCCAAAACGTCCAGCAGCAGTTGTAGACAGTTCTGACGTCTGACACCTGCTGTTGTTGGTGACAGCGCTGCTGAAAACTTTTGGGGGAGGAGGACACGTTCACGTCAATAATTCAGTTTACACGGACAAGGAGAGAAGTCCGATTCAGTGAAAAAAACAAATTATGAGCTCTGATTAAGCTCTGCATGTAAACGCACTGAGTGTTTTTTTTGTTTAGAAATATCGTAATAAATATTAGTTGATAGTAGTAAATATATAGTAATATATGAAACGACCACTGCAGTGCGTAGAGGAGGAGGAGGAGAGCTGTTTGGAGAAGAGAGTTGTAGGTTATCTGTGTTAGAAATATTACCATCTGTATTTAAACTTGATTCATGTCACGTTGACACAAAAGAAATGGCAATTTCATATCACTCTCACCTACACAGAACACACAGCTAAGTAGTTAGCTCTCTATTAGTACTTTGTTTTTAAATTTTACATTAATTTCAATATTGTGGGGAAATAAAATGGCACTTTTCCTAAATGTGTCGAAGTGAGGACTTTGTAACAGCTCAGGTGGATTTACCAAAATGATATCTCTGACATATTTGAGTTTAGTTAATATTGTCATGGTTAGTGCTTTAAATGAAAGCCTCGCCTCTGTTTGGGACCAACTAATCATGTTAAAATCTCCTTCAGAGCTGCTGGATTAACACTCCGCCTGGATTAGGGATCCTGAGAGGTTTGGGTGCTCCACTTTTCAAGTTAGTTTTTTGGGGATGTTTGTGAGGGAAAAATTCATTTTCACATTTCTACTTATAAATATTTCCACCCCCCTATAGAGAATTAGAGATATAAACCTCGGACACATATTTATCTGTTTTTTATTTAATCTGAAATTTAAAACTGAGTAACATAAACTGTCATGATTCCTTAAATGAATCTCAAATATTGAGTTTAGTTCATGTTTATTGGTCCATTAATAACAGTTTAATCTGTTTATATTGTTCTTTTCCTCCCCTCAGGCTTTTCATTCTTTTCATGCTCTGAGCTGCACTGAGAGCTGAGTGATCACATGATCAAGTCGCACTGTGACATTTCAAACTGTGGATGGGCGTTTTTTTCAGACTCATTTGTCACAGTTCCCTCTAAAGTGAGTTTACACTTTCCTCCTTCCAGACATGAACATTCGTGGGATTCCTCGTTAACACTAAGTGATGAAGTCAGTTGGAGGGCAACAGTTCATCGCAGACTAACATCTGAAATTCAGTCTCGAGGGTTTTTTCATCGTATGTCAGTGAAATTCCCGATTTTCTTGGATTTTGTCAGACAGAATTTAACTCACGAACAGAAAACCACTGATGCTGTTGTTAACCTTTCTTCACCATACATGACTCCAACCGTCATCTCGTTTCCACGCAGGTCACCATGTTGGCCGCCCAGTTTGAAAAATGAAGCATGAATAAGTATGAATAGCGACTCTGAACAGAGAACCCAAAGTATGTGTGCAGTTATGTAAATTCTAAACATTGTGACAGTCACATGAGAACAATGGCAGATGTGTTGACTTAACACACGCACGCACGTGTTTTGAATGTTTTTAGATTGTGGCGGGACAGCTACTGTCACTTGACCATCTATTTGGAATAGTTTTTATTGTTTCCCATCAGTCACGACGGCTTTTTAGCTCAAATAATGTTGTTATTACGTTGTTCAATATTGCAATAACAGTAAAAATAGTAATAAAGTGGATGTTATGGCTCATAGTTTGGTCCATCTGCAGTGTTTCCCTGTTATTGAAAATGATCATGATCATGTCTGACACGCTGCATGTCGCTGACCTTTATCTGAGATGGTGAAACCCTCCCACACCGTCTACATTTTCTGTCGCATTTGAAGCCGAGAACATGCAGGTCAGCGTCGCGTCTCTGCTCCGTCGAGCAGCGCTCTTCGTCGCCCACAGGATACGTGTTTGGAGCGTGTCAGCAGCGTAGTGCAGCCCCGGTCAGCTGGTCTCAGTATAGAGGAAACAACAAGCTCACAACAGGTTGTTTTGCCTTTCTGTGGTCGATTTCCTGATAATTTGGATGTGAAAAAAAAGCAACGTGATCTTACAGTTTGCGTTTTTGCAGGTTTACTCGTGTTTAATAAAGTAAACGATGTTCCTTTATGCTGTGTTGTTACCTTCAGACAGAGTTAGCAGTTCAAAGTCCTGGAGTCTGGAGTCGACAAATGGTGTTTTATTTTGAAAGTTACCAGATGACGTGCCGTTTCCATGCTTGACATCCTGTCTAGAGCAATCTTCTCTGTGTAGATTGACTTGGATTGATTGGAAGCGTAGAGAAAATAGACTTGGAGCGGATCTTTAGCAGAGTCATGAACGACATGCTTATATTAGTCTGTTAGTTTTAAACGAATAAATCAGCGTTGCCTTCTGACATTGGTGCACGATACATGATTTGCAGATGGGCTGATCTCTGTCATCTCTTACAGATGTTATGCCGATACATTGGTCAGCTGAACAGTGTTCATTGATGAAATCATTTTAATATGAATGGATGTATTTAACAGTCCCCTGCTGGATTATATGTTCAGTCATTTACTGATTAGAATAATGTTTATTCAGATTTCAAATATCTCATCACGTTTTAATCTTTCCTAACATCAACAGTATCTTTATTTTCTCACATAAAAGACGTTTAAATTCTCCTGATTCTTCAGAATTTTCCACAAACAAAATCTGATTCCTGGTTCCTGACCCTGCAGCATCCTCTGGGAGTCAGTTTTGAGCCGAGTGACTCATTGTCTTTGTCCCTAAGTCAAGCCTCGGGCCGTGTCTGATGTGTTTTTGTAAGTCTGCGGGAATCTTTGGTTCTTGTCTATTTCGGTCCCCTCCAAAGACGTAAACCTTGTAACTTTCCTGATCATGTTCTTTACATGCCAAGGTCGATTTTTCTTTAACCCCGTAACCTTTTTGTTTCAGACACTAAAACTGCAGCTCAGAAATGGTCAGTCTTGATGCTGATAGCAGGTAACAACACCGCGAGAGCTGCTCCTCGGTCTCGGGCTTACGGAGCTTTCATGTGGGAGTTTCAAAATAAGGCCAAAATATACATTTTATATAACTAAAAACTAACTATAACTATAATTACCTATCAGTAATAATCGGTATCGGCCCTAAAAAAAAATCCGTAGTCCTGTTTGAAGGTCATGAAGAGGCGTCACCCTCAGTTCCAGACTGTTTCAACACCAGTTCAAAACTCCTCACAGGAGCTTTAATCGGTTTTAATCAAGTTTTATTGATGTGGTGATTCATTTGATATGAATCTTCAGTATTTCCTCTTTTCATGAGACACAGAAACAGTCACCCGCACTGACAGAAAAACCTGTATTTTATCTTTTGGCTGACTTTTGCCCTCATATATCCACGTTCGTGAAAGCAGGAATAACTTCCTCTAATTCAAAAACAACCTCAACTCTAAGACGCCTCGCAGAAACAAAAGTCGGAGTGACCTTGTGGACTTAGAGCTATTTATTCTAACGCAGCTTCTTCCAGCCCGACAGAGGAAGCTGTTTACAAAGTCACTGTGGTTACTAATGTAGTGCTTCTGTGTGTGTGTCTGTGTGTGTTTGTGTGTGTGTCTGTGTGTGTTTGTGAAGTGCGTTCTGGTGCAGTAGCTCCACATTTCCCTGACAAAGGAAAGTTATGGCCCTCCCGAGTCATAGATCTCACAGATTATGACCGCAGGAATGTTTTTCTGCTACAGTTTCTGTGTACATTTTTGCTGCAGTTACACCGACACTGTGCAGTCATGTAAATGATTGATGGAGTTTTTTTCTGTTCGACGTATTTAAAGAGAGAGATTTCATTTTTACATGAAGTTGACATGAACGCAAATATTGAGCTGTGAAAGTTCTTGTAGCGCTGAGAGATCAAGCTTTTACACAACATACAAGACAAATAAGAAAATATGACTCCAGCTGTTTTGTCCTGGTTTTTAATTCTTCTCTAATGCTTTTTCTCAGCGCAAAGAGAAGTTTGTACAAAATGTTTTTCAGCGTGCACAAAGAGCCATTGTTGCAGCCACACGATCCGCACAAAATCTGGCCCGAACTCAAGTGTGTAAGACTCAACCTGGCTGAACCTGACCTGCAGGTTCCTTCAGAAATTTAACCTCTTATATTTGAGCTCTCCGCTTCTTTTCAAAAAACAAATACTTAGACTTGTAAAACAATATTTGTCAAACATTTGACATGTCGTAGTGAGGGATCTTTTGTGAAAGCGACGTGTCTGCGGTTGATTTAAGGCACCTGCTCTGAATGACACCGTAAATCATTGGTCCTGATGGTGACAGCTTCATCAAACCTCCTCCTTCAAGATGCTTCTGTCGGGCTGAGAGCTTCTTTCCCAACAGTGAAGTCATAATACAGAGCAGACCTACAGTCAGGGGTCATAAAGTTCCCATAATGAAGCTGAAATCCCAGAATCTCGTGGGACTTCAGGAAGCTCCCCTTCAGCATAATTTCGTTTCATTTCTCTCATCAGTAGCTGATAGAGAGGCAGCGCTTTAGCCGTGTGGTCTGTTGACGTTTTTTCCTTGGAAACATGAGCGCAGAGAAGACTCGACTCTAACCCTACCAGCTCAGAGACTTTACGGGGAAAACAGAGGGACACTCTGTTTGTCAATTACATTTATAAACTGTGGTCTTCTACCTCCAAACAGCTGATAAGTGATAAGAAATGCTTTACTGTAGAGAACTGGGCTCCAGAAATCTTAGTGGAGGTGGTTTATGGTTAATGGTTCACTTAAAGCAGTTCTCATGAAAAACCATCTCTGCGTTTTGATTTTGCATATTCATCTTTCCTTTAAAAACAGAAAACTAGAGAGGGGCCCAGGAGCAGTGCATGTTAGCTCATTTTAGGATGCAAATAACCCGATTAATGGCCCTTGACTTCTCGGAAGGACACAGCGCCTTCGCCTCAGAGGAAAGAAGATAAAAACCAAAGAAAAGATATTCGCAGTTGTAGATTTAGGAGGAGTCGTGAGCATTTTTTGAATTTTCCAGAAAGAACAAACACTCAAAAATATTTGTTCTGTCTTTCTTTGGCCGGATACCGACATTAAAATAACAATCCAAGCAACACCTGTTTGATTTTAAGGGTCATGAAAAGGTCTGCAGAGTTTCTGTGTTGACAAAAACGTGGTTTAAAACCGTGTGCTGACATTCAAACCAAACATACCAACGGATTTATTCACCAACATGCAGATAATATTAAATATTCAATATTAGGAGACAGTTTTCTGGTTTGTTAATTATGACCCAGGTCTCATGTAGGGCTGCTCGATTCATCGATTTTCAATCACAATCGGATTATTTTCAGTTTCAGATGAAGAGCAAACCACTCCCTGCTGCACAGTCTGTCTGAAGGCAGTATCAACCCGTCCACAAGGAAATGCTAAAGTTTTGTGTCGTATCGGCGTTTCATCCACACGGAAACGGCGTTTGAGTTTTTGAAAACGGGTCAGAGAGTGAATAAATCTGTAAACGACGACCATTTCATCTCCGTGTGGATGTCTATCTGCATCTCTGGAAACGATCATGTGACACACAGAGTAACTCTTTTATGGCGCCTGAGCGTGTCCGACCAAAACAACCTTTATACACATGCTCTGTACTCTTCTTCTGTCTTTTGTGCATTTCCTCTGAAGCGTTACAGCGCCACTTACTGGTTTGGCATATGCACTACATCGTTATCAGTGGTTTCGTTTTGAGAGACGATAGAAAAACTTATTATTAAAGTGAAGTTTGGTGAAGTTGTCACTGAATAAAAGAATCTAAGTCTAAAATTGAGTTTTCAGAGAAAAAAATCTGGATTTTATTTTTGGCCAAACTTCTGCAGCCCTCCTTTCATACATTCATGTTAGTCTTCTGTGCTGGTCTTGGGTTCAAAAGGATTTATTACTCAAAGACAGAAGATCTTGATATTTGTCAGTCTGTTCATGACCAACAGTTAATGAAGTCTCGAGCTCTTGTTGACTCACTCATGAGCTTCATTTCTTTTGTGTTTTTGTTGTTTTTCGTCACCAGAAACATCTGGTCTGTATTTGTTGTTGTTGTCGTCTGTCCCTCCACTGATATCACAGAACACTGAAAGTCAGTCACTTTGTGTTGAAGTCAGTTTGTACTGATGTTTAGCGGTTAACCCACTCTCACAGCTCGACACTCCACCATGCACCTCCACATGTTTTTTCATCATTGTTTAAAAACAGCTAATGGACCCACACAGAGTCCTCCCTCCTGCGTTTGCTGACTCAGTGTTGAATATTCTGGAAAATTAACAGCTCATGTTAATCACTTAGCTTAGTAAGCAGATTGTGTAACCTGCATGCATCAGCGTCAAAGCACAACACAAAGTTAAATCAAACTCTGTTTTTACCGTCAGTCCAGAGCTGCACAGGTTACCTTTAAACTGACTCGGTGCTGCAGCTCATTTTTACTTTGTTTACTCATTTCTCGTCTCTTGGTTTCCATCTGGAAATGATATCCATGCGCTCATCTTTATGTAACTTCTGAATCTCAAAAGTGGAGCCATCTTTTTAAAACTTGTCCACATTGCTGATATTTGACACACTTTCCCCGAGTTTCAACAGAGCAAAGAAAAAACCCTGTTTATCAGTTTGATCGTGGATTGAATACCATGTAAAACCTCAGCTAGACCGGTTCTGTGGCTCTCTCTATTAGAGCCGTTATGTAAGTTTTAAAAACATCTCGTGAGCCTTCACTACTCACTTTTTTTTCCCTTTTTATCTCAGATTTATTGCCAGTACCTGCGCCCGGAGTCTCCACATTCAGTCAGGTGTTGGACGGAGAGCTCAGCCTAATGCAGTGCTGGAGAAAGTGTTTACATCCATCACGCAGGTTTGCTCTCATTCCTGACATGTTTCTGCTCCTTTTAGAGATGGATTTGGGTCGGTAATGGATGATATGCCGCATAATTCACGCTGTGTGTGTCAGCCCAAGATAAAAGGATAACAGCCCAGAGTTGTTCAGATCATGTGAGGAGGGGAAAAGTCAAGGTATCAAACAAAACCTATTCATCTGACATTATGTACATCATACGATCAAAGAGGGGAAAACTTTCCCGATCGTGAATTCCCTGAACAAAGAGGTCGAACATCTGCACTTGTGTTAGTAAAATCAAATCAGTTCAGCTTTTAACACCCAGGACTAAATCGGTTTGTTTGGTGAAGTGAAGGAACTGAGATTGACGAAACTGTTGAGTAAGGTCGATTCTGGGCCTTGATTGTAACTTCACTTCGTTTGTGACAACTTGCAGTTTTCCCTGAAACTTAAAAAGCAAGCTTCACCCCTATCTGTTTAATATTTGCTGACTTCACATCCTCCCGTTGAGTCTGTTATCTTAAGATTGTCGGAGATCAAAACCCAAACAGTGAAACATCAGCAGAATTGTGGTATGCTAATGCTTGTGCTTGATACTGTAGATGTGGTGTAAAAAAAAAAAAAAAAACCTTGGCTTTCATCCTCGTGGCGCTCTTTGATCCAGCCTGAGCCGTTTCCCGTTTCCTCTCTCTCCCTTTGACCAGAATCCAGACTCTCGCCACCTGACCGGCCTCTCAAAGCAGCTCGACTGGGAGGTGCGAAAGGTCCAGCGATGGTTCAGACACCGCAGGAACCAAGACAAACCCAGCACACACACTAAGTTCTGCGAAAGCATGTAGGTCAATAGCGCACAGCGGTTCTGTTTCGCGTGGCGTGAGAGTGGTGTGACACTGACGAGGTTTGGGGTGTGAGTGGACGTGTTTTCACTGAATTTTAAATCATTTTCTGTGTTATTGGGTTTATTTTTTCTCCTTTACTTCCAGGTGGAGGTTTACATTTTATTTGTGCATATTTACATATGGGTTCCAATTTCTGTGGCAGGTGGGCACACATTTGTTTAATTGAAAATATTTCGATGGTTCAAACACGTATTTGCACGTTTGTGTTGAACTCAAATGTGTTTGTCTTTAGTGTCCGTGGATGTGGGATACTCGGCATTGCTGGTACGGATACCCTTATCAGGTATTTAACCCTCTGTCTATGTAACACATCTACAGCCTCGGGTTTCACCTCCAAGTTAAACCAGAAGGATATGATCTTTTAATAGTAAGACTTTGAACCTCTGTAAACTGGTGCACAGTCAGTCATGAACTGCAGAAAAGTAGCTCTTGTTGACTTTTACCTTCTCCTTTACCTCAATACACGCAAGCAAACAACAGCAGCATTGTTAGCATATGTTGACTTTTACCTGGCTGCCTTTTTTACTGTTCCTACAAAGATAAAATAAGTCATAAAAAGCAGTCAGACAAGGAACATCAGTGCGATGTCCTTGTGTTCCCGTTGTTTCACTCCCATCATAGTTAATGGACTGTATTTTATACAGAGCTTTCTCTTAGCTCTTTTATGTCTCATTAACAATTCACTCCACATTCGTACTCCGCTGGCAAACAGAGGCTGTGATGTAAAGCATGAGTTAGTATTAACTAATCCCTTTACACACAGCGACCTAGAGCAGTTTGGGGTTTAAATGTTTGGTCCCGGTGTGACCTTTTAAGTGAGAGAGGAACAACTTTACCACCGGGCCACAGCTCGAGTCTGAGTCCAGTATCAAGTCACAAATGGTTGAGTCTGAAGCAAGTCCGAGTCGCCAAAAAAAAAAAATCCAAGTCAAATCTGAGTCACCAAAAAAAATCCTGAGTGGATTCTGAGTCCCCTAAAAAACTCCAAGTTAAGTCAAGTCACCAAAGACAAAAATCAGTCGAGTCCAAGTCCCCCCCCCAAAAAAAAATTAGTCAAGTCCAAGTCACCAAAAAAAGAACCTTAGTTGAGTCTGAGTCACCAAAGAGAAAACTCACTCCAGTCCGTGTCACTAAAGACAAAAATCTGAGTCGAGTCAAAGTCACCCAATAATCCATGTCAAGTCCGAGTCACCCAAAAAAAATCAGTCTTGTCCGAGTCACCAAAGAAAAAAATCCCAATCGAGTCTGAATCACCCTAAAAACAAAAAAATCTGAGTCGAGTCAGAGTCACCAAAAAACTCAATCAAGTCGGAGTCACCAAATAAAAAAATTTGAGTCTTGTCCGAGTCACCAAAGAAAAAAATCCCAATCGAGTCTGAATCACCCTAAAAACAAAAAAATCTGAGTCGAGTCCAGGTCCAGTTCTCAGTACCCCTGTCCAAGTAATAGAAAAGTCCCCAGAGCCAAAGCCTGCAGTCATTAATATGATGTTATGATTTTTTAAACCTTTTGTGTGTGTGTGTGTGTGTGTGTGTGTGTGTGTGTGTGTGTGTGTGTGTGTGTGTGTGTGTGTGTGTGTGTGTGTCTAACCCAATACTGAGACAAATGCAGACTTTCCTGTTGGGTCTTTTTATCAGTCAGGTCTGTCACCGTTTCATTGCTGTTAAATTAGAAATAAATCAGAGTTTTGAAGTGAAGCTCTAACAGATCTGAGCTGGATAGGATTGACGGTTTGATCCTATTTGATATGCAGGTTTGTGTTTCTAAAGATAGACTGATATTAGTTTATATGTGAGCTGCTATTTAAAGAGCGCTCCCTTCCTTACTTTCACTTTCAAAGGTTTCCTTCTCACTGAGCCCACACTTTCACCGAGGCTGCAGACTAAGCAAAGCTTCCCACGCCTCATTGCTTAAGTAAATCACTGGACCAGGATCTTTCTCTGGACCAGGATCTGTGTAGTGATTATCCTTTCACCCTCACTGTGTTGTTGTTTAAAGTGTTATTTTTTTAAGACACTAATAAGACACTCATGTCAGCTGCCTCCCTGAACCTGTCCTACCATCTCTTGTCCTTCCAGGTCATGACCCCGGGTCTATACCACTACTATGTGACAGAGCTGGCCTTCTATTGGTCACTCATGTTCTCCCAGTTCACAGACATTAAAAGGAAGGTAAGAAGAACTGCAGGTACTCTTGTTTCTCTTAGACCACACAGCTGCCACTCCCAGTGAAGCATTTGTTAATACATCTATTGTTCCTCATTGGCTGTCGCAGAGAGGCTGTGTGCGGGGATATGCGTCTGCGCGCCTTTTTAACACAGACTGCATGATGCAAGATGTGTTTTTTGTTACCAGCTCTTACATTTGTGATCATTTTTGGAGGGTCACATGGTGATGTTTCTGTCCGGGGGGCCGGTGGGAGCGGGGCTTGGTGCTGCTCAGTCTTTGGATTTTCAGCACGAGGGCACCCAGTGTCATGTGAGAGCTGGATGGAGCGGGCCTAACTCAATTAGAATAACAGAAATTCCAGCGCAGGAGTTAGTTACAGCCACAGAATGTTTAATACAGCCAGTGATAGGAATGAGACACTATAACAGAGCTGATCCTGAGTGACATTTACTTGTGTCTTCATTGTTGTTCAGGAGAATCACTGAAGGTGTTTGTTGCACTCTGCTGGTTTTATAAGCTCAGTCTGTCTATATTTGGAATAACTTTTTCTTTAACCTGAAGCAGTCTTCCACATTTTTCTGATAACTTTCTCCTCCCCCTCAGCTGTTTGTGTTTGAACTTCTTCAGACCCTGAGTGTTAAGTAATGCAGCCCTCCTGAGTTTGCAGCCCACTTGTTGAATCCTGCAAGTCTTGACAAAGATTCAAACTCACAGAAAGGCAGACTTTACAACTCCAGTCTTTGTGTTGTGAACATCTTTTAATTTGCTGTTCTGTGTTTTTTTTGGGGGGTAAATTTGACCTTTTTATGTCAGGCTCCATCGTTTCACTTACAAATGTTTCAACAAAGGAAGTTCTCGCCCTCAAGGTTAATAGAAAGACTTGGATGAAGTTTATTTAACCGTAGAGGTGTTATTTAAAAACAAATCAAAACTCCTTATTGATGAAAACTCTTAAAAAATACCTTAATCTTGACCTAATGAGAAATCTCTGGGTATGCTGGTTTCAAAAAGGCACCAGAGTTTTGTGTCATCCAAGGCTGTTCTGGACCAGCCGGACCTCTCAAAAATACTGCAGCATTGATATTAAAACAGGTTTGGCTATTCTTAGATAATTATTTTGCAAAAATGTTGTAACTTACTGTCAAAAATATGCAATAAATGTTAATCAGGGTATCTGCGGGTTAGAGCTGCACGATTTTAGCCAAAAATAAAATCTCGATTTTTTTTTTCTCTGAAAACTCAATTTTTCCATTTTGATTTTTTATTCAGTGACAACTTCACCAAACTTCACTTTTAAAGTAAAAAGGTTTTCTATCATTTCTGACTGACTCGCTCTTGTCCTATTTAGCCACGAAATTATCGCCTTCTTTTACAAACGCCATGTTTGTTTACACTGGTGTGTGTGGGAAGGGGGAGCGCTCCTTCAGGAAGGGGGAGTCTACGGTGGCCTGGAGGCACGAGACATGATAGAGAGGAGAATCGATTTGACGATTTTTTTTACATTATCATAATTAAATAATCTGATGTCGGTTTAAAATCGAGTAATCGTGCAGCCCTACTGCGGGGCCTTCAATCCAGTAATTTGAATTTAAGGCCTTAAAATGTCTGAAACTCACTTAAAATCTCATAAAATGCCTTTGATACGATTTGAAAGGTCTTATATTAACTTGTTCTGATTCCCTTCATGTCTTTTGTACTTTTTTTGCCGGTATGGTATAAAAAGGGTCTTAAATTGAATTCATCACGGTCTAAAAAAAGTCTTAAAAAAGTCTTAAAGAGTCTTAAATTTGACTTGTTGAAACCTGCAGAGACACCCTGTTAATATACATATATTCATCAACCAAACCTCATCATATTAAGTTAAATGTAGATGTTAAAACATTTAGGAAGAATCCATTTCTTAATTCACTGCAGACCTCTCTCTGTCTGTCTCCGTGTCCACCCCTCTGTCCTCTGCTGTCAGTCCAGGTGACTCGCTGTCAGACGCACATGTCTCTGACCTGAAGCTTCAGCTCAAGTCTCTTCAGCTGTTTGTGTTTTTGTCTCATTCTGCTCATCGCTGTTAATCTTTCACCCAGATCTGCTCTCTTTGTCCAAGTTAGGTCTCAAAAGTCAAGAGCTTCAGCTGAGTCAGATTAAAGTTTAATTCAGTCTCCTTGGAAAAGTCTATATCGATGAAAATCACAACATGATAAAAGCAGTTTCTGTTTTATGATGCTGCAACATTTGACCTACCTTCTCTCTCTCCGGCTGCAACAATCAGACCTTTGATACAGCGTTACGTTAGCACACAGATACAGTAACAGATCATATAAACCAAAGCAATAACTACAGGGCGGAGTGATCAGTCGTATCAAAGAACCGCGTCACAATTCTTTGCATCACTGAATCAGTAATGGTGTGATTTTTTCAATAATAAAGCTGAAATTTCATCCCTCGCTGCAAACTTGAAGCTCTTTTGAACCATTTGAAGTTAGTAATGTGCTATTGTATTGACTTTTATTTTCTATTCTATGTTATTTAACTTTATTTTAAATCTGGTGTTTGCATTACTGTACTAACTAATGTGGTTTATGCCCTGCTATGTGCTCAGTAGGTTTATGTCCTTGAATCGATCGGTAGTTTTTGATCTATGTTATGTTTTCTCAGTTATTATAATGGAGCATTCATCCTCTCATAAGGCAGATGTGTTTGTCGCTCACTGGGAGGTTGTTGGGCAGTTAAATTTGTGGGTCAAACCACCACAAGAACCACAATTCCTCTCCATGTCCGCTTTCAGTTCTCTGTTGCATTTCCTCTGTGGTACTCGAGTCAGAGATGCATAACAAAGAGGTGTCAGAATCACTCTGAATAACGAGGTGGGGTAGATATATGAACATGTTTTATTGATTTCAGGACTTCCTGATCATGTTCATCCATCACCTGGCGACTGTCAGCCTGATCAGCTTCTCCTACGTCAACAACATGGCGCGAGTAGGAAGCCTGGTGATGTGTGTGCACGACGCCTCGGACTTTCTACTAGAGGTGAGTGATGGTCGTGTCTGTGATGTCTGTCCAAATTTGCTCCAACTTTTAGCCCATGCGGTGATTCCCACTACAGAGTCATGACCTTTTACAGCCTTGTCCCTTCTGTACAGAGACTCCTCCAGATTTTCTGAATCTTTAGATGATATTTTGACCTTTAGACGATAAAATGCTTTTGGTGATGAACCTCTACCTATACTCTGTCATGTTACAAACTGAGTTTAGCCGTGTGATGTTCCTCTGGGACATTTTTCTGTGTTTTTGTTGTCTCTGTCTGAACTTTTTTGACACTTGTTGCCTCCATCAAATTTACATGGTCTGATATGTTTTCTTTGCTCTGTTTTCAGCCAAGTGTAAATTTGATATGATTTGGAAACCATAAAAATATATTCATTTGAGCATTTTACACTAAGGTGACCATATTCTGAATCCTGGCGTGGAGTTGTGGAGTCACACATAGTAAATTTTGAGGGTTTTTCGGGTCAGGTTGTGTGTTTTTTACGCACTTCTAACTTGGTTAGTCCACACTACGCAAACTTAAAACTTCCATACAAAACCCCGGACATTTGAGGGATTTTAAAAACTCCCCCAGACAGACCGGACAGCCCCGAAAAAGAGAACATGTCAGAGTAAAAGAGGACGTATGGTCACCCTATTTTACACAGCGTTTCAGCCACTTTATAACTGTGTACAGAGTCCTGATCAAAATGAAAGTATATTTGGTGAAATGTGGCCTCTGAGTGTTTGTCACCTCTGACACTGAACACATGGTTAATATAGAAACAGACATATATTGTCTCAGCTTTTGTTGATACTGCTGACACAGTGTTTATATGACTTAAACCCTCATATACGGTGAATCCTTCTTCTGTTTGTGATTCTGTAAAGCATCTTTTTCCCCAAACAGTGAAGATAAATAGTGATTGACCGAAATCTAAACATACACAGATCATCAGACGAAAAGCAGCTCTTCACACATATCTGTGATCACGACCTTTCACATCTGTTTCTCTCTTCTTCTACAGGCCGCCAAGCTGGCCAACTACGCTAAGTACCAGCGCCTGTGTGACTTCCTGTTCATCGTGTTTAGTGTGTCGTTCTTCATCACAAGACTTGTTATATTTCCAATATGGTGAGTTCACAGTGTAAATGTCACAGCAGATTAAACACCTCCATGGTTTTAGCTCATGAATGTTTAAAGAAAATGTAGTTTCTAAGAAAACACCTGACTGCTGTTTAGAAGAAACCCTAAAATAAGATTTAACAATCAGAGGAGGAAAAACTTCCCCTCACAGTGTCTGACAGTATTTTACACTCTGGAGATCCCTGTCATGTTTGGGGTTAAAGGATCCTTCTGGAAGCGGCTCATCCTTGACAGGGACCTGGATGTTGAAGCTCAGCCTCCAGAGAGCCAGACAAAAGAGAGCCGATCATTGGTGAAAGTAACCCGAGCAGCTATATTCAGTGTCTTGGTGTGGATGAGTGATAAAGCTAGTGTTGCCGGCGCGGCTTCTCTGGACTGAAATCCAAACCTCTGCAGGGGGAGGACGGTCTGTTGACTACCTGCTGTCACTCAGCTGGATTTAAAGGAAGCCATGACCTCACCTACACTCACCTGACTGACTGCACACTCAATCCACGGAGCTCCCCTGCTGGGTTGTCACTGACGTCCAGATGGGACTTTTATTCTGCGCTCTTATAATTGGTCTCATTAGAGAAGTGCTGACTAATCAAACGAAGGCACAGTTTGACTTCTCGTTCCCCTCACTGGGATAAATTATGCACACATGCATGAGTGCGCACAAGTCAATAATATTCCCACTTGCCCGTGTATTTGTCCACTTGTTTTCCAGGATCCTGAACTCCACTATGTTTGAGAGCTGGGCCATCGTGGGACCGTACCCGTCCTGGTGGCTCTTCAACTCCTTACTGCTGGTCCTCCAAGTGCTGCATATAATCTGGTCCTACCTCATAGCCCGTATAGCTATCAAAGCCGTTCTACGAGGCAAGGTGGGTCCCTGCAGAAACCACATCCCAAACTGTTTAACAAAGTTAAGTGTTTCAGCGGGGGGAAGAAAAGGAGAACTTTTGCACACCTGCAGCGTGGACTATATTTAGAGAACAGAGTGTGAGATGTGAAGCCAGAAAACCGCCTTGATAAGTGCTGACTCATTGCACTGGGGGAGTCAAGTCAAGAACCGGGCTGGGAGTCAGGTCGACAGAGAGGAGACAGGAATGAAACGAATCTGTAAAACATCAGTCCACCGTGGAACAGCTGTGTATTTAAAGGGATATTCCGGCGTAATATTAACACACCGTAACACAGAGTCAGACACCCCCTCCAGAGATGAATGTTGGCGATCGCTTGCTTCTCTAGTTAGACCAACTTTAGTACTGTAGCTGGGACCCTGTATGTCCTGTTGATGAAGTTAGGTGCTGTTCTGAGCATTATTTGTGTCTATAGAGTGGCTTTTGGGTTGAGGTTTGTTCATGACTCCTCAGACCGCCGTATATTTTTATCATGCGGTCATTACTAACGTTGGTCTAACTAGAGAAGCAAGTGGTCGGCAACATTCATCTCTGGAGGGGGGGTCTAACTCGGTGTTACAGTGTGTTCGACCCTAAATTAATTTTACGCTGGAATATCCCTTTAATTTTATCACTTAATAACACACAAACACACCCTGCTGTACACTGAGAGTGAGCACACACAGATCTATATGTGATAAACTTATCACTTAAGATATGAAGTCCATTTTGATAGATTGTTTAAGGACAGCTAAAAGAGACAGGAAACGTGGCGAGTAGAGAGAGGAGCGAAACAGGCGAGAGGCTGAGGGTGTGAGGTGAACCAGCAACCGCTGCAACAAGGACGACAGCCTCTGTATCTGGGACACTCTAGACCAGACCAGAGGAGCCTCTTTATAAGGTCTTCTTGGTAACCACATAACAAACAGAGAATAGATCTTTGTATTCAGTGATTCACAGATAATGAGACACAGTTATTTTACTTCTAAAGAGAGCTACTGCTGTTTTTTTTTTAATCGAATTTGGATTTATTTAAATACTTCAGACTTTAATTCAGACAGAGACAAAGCTCCCAAGTTCAGCTCTCTCTTACAGCAGCGAGGTGGCTGTCTAACATGAGTCTGGTCCTGCTCAAGGTTTCTGCCTCTTCAAGGGAAGTTTTTCACTCATGTTAGATAAGATGGGTCAAATCTGTCCCATCTCAAGGTTGGGTCTTTCTGATTCACTGAACAATGAGCGTGGTCTAGACCTGCTCTTTTTTTTGGAAAGCATCTTTGGGATAGCGACTGTTGTGATTTGGCTCGATATAAAATTTGATTGATTGATTAAGCATTTTCCCCAACATGTTTCATTGATTTATTTGAAACTTTATTCAATCAAAAAGTCTTATGTTCATGTTCACACTCCTGAGTCAAACAGTCATCAGCTAAAGCATCTACAAGCTGAGAGATCTATATCCAACACGTCAAATCTACTCTGAGACCAGCGTCCTCAAAACCAGACCAGATCCAAATCTGTAGGAGCAGCATACCTAAAACCCTGTCCTTGTGTGGATACATAAAGCAAAAATAAACCATGTGACTGAGTCACAGAGCGAAAGACTGAAGCCTTCGACATTCTTTAAATTCATAAGCATCAAAAGTTTCTAAAGACGTGTTTTAATCTGATTATTTTCTTTTGCTTGCAACAGATCGTGTGATAAATACTGATAGTTTCAGCCTCTCTGTGATAATCTGCTGAGAGGTCAAACATCATACCGAACATGAGAAAACTTTATTTTACATTTTTGTGTAAGCAGAGTTAGAAAAATAGTCCCAAACCTAAACCTCTACATACGTTTGTATTTGGTTTGGTCACATCCTCATGAAAATAATGTGTTTAAAAATAAGATAAGTGTTTGAAAGTTTACAAAAAACATTAATTAATATGAATCCCATCCAGGCCGATGTCAAAGAGCACAATTTGTACAGAAACGTTGAGCATCACGTCACGTCCCGGCGCAGCTATTTTTGGTGATGAATTTGCTGCCTCCACACTTTGACTCCCGGCTGTCCCTGACTCTGTCTCTTCTCTCTGCAGACGCTGTTTGTTTCCTCTCCCTCTGGAATGAGAGAGGGAGATCCTGTCTTTCTGTCTGTCTTTGTCCAATGAGCCCCCCACCCCACTCCTTCCTTCTCCTCCTCTTCTTTCGCCTCCTCTGCTGCTCTCACTTTCTCCGTTTGCTTTGTCTGCCTGAGACCTTTCACCTTCTCTTTTGCCGCTGTAAGTTCTTGCACTTTTTAACAAGTCCTCCTCTTCTAACAGTTTTATGTTATTCTCTATGAAGGTCAGATTAATTGAACAGCTGCTGTTTTTGATTCACTCTCTAACTCAGCACTCAGAGCAGTCAGAGTCGTATATGATGAGAAGTGTGGTAATAGAGGCGTGAATGTCAGGTATGTCCAACTGTTTCTCATTAGGGAGGCGTGTGTTCAGATTGTACAGCACCACCACCCTGTGGTTATGATGAACATAACTCATTTACATTAATATTGTAGAGCAGGATTTCTTAGCAGGGGAAAATGTCTTTAAAGTGATGATTTATTCCAACAGAGCAGCAGGAGCATGCTGGATTTGACATTTTAGCATGAAGTTATAAAATACCTCAAAGTCCACTAACCTTTTTTTTCTTTTGCTTTTGTCGAGCAATATAAAGCCAAATAATAACTCACACCAAACAGCTTTACTCAGGGGTCAGCTGGTAAAGTGTCACATTAAAAGGTAGTTCAGACAAGTTTCCCAGAGCAAAGCTGTTGTAAAGCCAATAATCAAAATGTCATATTATAGAATGATAAAAATGTCACAGTATAATTCAATAAAAATATCAAAGTCCAGTATGTTAAGAGTGTCATAGTGAAGTATGAAAAAATATCATAGTATAGAAGAAAAGATTCATAGTGTAGTATGATAAAAATATTATATAGTATGTAAAAAATTGTCACAGTATAGTTTGATAAAAAAAAAAATCCTAGTATAATATAATAAAATGTCATAGTATAATATGACAAAATAATCACATTATAGCAAGGAAAAAATCATAGCATACTATAATAAAAATATCAGATAATAGTATGAAAAAAATGACAACAGTGTCATTAAAATGTCACAATTACCACATAGTATGATAAAATAAATTGTCATAGTATAGTATGATAAAAATATCACATTTTAGTATAGTAAAAAAAAACTTTTTAGTATTTAAAAAAATGGTCACAGTCTATTATTAATAAAATACCATTGTATAATAAGGTAAAAATGTCATAGTATAGTATGAGAAAAATACCATACTGTGGTATGATAAAAATATAGTATAGTTTTATAAAAAAAAAATGTCATAGTATAGTATGAAAAAAGTTGCTGAGCGGCGATCCTCAAGGGAACAAGAGAGAAACCTGGGACCAAGACCAAACCACCTTTAACCATGTACTGGTAACGGAATGAAAGTATCTATGATGTTGCCTTTAATAGTTATGGGCTATTTAAAAAAAACTTTATTCAAGTGATTGGCATTGTCTGAGGCCTTTATAGCAAGATCAGACAAAAAAATTTAAGTGTTGAGGGTTAGGTTTTGGGTCAGGGGTTAGGTTTTAAATCACCGTCCAGGACCTATTTAGGAGCACAATTCAGACCATTTGTAGTCGATAGGTACAAAAAAGAAAATTAGGAAAAATGTCCAAATTTAGGGGGTTTTTAAGTTGAAAAACTTGAAAAAGGAAATCATTTTTAATATGAGACACATTTGTAAAACATAGACCAAAACAAAGATGTTCAACAAGGCCTTCAAGCTTCAATTTTAAGGATACAAAAAAAGTGAACTCAATGATTCATGGACGAACATTTTGCACCTAAGAGATAACACATACTAGCGTTTTCAAGTTGTGTGTACATTTTACTTTCACTTTTGCAGTTTTATAACATCTTGCAATTTTTTTTTGATGTTTCCTTCTTCATCTTCCTTCCAGGTGTGCAATGATGTCCGCAGTGACATCGAGAGCAGCTCAGAGGAAGAGCCCGACACGCCCTCAGATGGCCTCAGAACCTCTCCTCACTCCAACAAAGGCGAGAACGGCACTAACGGCCACTGCGCTGCTGCTGCTGCTGCTAAAGCCAGAGTGCAGAACCACAGCAGCTGGTGACACGGGGCCTGATGCTGGGGCCCCCTGCAGTCCGTCCCTTGTGTGTTGCTGTCTTATGACATTCCCACGACATGCAAGGCTCATGCCCACACACAGAAACACACCCTGCTATACACTGACAGTGAGCGCACACAGATCTATATGTGATGAACTTGTGGATGAAGAGACGCTGACATCAGCTTTGAGGAGCCCTGACAGCGCCTCCGGCTGACATGTAAAAGCTCAAATGAGATGGAAATCAGTTGAAGCAAATGATTTGCGTAGCTTTACGTTTTTTCAAATGATGGGATTTATTTGCTGCCAGATGTTTGTTGGTTTCAATGTTCTCTCCCAGTTTTATTGGTCAGATGAACTTGATTAAATTTGTGCTGAGGGTTGTTTCACACTGTGTCAGAAAAGGCAGAAAACTACTGCTCAGGAGGCTCAAACTTTGAAGTGTGTTGCATTGAAGAGCAGGTATTGAATTAAAATAAATATTTAAGCTGTGGTTTTCATCAGCTCTTAAACAAAGGCACCTGCTGTGTGTGTGTGTGTGTGAAGAACAGCACAATACAAAGGCTGAATCAGCAGTTTTTCTGCCTTTCTTTGATGACTGTGGTTTGAACCCTCGGACACATCGTTTGTGATTCGTTTATTTCTGTTTTACTGTTTTTTACTACGACTTCTGAGACCAAATGTGTATGAAATTGTTTGATGTCACTGCCTATAGAGGAATCCAGGTATAAGGACTATACCAAATGTCTGGTATTATGTTCTCACTTGAGTGCCTTGTAAAAAATATATTTCCAAATATACTCTGTTGAAAAATCACTTCCTTTGTGGCCTACTTTTCTACATAAAAACTACAAATTACTGCATGTTTAAAGGCAAACACTATGACATTTAAAATTTTAATAGTATAATTTAATAAAAATATCATGGTATAGTATATTGAGAATTGTCATAGTATAGTATGACAAAAATGTAATAGTTTACTATGTTAAAAAATGTCATATTAAAGTATGTTAACAAAATGTAAAAGTGTAAAAAATAAAATGTTATAGTATAGTATAGTATGTTAAAAGATGTCATAGTAAAGTATGGGGAAAAAAAAGTCATGGTTCTGTATGACGTATGTCACACTATACTAAAATAAAAATGTCATGGTAAAGTATGTTTACAAATATCATAGTAAAATATGATGAAACATGTCATAGTATTATATGTTGATAATATCATCAGTACAGTATGTCCAAAAAAGGTCATTGTATAGTATGCTCAGAAAACTCTTACTATAGTATGTTAAAAAATATCATACAACATGCTACAGTATTGTATGTTCAAAAAATATAGTATAGAACGTCAAAAAAAAGTCATAGTATAGTATGTTCAGAAATGTCATACTATAGCATGTTCGAAAAAATCATAGTATAGTATAAGAAAAAAATGTCATCGTATAGTATGGTACAAATGTCATAGTATAGTATGATAAAAAAAAGTTAAATTAAGGTTTGATAAATAATTTCACAGTCAAGTATAAGAAAAAATGTCATAGTATAGTATAAGAAAAAAATGTCAGTATGGAATGATCAGAAATGTCATAGTATAGTATGACAAAAATGTCATAATATAGTATGTTAAAAAATATCAGTATAGCATGTTAAAAAATAATTTAGTAAAGAATGTTAAAAAATATATCATAGAAAGGTATGTTAAAAAAATGTTTTAGTATAGTATGTTACAAAATGTCAAAGTATAATGAAAAAAGGTCACAGATTATTATATTAAAAAGGTCATAGTATAGAATGATAAAAAATGTCACAGTATAGTATATTAAAAAGGTCATAGTATAGAATGATAACAAATTTCACGGTATAGTATGTTAAAAGATGTCAGTATGTTTTAAAAAAAAAATGTCAGTTCCGTATGACATAAAATGTAACAGTCTAGTAGAATAAAATAGTCATGGTAAAGAATGTTAACAAATATCTTAGAATAGTATAATAAAACGTGTTATAGTATGTATGTAAAAATAATATCATAGTTTAGTATGTCAAAAAAATGTCATAGTATAGTATGTTCAAAAATGTCATAGTAAAGTATGAGAAAAAATTTCCTTCCATAGTATGATTAAAAATGTCGTAATATAAGATTTTTAAAAAGTCAGAATAAAGTATAATAAAATAGTCTTTGTTTGTTATGACAAAAATGTCATAGAATAGAATGTTAAAAAAATTCATGGTATAATATGATAAAAATGTCATAGTATAGTATGATATAAATGCCATAGTATAGTGTTATAAATTTCATAGAATAGTATTATAAAAAACTTCATAGTATAGTATGTCAAAAAAAATATTACATTATAGTATGAAAAAAAATGTCACACTATATTATGATAAAAATATTACAGTTGGTAAGTTAAAAAAAATGTATAGTATAATATGATTAAAATTATGGAAAATGTCATAGTGTAGTACGAGAAAATGTCATAGCAGTTTATTACCAAAATGTCATTATATGTATAAGGACTATCCTAATTGTCGGGTTTCACGTCATCCCTTGAGTGCCTTGTAAAAATATTACAAATATAATCTGATGAAAAATCACATTCTTCTTGGTGCAGTTTTCTAAATAAAAACAAATTATTGTGTTTAAAGGCATTTAATTTAATATAATACAAACAATTACAGCCATCTTCTTTTCTGAAACACACCAGCCCTACATGGATTTAATGCAGGTCATTGATGCAAATATGTTCTCAGTAAATTTGTTTGGCGAAGCTCTTACAACAAAACATCTTCCTTGAGTGAGCCGAATACCCTTACTGAAATCAGACAAACGTTCAGAGAAGATTCATCATCCTTATTATTTAGTGATGGACGAATATAGAAGAGGAATGGGTAATGTCCACATCAGTGCAAACAAAGAAGAGCAGTCCATCCAGTATCAGTCTTTGACGATTTCAGGGTCCTGGTTTTCTGCTGCCAGTTGCAGCTGGTTTTGCTTCTGCATGTAGCGGTATCCTCGCATTGTACACAGGTAGCCCCCATAGACCGTCAGAAGCATCATGGAGGCTGAGAAGGTCCGATAGCCGATGTCAGCCAGGCGCTTTCCAGTGATCATATTGAGGATCCTAAAAGACATAAGTACAAGAAGTTAGAAGAGGTTTTACAGCAAAATACTGACCAGGAAGAGTCTTTAAAAACTCTTTAATTTTTTAATGCCTATAAATAGTGCAAGTGTGACCATAGCAGCCTTATTTTTAAACTTAGCATAGAAAATATCCACAATAAGTAACACTACATGTTGAACAAATATGATGTTAAAAAGTCCAAATTTAAAGAGCTAAATCTCTGTAGTGGACAGCTTTGTTTAGGTCAGAAGTTCTTGTTTAATACTTTGAGACTTTAATATCTGAATACTGTGTCACTGTTATAGTGCAGTGCTCATAAAGTACAGGGTGAAATTCTCAGTTTGACATCTGAATGTATGAGAATATGAAACACAAACTTAGATGCTTTCAACCCAGTGACTGAGACACAATTCTGTATTATTTGTTATTGTTTCATTCTTTCAGTATCAACACAGTAAAGGAGGGTTTGATCCGAGCCTTCGGTATCTCTGGTTTGACAGTTAAAAAGTTGTCATTTTCTCTGTTATTTATTTCCTGATTAGTTTGCAGCCTGTCAGTCAGCAGTGAGAGCTTTCATCTTTGAACACATTTCTCTTGTTTTAACCTCACGTTTCCTCAGCAACCACTAATTCAATAAGAGTCACCTGTCTGTCTGTCTTACCTGATCTTTCACAGAATACCTGCAGACTCGGGTTTTTGTAGACTATCCGTCTTCAATGTCAACACGCAGACATGCAGAGTTAGCACACAGGCTAACTCACCTTTGCTTTCGTAAGATACGGCAGCCCGTAAGGGACGTTTCCGGTTTTCGAGTGAAAACAGTCCAGTAGACGTAAAGCGCGCCCCCTATTGACTCGGAGTGAACACAGTCAGTATTTCCAAAGTACACTGTGTACAAATTGTTACTTGTTCTCAACCACAGCTTTAAAACAGCGCACGGATTAAATAAATGCTTTCTAAAATTATAATTACAGCATTCTTAGGAGGTAATAAATATTTTTAATAGTGAGTGTTTCTCAGATACCAATAGTTACAAACAAGCAGTTTTTCATCGCGGTTTTTTAAATGGTTGGCCGTTAAATCACTAACCGTTCCACTGCTAAAATTCAGTCGCCGTATTGTTTTAAATCGTGTCCGTAAAATTAATAAATGTTCAAAACACAAACATGAACTGGGGTTTAAATTATTATTTTTAATCAATTTCACCGTCTTCACTGGTGTTTCTTTAACTCCAGGTGATTTTGACCCGGAAACACTTGGGGAGTTGAAAGAGGAGGCGGGCTCAACAAAATGGCAACAGCAACATCATGCTCCACAAACGGTCAAGAATCTGTAGAGGAAGATACAAATGAGGATCCAGGAGCAGCACCTTATGGAAACTTTATCAACTATTACACCTTTAATCCTCCTGAAAACCGTCTCAGTCTGATTCCAGTGACACTCCTTCAGGATTTAGGTTACAGAGACGGTCAGAGAGACACACTGATTCTGGACGTGGGATGTAACTCAGGGGTAAGAGAGGCAACCATAACAAAACTGTCAACAAACCAGGATTTAAAAAAAAGATTTACTTTTCTTTTTTTTTCATTCAGTTTTTATGTGCACTCTCCCACACTTCGACACAGTGGGTCAGGTATGGAACAATAATCAAATTATACAAGTTACAAAGCTTTATTATTAGTCCTTTACTCTGTTTCACATAACAGTTGTTTTTGCTATTTTAACTTCTTTTCCATTAATATGTGATTTCCAGGTCAATTTATTATGAATAATAACACCTAATAATTTTATTTCATTTACTCTATTAATTTCAATACCTTCAATATTTACTGAAGCATCAATGTTTTTGCCTTTGTTATCCAATAGCATAAAGTTTTTTTTCCCCCAGTATTTAAAAATAATTTATTTACATCAAACCAGTGTCAAATTTTTTTCACTTCTTTTCTGACCACCTCCAACGCATATTCTAGATTTCTCCGGTATAAAAAAAGGTGGTATCATCAGCAAAAAGAATAAATTTTAAGAGTTTTGAGACATTAACAATATCATACTAAATAAACAGTTTTGGTCCCAGAACTGACCCCTGGGGCACCCCACATGTTCAGCTGCATATTTCAGATTTTACATTATTTGAACACACTTATTTCTGTTTTCTAAATAACTTGTAATCCAATGATGTAAGTTTTTTTAAGAAGAATATTATGGTCTATGGTGTTAAATGCCTTACTATTTTACCTTTTAAATCACCTTTATGAAGCTTTTGCATTTTCATCCAGTTACTGAGGAACTAAATTCAGCCCTTTTTTTGTCATTTACCTGTCTGTAGGATCTGAGTGTGGCCTTATATAAACACCTGGTCCCAGAGCCTGTCTGCACAGAGGAGTCACAGAAAGGCAAAGTTCACCTCCTGGGCTTTGACCTGGATGAGCAGCTCATTCAGCGAGCTCAGCAGGCCAACCCTCTGCCCAACAACATCTCCTTCATCCCTCTGGATGTCACTCAGGACACACAGCAGCTGCAGGACTACCTCAAACAGCACAGCAGCTCCCACTTCCACCTGTGTGTATGCCTGGCTGTCACCATGTGGGTTCACCTGAACCACGGAGATGACGGCCTGCTGCTGCTGCTCTCTCGCCTCGCCTCCATCAGCCAGCATCTCCTGCTGGAGGTGCAGCCTTGGAAGTGTTATCGCAATGCAGCCCGACGACTGAGGAAGTTGGGTCGCTCTGACTTTGATCACTTTAAGACCCTAAAGATTAAAGGGGACGTAGAGACGCATGTTAGGGAGCACCTGGAGAAAAACTGCGGCATGGAGTTTGTCCAGATCTTTGGTGAAACAACGTGGTGCCGAAAACCGATGCTCTTTAAAAGGAGATGAGACTGAAGGATGGTGCTGAGCTGTAGTCTTAACAAATAAAGTCACTTTTTATGCAGATGTTCTATTATATTTTTCTGTCTCATGTTTACTGACAATATTATCCTCGCTGTAACGTACTGTCTGTCTCTTTGGAGGAACTCTGTGTGGAGCTTCACATGCATACTGACCACTTCTAAACTTAGTGGTTTGCACTGAAGCTTTTACCCAATTTGAGTTCTCACTTGACAAAAAAAGTAAACCGATAAGCATTTTGACATTAAAATCAGTTAAATTTGCAAAGTAATAGGCTGCTTTTTTTCTGCTACAATACACCAAAGGATCTTTTTCTTTCTTCGATGATCATTCAGTGGATGAAACATCAGTGAAGGGTAAAAATCGCTTACAAAATCCCAGAACATGAAAAGTTTTGACCAAGCAGCATTTAGCACTGCAGAGATGTTTGATTTAAAAGATGTAAAAACACAATAAAGTATATTAAATTGTCAAAATAAGTTCTGATTTAGGTCTTTGTTAGCGCTCTGGAAGAAAAATAGTCAATCTCAGCAAAGTTAAGGACAAATAAAAGATAATTAATGGAGCTATTGTCCATGCTGTTGACTGTCCTCAATCAGTGGACAAGAAAAAGCACCCTCTGATCTTTCCGACTCAGCCTGATGTGTGATGAACATGTCTTCAACTGAATCAAGCCACACGAAGCACGTTAATTTTCCTCATTTTAATTACAGAATACTAAAAATAACATTACATAAAATGTCTTTTTAAAAGAAACCATTGAATATTACAAAGGTTGTAAATTTTGTAAAGTTAGGATATAAAATCTTTGAACAGTGGTGCATAATTGAAAAGAAAAATAAATTTCATAAAATGTATATATTAACTGTTCTACTACATAAAAAATGAGATGGACACAAAATCGCAGACAGACGAGATGAGTGGACACCGCCATTACCGCAGTGAGCTCTCCTTTCGAAGGAAGAAAGACTTGAGATGCACAGCACACACCACAATCAGCTTCAGGTCTCAAGTTATGTCAATGTTCAACGGAAAAAAAAAGAAAATAGAGAGAGAGAGGGAGGGGTGTGTGGATTTACAACAGAAGAAAACCAACAAGATCAAGAGACTACAAAAAGTGACTTGGTGGCTGCTCCCAATATTCACACACATCTCGACTAAACTGGCCTTGGTTCCATAGACACACACTGTTTTTTCCACAGGTTTAAGCTGTACAAAGAGTTTTGAGAAACCTCATACTTAAAATTCATTCCACCAAGACAGGGAAACAACGATCAGTCGGCTTTCAGTGTCGTTACACAGCCATTCCTATATCCTACTGTACAACTGGTCAGTCAGATCCACTGAAAGCTACCATGGTCACATAATTCAACATCAGGAGGTTGACCTCGAGGAATTAGACTATACACAAGAGAGGAGGAGGAGGAGGAGGAGGGGAGGAGGAAACATGCATATTTCCAACAGTGTGCTTGCTTTCTTCCTCTTCTTTCTCAGATTCACCCTGTGTCACTTCATCATGAGCCCTTGTTAAGATGTTTCAGCCACAGAATCGCTCAGAAAGAATCACCCATCGAGGACACTCAGAGCCAGTTTGGACCGCAGATGTCCCCCCATGTACACGTCACACTGGCCAGTCATGTCCACACAGAGGTATTTCAGTCGTCTCCTGCTGTTTGGGAGACGTGTTGTGTCACATTTTTGGTAAACAGACACAGGAGGGGGCGAGGGAAGAAACAGTTTATTTAGGTGTTCTCTTAAAAAAAACCTCCAAGATATGAATTGAATCAAGAGTTAGGCTGAGTGGCAGAATCACGTTTCCTTCTGTGCAGTAGTAGTGGTTTCGTTGGCCCATGAAGACCGGGTGGAGAAATACAGAGAAAAAGAGTGAGGAGGAGGGGAGGAACAGACGATCACCCAGAGGACATCTCAGAAGACAAAAGAGGCGTTAAAGAGGAGAGTGAGGCGACAGAGACCAGCAGAGCTACTTGGTTTCGCTGGTGTGTCGCTCAGACAGCCGGAGAGTTCGTATCAACTGGGAGAGAGGAGCTGCTGCTGCTGCTGCTGTAAGCTAATAATGCTGTTTAGGTTCAGATGAGTCCCCCTGAGTTAGTGCACACGTCAGAGTCAGGCAGGCCGAGCCCGCTTGTTCGTTAAGAAATCCACAAAAAGAAGCATTAAGAAAAAAAAAAAAAATCAATTTCATAATCAAGCTTACAATTAGCTTTGGAGAAAGAGAGAGAGAAAAAAGAGCCTGTCGTCGTTTTTACAAGTCTGTGATGAGGGGAGGGTTCAGTTGATGTTAGTGTGGAGGAAGGAGGGAAGAGGGGAGACAGTTCAGGCGTAAAAGAGAACTTCTGAGTCCTGCTCATTTTCTGAAAAAACTCGGACAGGTTTGCATTTTGTGTCGTGAATGTGCGCTTTGTCGAGCCCAACCAGAGACCGTGTTGTGTTGTTTTTGAGCGTGCTCAGACTGAAAAACCCGGATCGGAACATCTGACATGATTCTTGAGGGGTGGTTGGTGCAGGTCTGCCCAGCAGGCGAGTGGTTGGGGGAGAGGGAGGGGAGGATCTGGTCGGGTGCTGGTGTTGCAGGTTTTGCTGACTGTGCGTCGGTCAGACAGACAGGTAGGTAGACAGGCAGGTGGGCTGTAAGAGGGTTCAGGTTCAGCTGAGGCTAAATCAAGGGAGCTGTTTCCATCAGGCCTTTGTTGGGGTCCAGGCTGGCGAAGAAGCGAACGTCCCGGTCTTTGTCGGACTGCAAAGCCATCACGGTCTCTTCTAACTCGTCTGAGTAGGCACAGCCCGGCTCTTTGAAGTACGCTGAGGAAAAAAAACACAAGACACGGTCAGTTACGGTCAGTCACAGCAGAAAACAACCGGAAAATCAAAGAGTAACAGAGTCTTCAGGATGAGCTCTGATACAGCAGAAATACTTTTGATTAAACCTGTGGAGAATCAAAACACTCTGAAATGGTTGTTCAAGGAGGAGAGATTTTTTATATTAACTAAAAGAACATTAAGCATTTGTATCATTTACACTGATACAAATGAGTAAATTTAACGGTACAATCAGGATTCCTCTATTTCCTCTGCACAGTAATGTATTCATAATCCGGTACAAGGGCCAGTAGGGGGCAGTAGCTACAATTGAAGCTCTGTTTGAGGTTTTTTCAGTAATGTGCTTTGGAAAATTTTCACAAATTAAAAAAAACACAGGGAACATTGATAGTTTAGTTGGTTAAAAAAATGGACAGACTTTAAGACTAAATGAGAGCAAACAGGCACAACACTGTCGTGGTGAGAGGTTCAGCAGATGACAATAAAACAGGAAACCACACCGATAAATAGCAAACAAGATGAGCTGCTTTAGCTCTTTCTCCTCAATAATCGGCTTTACTTTAAACTTCCTGTAAGGATCTTTTAACTCGATTTAAAAAAAATTCTTGTTTCTGCTGATGTCTCCATGTCACCTGCAACAGCGAATGAGTCCGTCTGTGTGAAGATGAGATATTTCTAAGTACTAAAAACTGAGCTGGGTCGGGACCACAAATGAAACTATTTATGGCAGTCAGACCAAAGACGACACGCAAGATTTTTTCTCTTTATTTTGCACTGAAAACACGCAAATTACTGTCACTACACTACACTGTCACTCACCCAGACTGGTTTCCCATTTTAAAGTTAAGTTGCCTTTACGACAATATGCCCTAAAACACTTCCACTTTTGTCCATAGTGGCCGCCAAAATCAACAGAAAATGAAAACTCTGTTCAGCTGCTTTAACTATTGCTCCAGGCAAAGAAGATCAGTGGGTTTGTGGGAAATTTTGACATTAAAAACTTAATTTTCTGCTCCCTTGCCTTATCTGCTCCAACTTCTGTTTACTCACTTTATTTTATTTGTGTATTTTATTCCTACATGTTTCCACTTTATCTGCGCATCTGTCACCATCTCACATCAAGGAGAATTTAAGTTATCTTAACTGATCAATAAAGCACCGATCTAATTCAGTTCTGTTTCATTTATGTGGCCTATCTGTTTTAAAAATACAGCATGTATGAGACGGAGACGTCACAGTTAGCAGCTGTTTTTAGACCATACCAAAAACACAGCACCCCTCAAATCGTACACATACTTTTTTTTCCATTGCAACAACACATCTGAGTTGTTATCTGTCAGCGAACAGACGTTACTCTGGAGAACATTCTCAGCACAAACCATTGATACATGACACTGCTGTCCTTTCAAAATCAAAAAGTCAGAACTGAAAACTTCCACCTGAAAAATCTAAATCTAAAGAGTCAACCTTAAAGGATGAGGTTCTGGATGACTGGGAGAATCACTTCTCCTCTTGTGTAGGTTATTAAGAGTTGGTTTCATATTTGCTGCAGTAAAAAAAAACATCACCATGCAGAGATGATTTCTGTTTGGGAAATATTCATCTGAAAAATTCTAAACTGCTTTAAGAGACAAAGAGGTCTTGTTTCATAAGGTAAAGTACGAACAGACCACAGAGCATCGCTGCGTTTATGATTGACTGTTTCGAGAGGTTCTCATCAAACACTTGTTCTTCACCTTTCTCCATGACGCTCTGTCGTAGAGCCTTGGCCACCAGCACTCGAACGTTCGCCACGGGGTCTGAGGAGAGGCTGAGCAGGCTGGGTAAGAGGTGCTGACTGAACTGCTCCATGGGCATACAGTCTTCCTCCACTATGGCCTGCAGACAATAGGAGGAAACATTAAAACACCGAGTCACACAGAGTACGAGCCGACCGCAGGAAAGAGGGAGAGAGGCTTTGTAACACGAGCCGGCAGACAGATGCGACAGATTCAGAGTGTGTCATCAGGGAAGTTGACAAACTGGATCAGGAACTAAAGTTTACGACTGACGGGACATAGCTGACAAAGAATATGACTCACATGGAGGTCACACAGCATCACGGTTTCATTAGTATCCGTGTGGTAAAATAGTTCTTCACTTTCACTGATGATCATTTTAATCAGAATTTTAAAAATGAAACGTTTTTCTTTAAAGCAGTGAAAGAAAAAAGCATAAAAAGTGTGTGTTTAACATGAGTGTCCCGCCCACACACACACTCATGTTTCACTCCTGTTGTCCCAGACACTCAGAGCAGAAATCTAACAGGCAGGACAGATAATACGATAAGAGGTACAGACCTGGCAGATGAAGGCGAAGGCCTGCCGTCCCACCCATTTAGGACAGTGGCAGAACCTGACGGTGAGTTCATTGATAAAGTTCAGGCCCAGATCATCGGCCCCACATGCATACAGCTTCTGGAGGATCTCTACAACCTGAAACCACAAGAGGTCAGAAGAGGTTTCTTTTAACTGGACTTAATTACGGACATATAAAACAAACTGAATATAATTCGTCAGAGTGAGTCACTTCCCCGTTTATCTCAATTTTTCCAGTATTTTTGCTGACCAAACAATGTCCCGAGTTTTGGCCAGTTTTTCTACACCAGATGTTCTCTAACCAATCAAAAAAAACCAAACGAACAATAGACACACGTACCAGTTTGTAGGAGATCCACCTGACCTCTGACACTTTGTCAGAGCAGAGTGTGAGCGCTATTTGTCTGAGGTAGTCATACACGTCATAGTGGCTGTACAACTCTATGATTAGGATCAGCTGCCTGCAGACGGACGGAGAGAGAAAGAAGTCATTGAAAGACGGTTCGACTCCGTGTTTTTGTTAAAACTGAGAGAAATTAGTTCAGAACTGGAAGAGGGAAAGGAGACGTACTCTGCCAACTCATATCTGAATCTCCAGTTGCGGCTGTTATCCGTCACCATGAACTCCTGCAGCTGGTACAAATATTCTCTCCTCTTGTCTGCATGAAGCAGCTGAAAGGAGAAAAACGCGGATTAATACACTCTTTCATTTTGTACTCTAACAGTTTAAAACATCCTCAAAAACAGTTTTTCGTTCTTTACAAAGAGAACATTCCTGATATATCTAAAATAGAAACGAGAAAACGAGAACAGTTTGTACTTTCTCACCTTGAGGAAGTCGTAGAGGTGTTTGAGCACCCCGATCCGCACCTCATCCAGATCTTTGAGGAAACCGTTAAAGATGGGCACCAGATCCGCCGCCGTCAGCTGGTCTCCCAGGATGACTGCCAGCTCGTGGATGGAGAAAGCCAGCGTGCGTCGCACCTTCCACTGAGAGTGTGAATCAAGGTGGGAAAGAAACACAAAAGGGATAAACGCACAGCTTTGACCAGGAAAGTGTCCTTGAAGGAAAAATTATGACAGGTCTACAGAAGAGGATTAGGGCCACTGGGAGAAAAAGAAGTCCAATATAATTTTTAAAATTAATTATCTGAGATTAAAAACAGAACTCTGAGAAAAAAAGTCAAAATTCTGAGATTACAGTCAGAAATAATAGTAATAATAATTTTTAAATATATATAATATTATTAATATTTATTTCTCCACTTTATGGGGTGGGAACTCTGTTCTACAAAAGAGGGTTAGGGCCACAAAAAGAGAAAAAAATAATTACAGGAGGGAGATTTTTTTTAATTTCCATTTCAGGATAAAAGTCGAAATTTAAAAAACTTTGATCTCGAAATTTCGACTATAATTTCAGAATTTTTATTTTTTCGTATATGTCCCTCCATTAAATTAAAAAAAACTGCTTCTAGGTGTATTTTTGGGCTGCTATGAACAAATTATTTTTTTCTAATCTGTGTTTTGTGTTTTCTATGATTTAATAACATTTTGGTCTGTAAAGTTAAAATACAGTGAAAGCTCAGGATGACACACTCAAAGGTTCTCCTGAGGATGTTCAATTTACCGTGAAAGAAACAAGAAAATACTCATAAGAACCTGTGTAAAAAAACAACAACACTTAAACTCGTAAATTAACTAACAAGATACTCGCTCCACCTATAGACAGTAACTGATTTAGCCGTGAATTTAATCATACCTACATGACTGAAAACAATGTTACACACATCACATGACATCGATTTGAACCCCTCCTGTGACCGCTCTGAACAGAGAAGCGTTGTCATGCTGACAGTGACCCTCAGTGCTGCAATGAAGTCATGAGCAGCAGTGTGACTGAAAGCTGTCACACACACTCTCTCTTTCTCTCTCTTTCTCTCTCTTTCTCTCTCTCTCTGCTGTAACGTTTCCTTTCACACATTTCTACCTCTTTCACGCCTCCTCAAGCAACACGTTCATTACAACAGGTGTTACGCAAGGCGAGTGAAGGACATCCCTAAACAGACAGTACAGAGTATCTCAGTAAGAAGGCTGAGAGACACTCACACACTTCTATACCGGACTCCAACATAACATCCAACCTTTTCCAGCCTGAGTCTTTGTAACATCAAGAATTAGGACTGATTTTATCATGATATGGACTGATGCCACTGTAGGTTTGCTCATGATCACCACCTCCTCTCTGCCGTCCTTTGGCTTTCAGACACACTCCTGCTCTCCTCTCTTTCACAATCCCAGACTAAAAACTGAAAGTCTGAAGTAAATCTTGGAGTTTTTCTGAAGTCACAGCGTGCTCCCGTCATCTTGATTGTTAAGTTTAAGGTGGTGATCTGCGCTGTTTGATATCAGTCTTTTCCTAGTCTTGAGTTTGCGATAATATCAAACATTTTTGATATTATCGCAAGTCACAGTGACGTTACAACCAACAACCAATAGATAAGCTCTGACAAAAATGGAGAAGGAAACCTGACAGTTAAAAGAAGAACAAGAATGTATGAAGAATTACTGCCGATAAAAAAGGAGCGGAAAGTGGAGCTGTGGGCGGATCAGGCTTGTCTATTCGACATCAACTGCAGGGTTTCTCCTACATGTAATGGCGCACCGCTGTGGTTAAACAAAGCCGCCACACCTCAACAATAAAGTTTTTTTACGTGCTACCTCGGACTCAATATGAATCACTATATGTGGCACACACGGGCTGCACCGTGGGGCGCACGTGCTGAGTATTAGCATTAGCAAGTTCCGAGTTGTCATATGTTAACACACAGCTGATTTAATGAGCCGCCCCCCAAAAATCACACACCACCACAGATAGATTCCTCACCAATGGGAAACACTGAACTGTGTAGCCAAACTCTGTAGCACATGGATGTGAGCTCAAGAGAACAGGTGGCACAGAATCAGTCAGTCTCTATTATGGGGACCCAGAATTGAAATTGAAACTTGATCGATCGCCCAGCTTCCCTGCTTTATCCATTTAATAGACTAAATCAAACTTGATCATGTTTGCCCCGAACAGCAAGAGAAACTTACTTTAGTCTCGATAAAATACCTCTAAGACAATCTGTGCCACAACCAAAGACAAAGCCTGAAACATACGATTTATATGTGAACCGATCGAAGTCATTTCAGTGTTTCTGATTTCCTCTTGTAAGGTTTGAACATCCATAATGGCCTTTCGTCACCTGTTGTTAAATATCAGCCTAAATTACGTGTCACACACCGATGTCAGTAGCAAATGTTTATCTCAGTCCTACCACATCTTATCTTTATTGCATCAATTTAACGCTGGCAAGCTGAGACACCTGACCGGTGATTCAGAGAAGAAGTCACCGGTTGAACAAACTCCCATTTGTTTTCACGGTAACACGTGAAAGAAAATGGTGGCGCTGTGGGAGCACTGCACCAACTTTGAGAAAGATAAGACACTTTCAGTCAGTGAGAAATATTTAAGTGTCAAAGAGACTCAGATAGAGGGAATACTCGCAATTAAATATGTCAAATATTAAACAGAAAGAGTGCATAATTTAAAGATTAGTATTAGTCTCTTGTGTACTTCTGTAAAACAAAATAAAACTAAAGAGTGTAATTAGGCTTTGGAACTAAAACTGTACATTTATCCAATAAGAGTGAAATATTAATCATCTGTTTACCATGAAAGATAACTCCTGAGGGAATTCAAGAAAGCCTGTGTGAAGTCAACATCATCACCTCCCCTGCAGCGGGTTTTTCAGTCGATAAATAACTGCTGCTTACTCAGCTGTTTATCGTTTGTGTTTTGGCTTTGATTTCAAACACATCTCTATGATCCTAACTTATCCTGAAGCTAAATAATACGATTATTCTGAGCTTTACATCAAAGTTTCAAAGCTCAAATATCTGCGTACATTACTGTTTTATGGAGTGAAACAGAAAATGTAATCTCCGCAGACCCTCTTTATTTAATTCCGCCTCTCCGCCTACCTGCACATCAGTAGCGAGTGTTTCATATGTGTCCTTGAGGCAGTGCCAGTTCTGCCGTCCTAGAGTAAGCGCCACCCCCGGCAGGCTGAAGGCACAGTGTTTGGCTATCTCTGTATCCACCGTCTGAGCGCGGGCGGGGTCCGTCATGGAGAGGTACTGATCCAGAAGCTGCTGGGGGATGACATTCTGCAGACGGAGAGAGATTAAAGATTAAAGAGGAGCAGAGCTGTTCAATAATCCACGTTTGTACTGATCAATATTTACATTGAGGTCCGGATCAATAAAAGCAGTGTGTTTGAGATGAGTTGCTGACTGGACTGACCTGGATCTTCGGCCGGTCCTCAGACACCGGGCTGTGCGGAGAGTCTTCCTTTCCTTCCTCCTCCACACTTTCAATTAGTTCAGACTCCTGGGAAGAAAATCAAAAACAGGGTAAAAAAACAGGAAAGAGCCCAGAGACCTGAAGATGCATTAGAGATAAAAACAACTTCAATATTTCTTATCACTCTTTAAAGGAGCTTTCTTTTTCACTGCCTCAGGTTACATCTTTGATGAATGATGCTATTAAACATCCTGATCAATAGATAATAATACGAGTTTTGTTCTTGATTATAAATTCCTTAAAAACTCAAATGTGTTTTTTATCACCTGCCTCCATAGTTTATTGAATAAACTGTGGTTGCAGACATTTAAAAAGCTATTTTTTTGCTTTAGGACACACTTTTCAGCATCTCCGACCTTTTTCAACATTTTAGAGAAACCATTAAAAGGAGTCATGTGGAGCCTGGAAGTGAAGCCCTGATCTACAGAGATGCCAAGTCAGGAACAAAAGAGCTGCTCTGTTTCTTTTTTTCCTGGAAAGGATTTAGATAAGGACTGTTCAGATTGTGGACCTGAATCTAAATCTTATGACAGTTGTTGAATTTTCGCTTGTTTTGCAGGCCCCATGACAGCCAAATCTGATCAAAATACACCCACTCCAGCCTGAGTGAGTGAGCGTCTACTGTTAGACATTTAAATGATATTGAATAATCGCTAACAAGACTCTTTTATAAGTAAGACTTTCAGGGTCTTACAGGGATGGGGGAGTCAGGAGGAGACTCTTCTTGGTCCTCCAGTGGCTCAGTCTGCGTCTCCTCGTCTCCTTGCTCCTGGACTGGACTGGACTCTGAGGATGGAGATGTTTCCATCGTCTGTTCCTCTTCTACGGGACTCTCTTCGCTTTCTGACTGGACCTCCACCGACTTGCTCTCCACAGACGGGCTCTCCACGTCACTCTCGGGCTGTTCTTTGGGCTGGGGTTCAGGCTGGTCTGTGGGCTCTGCTGGACTGTCGTCTACAGGACTGTCGAGCTGTGCCGCCTTCAGAGCTGCTGACAGCACCTGGACTTGAGCTGAACATACAAACACAACTCAGTCTACATGACAATACAAATCAAGTTCTGCATCTTGTGGCTTCAGTTCTCTCTTCGAATCCTCACCTTGTACATCAGGGTCGTCCATGTGAGGCTGCAGACAGTCTAAGACCTTCTGGATCTGGTCACTCGTAGCTTTGCCCGGGCTGGATTTTGAATCAGGACAACTGCCTTCATATTTCTCCTCCTGCTCTTCCTCCTCCTTCTCCTCTCTCTCTGCTACTTCCGCTGGCGTTTGACAACTAAGCATTTCGAGTTCGCCGCTGATGTCCGGTAAAGGCGACCTCCAGTAATGGAAGGAGTTAAAGTTCTCGTCCATCTGCTCAGTTTCTTTTGTGTTCCTCGTGTTGTTTGTGGTTCTGGGGCTGGTGTTGCTGTTGGAGATCGTGTGGGTGAAGCTGCTGTGCATCTCTCGGGGGACTGAAGCGTGGTTGTCTTCATAGTTGTGCATATCGTCGTTGTCGGCGGTCGACACATGCTCTGGGGAAGGGGTGGCGCGCCCGTCCTGATTGGGAGGCGTGTGGGTGATGGTCCTTTCTGTGTGGCAGCTGCTGATGTCGGAGCAGTTCAGAGAGTTCAGGGAGCAGTCGCTGAAACGACAGGAACATAACGTTTACATAATGTTTACATGAAAAAAATGACTTCAAAACATAAAACTAGAAATCAATAGAGATGGGTGCAATTCATTGATGTGTCGACATCGATTAATTCATGTTGACGCTTAAAATAAATAAATAATAATGACGACGCTTTGTCGCAAGGTCGGAACAAAAAAAACACGTAACCGGAATCTTAACGCATGCGGCGTCCAGACTGTTTAGTGAGTGGGACCACAACAAACAGAGCGCGTTGGTTTCTTTGCTAAAGAGCGGCCGATTCTCTCGCCACCAGGATTGACTGCAACCAATGAAAACAAGACGACTTACAAGACCTACGCAAGATTTGCATTTTAAATGACCTCAGAAACACCACAAACATGAGGCAGCACTTTGTACGATTTCATCCCAAAACAGAGAAGGCTCCTCCGGTCGTAGAGGACCGTCCTGGAGACTGTCTCCAAACTTCCCAGTTTAAGTTAAGTAGGTCAAATTGCAAACGTTTACCTAACAGTCATTCGGTAATAAAATAAAATATTTTGTGTCCAATGTGGACACAGATGAAGACAAAATCAATCTTGTATGGGAAAAAACATCAAAAATGGAAACAATGGAAGAATCATGTCACCAATGATCAAATGGACAATCATTAAAATCAAAGCTCCTTCAATCGAAATCTAATTGAATCATGAGGTACTCCTATTGGAACACCCCTAGAAATTAAGGCAACAAAGGCAAACATGAACTCTTCAAAGCTTCCCTTTAAAAAGGTTTCCTGACTTCGGAGGTTAAAGACTCTGTGAAAAACACATCTGTGTCATCTTCAAGTCCTTTCACATCGCTGACATGCAGATGAACTTCTCGACAAAAAGAAAAACTGGTCCGACCTGATCACACCCAAAGAACTGGGACCAGTGAGGCAATACTTAATCCTCACAGTGATGTACGGATGATTGTCAGAGCATACAGACGTCACAACACACCTTATATGACATTTATATGACACCTTATATTCCCATAAAGAAGAAGGACAGAGGATGACACTTACCTGTCTAATGTACACCTGGGCACCTCTAGTAGAGCCCCGTCCTCTCTGAAGTGAAGGCCTGTGCTGGAGGGATTGGCAAATGTAGAAATAAAACGTCCTAGAGACTGAAAGGCAGCCTGTCGCACCTACAGGAGGGGCAGAGGGGAACCAGTCAGTTTCATTATCAACAACCAGATTTATCACACCTCGAACAGAAAACTACCTCCGACTGTTTATGACGAGATTATCTTCACTGGGCAGCATTTTACTGCGTAGACGTGATCCAAAACAGTTCACAGACACAGACAGTACAGATCTGTTTATAGGGGGTTAGTGTCTGCATACAGACAAGATCAAACTTGTTTATTGTCTCGAGCTGTTTGAGAAACTATATATGGACCCTCATGGGCATGGGTAGATGCCAAACGTACAACACATAGACCCACACTGAAGCTGAAAATACACCTCACACTTGAGACTGCGGGCGCTCTGAAACCATCACCGACATCTCTCCTGCACGCATCTGAATAATCGCATTTAAGTGTTTTTACCAGGTTTCTGCAGGTTTCAACGAATCGAATTTAAGACTTTTTAAGACTTTTTAAAGACTGTAATGAACACAACTTAACATCCATACTGGCAGAAAAGCACAGAAGACGAAGAAAAATAGGAACATTTCACATTACTTCAAATCAATCTTTATTCCTATGGCACGAGTTAATATATTTTTAAGACCTTTTAGAGTCGTATTTAATACATTTTTTGAGATTTTGAGAAAATTTAAGACATTTTAAGGCCTCAAATTCAAAATATTAGATTTTAGACATCGTAAAAACTTTTTAAGACCCCGAGGATACCCCATTTTTAAGACCCTAAAAGTCGTGTTAAAGACATTTTATTTTTAAGAGAATTTTAGACATTGTAAGGCCTCAAATTTTTGACGTTTTAATACTTTTAAGACCCCAAGGATACCCCGTTTTTAAGACCTTTAAAATCGCATTGAAGACATTTTATGAGATTTTAAGAGAATTTTAGACTTTTTAAGACTTTAAATTCAACACATTAGATTTGAGACGTTTTGAGATTTTTTAAGACCCCGCAGATACCCTGTTTTTAAAACCTTTTAAGACTCAAACAGAGATAAACTGCCTTTTTTGCACAACAGGACAAACAGTGACTTACACAGCAGTTGCGTATTTAACAAATATACAGGCCTGTCCCGGGTGTAAGAGCTTTATTGTGTGTCTCTAAAGTTGCCTCATAATGTTCCAGATTTTTACAGCTTGCCAAATTTCCTTAAACTTGCGTGTTTTTGTTTAGTTCTGCCTCACTTTTTGTACGTGGTTTGGGAATGTGTAGAAATCAATCTGCCATAAATGCAACAGCTATCACATGAACAACATATTTAAAAAAGAGAAAATTATATTAAATATAGCACAATCAAGGAGGTATGGATTTGATGATGCATGAAAGTATAAATAATTACAAAACACATCCCCAGATCCTCCGTTGTTTTACTCATGAATTTGAACTTTTTACATAAACAGAACAAAATTAACATTTTTTTTTATTCTAACAGTTTGATGTGTAAAACAAAGACTGAATCAAAATTAGACTCAGTGTTCGAAATCAGGAACAAGATGACGATACAGTGCAGCCGAGAAACGAAACAGCTGCTTAGAGGAAGTTACTAGACATCGATGTGCTTCTAATATTATGCAAATGAATAAATGACATTTTTACTCTTGTGTGGGTCACGGAGTTTGAGCATCTGTGCATGTGTGCGTGTGTGTGTGTTAATGCCTTACCCAGCGGGACTGGTCACTGATGAGGCTGATAAACAGTGGGGACAGTTTTGCACGTCGCACCTCCGGAGAGGTGGAGTTGGAGACCATCATGAAGCACTCGGCGCACGCTTTCCTGATGCCCCACAAACTGTCTGAGCAGAGGTCGAAGAACTTAGGCATCTGTATGAAAAAAAACACAGAACAAAGTCAGGGTGACTTTAGATAAACACTGAACTTTTGAACTGTGACAGCAGCAGCAGGCGCACGAGGAAACTCTGGTGGTATTTATGGAAAGAAAAACATATGGTTAGGCACTTTAACCATTAAAAGCGCTTAAACAACACTCAGCTGTCCTAAGAAGGACACCAGTGTTACATAATCACACTGTTAACGGTTGTCAAAGTTGTGATCTGTCTTGCTTGCAGCACTGACAGGTTTCAACTCATTAAATGTACAGATATGGGCGTCTTCTCAGATCATCGTTGGTGGGTTAAATTATACCTCACACACACAGTTTGATGTTTGTGTCAAAGTAAACACAAAGCTTCTCACCAGTAGTTTTTCTGTGGCCTCCTGACCCACGATTGAACAAAACTCCCCAAAGTTAGCAGCACAAACCTGAAAGACACAAAAACAAATATGACAATCCACAAAGCAAACGCTCAGGTCAAATAAACAACAAGAATGTTTGTTATCACCCTCAAACTGTTATGTACTCAAACAAACTCTCATCAATGAAAACTTGACAACTAGAGATAGTAGTTCTTATATCAATGAAGTAGAGCTGAATGATTTCAGCCAAAAATAAAATCCTGTTTTTTTTTCTCTCAAAACTTGATTTTCAATTCCAATTTTTATTCAGTGACGACTTCACCAAACTTCACTTTAATAATAAAACGGACACTCGCAGGCGCCATCAAAGAGTTACGCTGTGTGTCACATGATCTTTTCCAGAGATGCAGATAGACATCCACACGGAGATGAAATGGTCGTCGTTTACAGATTTATTCACTCTCTGACCCGTTTTCAAAAAGCACCGTTTACAGTCACCTGAAACGCCGTTTCCGTGTGGATGAAACGCCGATATGACAAAAAACTTTTGCATTTACTCCTGAATTTGTTTCCGTGGTGACGGGTTGATACCGCTTTCAGACAGACTTTGTAGTGGGGAGTGGTTTGCTCTTCATCTGAAACTGTGAAGTCGTACCAATTCAACACGACTGACTTGTTCTTGTCCTATTTAGGCACGAAATTATCGCCTTCTTTTGCAAACGCCATGTTTGTTTACACTGGTGTGTGTGGGAACTGGGGAGAAGGGAGAGCCTATGGTGGCCTGGAGGCGCGAGACATGATAGAGAGGAAAATCAATTTGAGGATTTTAATTTTTTTTACATCGTCATAATCAAATTATCCGATTGTGATTCTAAATTGATTAATCGTGCAGCCCTAACGATGAAGTATTTAAACATTCAAGTAATGTTTTTTTGCTCTTCTGTCATCGTCACTTTTGTCTTCAGTTTCTCACTCTTTGTGTGTTTGTTGTCTTTGTCTTGAGGGCGGTCAGCATCTTTTCCCTGCTGTATTCCCATGACCTTATAAATTTAATTTCCATATCAAATAGGAAAGTCCCAAACTGTCTGCCATCTGGAGTTGTATTAGAATCAAGCTACACTAAACTGACGTCATTTCAAACCACTGATTATCAAATTTATCTCCGTTTCTAAAAGATGAAAATTCTTCATCTCATTCTTCATCTCATTTTTAACTTGCAGTTTGAACACAAATATTTGTTGATAGAAATATTGATTTTAATTTACTGTTAGTACAATATTTTCAATAGATGACAGAGCTGCAATAAACTTAATATGTTTGGTTGTAGTTCTATTGCACAATTGCCTGATAAGTCGCATCTCCGATGACTCACAGAATGGTAATCAGGGATTATACAACTATTGAGACTGCTGCCCTGGGCAACAACAGCAAAAATACACAATGAACTTTAAAGAGCAGCTTCCAAGGAAAAAAAAAGAGGATTACAAGAAAGTGAGAGAGTCAGATAGTTAGAGGAAGACTTTTAGAAGAAGTTCAGTTAAGCCAACTGCAGTCCTCACAGAAAACAACGCAGAGTTCAGACTGATGCAGAGAGCCGATGATTTTATCTCTTATGACACCTTCTTAAACTCTGGGTCACATATATTTCTGGACCTGAAGCCTGAAACAGATTTTTTGTGCTATTTAGAGTAAATGAAAACAGTTTTGAGGGTGTTACCTTGCGGACTTGAAAGAGTCTGACGTCACTGCACAGGTCGCAGAAGCGTGGTAGCAGCAGATGCTCCACTGTGTCTTTGCTCAACATGGTGACAACTTTACACATGATCTGTGAGGAAAGGAACATGGAGAGAGTGATGAGGAGGTGTTTACTGATGAAAAAACTGATCTGGATGGATGAATTAGACACCAGACTCCAATGAAAGTAAATGAATTTTTGATACAGTGGAACATAAATCTCAATCAAACTCAATGTTTAGCTTTTAAAATAATGACAGTTTCATAAAACATGATGTATTACAGTTGATCTAATCTAAAAACACAATCTCTGCCGGCATCAATCATGTACCGTCAATTTAAAGGCCATTTTTATTTCTGACTGGTGACTGGATTAGATACAGACACTGACTGATCACAGTTGAGTAAATAAAAGAGACTCGCTTTGCCAGTAGTTTAGTGGCAGTTTGTCTAGAGCTATGCGGTTTTCAGTGGAATCAGCCCGTAAATAAATATCTGTAGCTTTATTAAATTTCTTTGAAATCTTACCGCAACTGCTTCGATTTTGTAGTCGTCGTCACTGCTGGGTTCTGTGAGTTCAAGCAGAACTGGACAAACTTTGGTCTCCATATCGGCTTTAGAAATCAGGCCCTGCTCCAACAGAACGAGCAGCGCCGCCTGGCTGGTCTTTCGCACCTGGAGAAGATAGAGGGGTTTAAAGTTTTGATGTGAAAAATGAAGTACTGACTGGGCTCTCATTGTGGACATCTACACGGAAAAGGGCATCAGGCTGAACCTACCTGATTATTTGGATCAGTGAGATATCGGACTACAATGGGAACCAAGTATCTTGAGAAAGCAGCGGGGAAGTTGGGCCGACTTTCATGTAAGAACATGGCAATGTTGGGGACCTGCTCCATCAGTTCAGCTCGTACTGTGGGCTCTGTGTGAACACATTAGAAAGTAAGCGACAGTACAAACATGATATACGTGCATTACAGTGTGAGTGTTATCCCCAAGCCACCAACGATTAACAACAATACCCCACATAGTCAAGAAGTACACATTTATCCAGAGACATCGTGGCTATTTAATGAAAAAGAAAGTTCATCTACCTCCATCTTCTGACATTCTGGCAACTGTCTCCATGACACTGATAAAGTCATTTTCATTGTCACTGAACTCTCGAAGCACATCAAGCAGGCCACGAGCCACGATTTGCCTAGAAAGCAATAGAAGCGTCAAGTTGGTAGAATGCCTGCCAATACCTACAAGAGTTAAGAGCTCAGACACAAACACGCACACACACATGTGCCTGGAGATGACAGGAGGGCTTGAACCCTGCAGAGCTGAGCATGAAAAGCATGAGGACAGGAACTAAACATGTTTGTTGAGGTATTAGAGAGGCTATATCTGCCTCTTACATACTGCTCACTCCACTGAAAGTACCGCATCAATAATCACATTTCAATCCCTGGAAAAAGTTCACAAACTCCAGTCTGATCTAAGTCGGAAACAGTGAGAGGCTAGGAGTAGCACTGTCAAACAAATGCCATGTTCAGACAGATACCATCCACCCCTGGCTCAACGTTAAGTCTGATGGCATTCTTGAACTGCAGAGTTAAAGCAGATATGTGATTAGTAAATACAGAGGAATGCAGACGTTACCCAGATGACTATGAAAGAAACACACCGAGATGGAACAATGTGTTGAACCAGCATCCCGACTTTTCCATGTGAAGTTTATCACATAGTTTACTCAGTCCCATTTACATGAAGCTTTTAGAAATGTGCAGTCAAAATTTTTAATTATGTGCGGTTGTGTAAAATCACACCCCACCTGAGAATTTTGTCAGTACAGCAAAAACTGCAAAACTTCATTTCTGTCACATTTAAAAATTCTGTCATTTAAACTTCATATGAAAACATGGCAGCATTTTGTCATCGGTTTTTCAACATATCTGTGTCATTTCGCAGATGTTTCCTTGACACTAATTTCCACTTGGTTGCAGATGTTTCCTTCATGGTATTAACCGCCCGAGATGGCAAAATAATTTTGACACGAATCCTCGACATGAGGTCACGTTAATCTGCTGCAGATCCGACACACTTCTGTTGACACGCAAAAACTGATCGACATCACTAAAGTAACAGTCAGTAGCTGATTTCAAGTATGATTCTGGTAATTAATACGTGTCTGTGCTTTCTAGAACTTGAACTTTTTAGAAATACTTTTACTTTAGAAAGCAGTAACCACCATAAACCATTGGTTTTGGCTCTTCTCTTTAAACACCAGCAGCAAAATCAGCTGCAAAAAGACTAATGAGGAGAATGACTTGTTTGATGTCTGCCTGCCACCTGCACACGTCGCTTTATTCTTGTTTATTAAACACTGATTCAAGCTTTACCATTTAGTACCAGGAGTAGTGTTGCTTTTTTCATCTGAATGTGCAGCAGTGTGTCCTGTCTGCTCGTGACATGATCTGTTTTTATCACCTTTCAACATGTGAGAGCCGAAGGCGAGTTTCTATAAGGACATCATTCTTAAAAGCGCATTAAAATACATCTTCTGCCCTTACATGATGTCCACGTGTCTCTGAAACCACTCAAACATCCCATTGTCTGATTTCTGGGTCGGGTTGACAGCAGAACTCCTCTTACCTGTTGAAGACATTCTCACTGAAGGCGTATTTTTCTAGCCTCCCCAAAGGAGTGAGGTTGTCCTGCCCCGCATCGAGGAAGGCTGTGATGCGGATGCCGTCGCACTCTGAACCATAGTCATCGAATCCGACTGCAGAATAGAGAAGAGATCATTTTATAAGCATGCAGGCTGGAAACTTGTTGAAACACACAGTTAATGCCAGCTTATAAAAACACAACATTTGAGTGAGGACTGGCAGATGCACCACAGTAATAATCACTGTGCCACGCTGAAGATACTGAGTCAGACTGAATGTGTGAACAAAGCAGAAAGGCTAATGTCTAATGGTTTGTTCCATTTCATTTTCCAGCCATAAATACACACTGGCTTTGCAGCTGGATCTTAACACTGTTTCATCGCCCCAACTAATGCACACAACAGGGACTGCTGGTCTATATAAACGCTAATAATAGCATAGCGTTAGACCCTGAAATGCCGTTGACAGCTCTAAATTTCACACAGACAAGCCGGGCTGCCAAGAAAGATGACACTTCCACAAACATAGTAAACATAGCCTCACATATTTGCAATAAGTTAAATTGTCCGTCCACAAAGTTGTTTGACATGTTTATGTTTTAGAACAAAAGGAAAACCAGAATACTCACAGTCGTCCAAATCATCATGGCCATCTTCAAAGTATAAAGATAGACCTGCAAGGATAAGGCGATTAGAGGGGGAATCCATTGCGACAAACATGTCATCAACATACCGTCAGTCTCAACATGACCACTCCCCCTACAAAATGAAAGGAGCTGTGGGTTTGGCAGGTTTTACAGGCGGACAATTACTAAGAGGGGACAAAGTCTGCTTCAATCAGACAATAAATCACTGTGGAAACACTGAAAATGCAGAGCAGTAACGTTACATCACCTGTGAAATAAAAGGAAGACACCAAAACATGACAAAGAAAAATGTAAACCTGATATTTTCCACTTGATTCAGCACTTCTGTTTTAGTTTGTTTATTTCTTTCCAATTAGAAAAACTCCTCGGTAGCAATGCGATATGCTACAAGTAATTTTGGTGGATGAACAAACATCTTTTATTTCTTTTATTGGCGTTTGCCTGATGTTAGGCTGCATTTATTCTCATAAATGCTCTCGTTTATAAGCATGGGTATGTTTCTATTGTTTATCTCATCTTTCAATATAGCCTACTTCAGTAAACCACCAACACTCGCTGTGTCTTCAGTAGTTAATATAAAGTATAATCTCCATTTGTCTGACCAAGTCAACAAAAACTAAGAATTCAGAAGCTCCATGAAAGTAGAGTTCATGGTATAGCTGTAGGAATGGATTATATAAGGTTGTCCAGGTGTTCATGATGTAATGGCTGGTTGATGTAACAGAGAAATCAGACACTTAATCACAATTTTAAGGCTGGACATAAGACAACCCTGTTTTTCTCAAGATGATGCTGTCCTACACAGTATTTCTCTGTTCAACCAGAAACTTGAAGTGAAAGTATTATTTGTATTCAGCTTGACTCCTTCATGTAACTGATATTTTAGGCAATAAATTTACAGTTGGATAGGCAAACTACATAACAGGTACTAACTCAACATGATCAAACAAATAATGCAGGCACTTGTGCTTTCACACTTAGAATACTGTGCAACACAAAGTAATTTACACAAGCTACAAATAGTACAAAATAAAGCAGTTTGAATAGCACTAAATTGTCCCTATAGAACAAGTAGCATAGCAATGCATAATCAATTAATCTGGTGAAATGTTAAATGTAAATTGCATTACCTATTGGTGTCTTTCCGAAAAAGTATTTTTTAACCAGAGTCCCAGAAGTACTGAGGGACATCAGTATAGTACAGGGGTGGGCAATTAATTTTTACATGAGGCCACATGAGAAATCTGAACAGTGTTGGAGGGCGGAAGCAACAATAACTTCAACTTCAAATCGGGGGGTTCACAAATACAGAAAGTAAACCCAAATAAGCAACTTCTAGTTTAAAAGAAGCCCCCCAAAAAAAGCGCGCCTCCAACTCATGAGTTTTAAAAGCGACTTCTGAGCGAAACAAGCTTAAAGTCGTTTATAATAAGCGGACTTGGCGACTTTAAGGCGTCTACGAATATTTTGCTGATGTTTAAACTTGTCTCTGTTCACGAATGCAGATCTAGGATGTACACATATGTGTGTCCAAACGGAAATAAAACAACGGCTAGGATTTCAAAATAAAAGCAACACACTTTTATAGCATGTTGATGACTTGATTGACAGACCCCACGAAGGGCCTGGCAGGGACATCCAAAGGGCCGGATGTGTCCCTCGACCGTAAAATGCCCAGGGTCTGGTAGGCATCAGAGGACAGAACAGGGGCAATAAAAAAGGACTTTCCACTACAGAGCAATGATGGAATTTATAACCTAACTTTTGAATTTCAAACATTAACAGATGTTGCTTTAATGAACAATTAAAGGTGTATTTGTTTACATATGGAGTACCATGAATCAAATTGAGTTCAGCTCTTCTCTCTCATGGATTATGTTTTCTTGTGATCCCTAAAATAAGTTCTGTTGTTCACTTTTCTTTCTTCGTCTTTATTTATGTATTGGTTTATTTTTCAACAAGCAAATGCGAATAAGAGCGAATGTATGAATGAAGTGTAGAATGAGTGTTATGTAAGTGTCATGTCTGTAAGTATATGTCTTATAAGTTAAAAATGAAAATGGAAAAGAAGGTAAGGACCCCAGAAAGAGGAGTTACTGCATATTTTGTTGGAACTAATAGTAGATCCAAAACAAAACAAAGCCCTATAATGTCGTATATCCTCACAGTCCTGTTTGATAAACACAAACTGCCCCTTTAATGAGATTTATTACAAAGACTCACGTTTTCTAAGATCAAAACACACACTATTATCTGATTTCTCTCCAATGCCACCCAGTCCTAACTAAGGGACAATAACTCAGAGTATAATAGTCATGGGAAGAGCCCAGAAAGAGATCCTGTGAGGAGGAGAAGCATGTGGTTTGTGAGCCTGTGTTTACAGCTGGGGAGGCAGGGGAATGTGTAGGAAATATAAGACACAACAATCTGCTGTGAAACGGTGAATTAAATCAGGAATTATGTGTGGAGGAAATATAATTGCGGGTGGTTGAACAACGCCCCCAAAAGCATGTTGGCCAAGAACAACATCTCCCCTTTGTTGTGGTATAAAGGAGGATTTGGTCAGCTTATGGCTGAAAATGACTTTAGCAACTGGGCTAACGTTAGCTAGGTCAACTCGCTACCCTTTTGCTATGGCAACAGTTCGGAAATAAACGCCACTGAATGCAAAATATGTTGTCTAACTTCACTAAACACTTACTATTAAACCTCATCAACATATACTGAACAACAATGCTTTAAAATGCAGCCTCGGAGTCACACATTTCGATACCCCGGAGTAGCCTTCGTTAGCTTGGCTGGCTAGCGGTGCTAAGTTTGCTAACACGGCTTGTCCAGCCCTTTCGCTCGACTTGGCAGCACTTGGTCTGAGAAAAACACATTTATGTGAAGCAAGGCCCGCGATTTTAAGTAATAAGACCCTCATGAGTAAAATACTGCTTTTAAGTTCCAAGAAGACACGGAAGTATAGGAGAAAATAGTGTTTAAAAAGTGCCATTACCTGCCATCTTGAGTCTCGGCTCGGCTCTGCGGGCTGCCGTCGTCCCGTGTGGGCTGTCACCACCGCACAGCTGTCACTCAAACACGGCAGCTAACTACTTCCTCAAAGTACTTCCTGATGCTGGAACAGACCGGCTGATTACATGTATGTAAGAAAAAAAAACTACTACGACCTTTAACCGATAAGCACCTCTCGGCTTTGGCTCAAACTCGACATACCTGAGCATATATACAGCCTGTGGGCTTTGTGTATCTCCAAACAAAAAAAAGAGCCGGTGTTATGACGAGTTGTGCTGCTTTGTCAAAAAATGCTACCCTACCAATTCGCGCTATGGCTTTATAAATTTTTCACAACAAACAGATGCGATCGCACTTTTACCTGTTATTTTTTTATTATCATTGTTGATATTTCCTTTTATATTAATTATCCTGATTCCCCCTTTTTATGACATTTTCTTTTTTCTTCACTATTTTATGTTTTTATTTTGGTCCTCATGGTCTCATTTTATGTTGCATGGTTCTTATATTCTCTGGCATCCTTGTGACATAGAAATGGACTTCAATTCCGTTTTAACTGAGCTTTTTGTTTTTATCTGTCTTTTTCCATGTGCTCTGTGACTATATGTCAAAGCACTTTGTAAACTTCTGTTTTTAAAAGTGCTATACAAATAAAGTTGTTGTTGTTATTTATTTATTTTTTATTAGGATTACTAATATTTTTTGGGTGAAGCCTGTATTTTGTATTGTTTGATGAAACTTTTATTGGAAATTTCAGATTCAGTTTATCTCAATCTCATTTTTTAAAAACCTGTGATTAAAAGACTGGCTACTCCGTTTGTAGTATCACAAAACTTGGTGTAAATTTTAATACTCTATGACAAAATACTCAGTATGATGTCAGGAGAAGTGTATGTTATCTATTTTATTTTTTTGTGTAAACTTTTTATTTTTCGTCAAAATACAAACATTAAGGCACACTGGTGATACTTAAAGTATAAAGTGTTCAACCAGCTTTTTAGATTAACAAAAGAACATGGAGGGTCTTATTCTAGGAGAGTAAATAAGTCGAGTAAAGAAAACAGTTTTAGGGTGTTTTTGTTTTTCATGTATTTCAAAGATTTTTTTTTGTAAATTCTGAGTTTGTTGATCCATCTATTGAAGTTGGGCTTCATCTTGAGGTACTTACATCTGTGAATGAAATGTTTACCAACTGTAATTAAAATGTTCACCCTGAAGTCCAATCTCAATCAACATCCAATTTAATGGGGGCAAAATAATATGTTTTGACAACAACCAATTTTGAAATAATGTCCAAAAGTGTACAACATGCTCACATTCAAGGAAAATATCTTCTACTGTTTCAATGTCGCTATCACAAAATCCACACATAATATTATCCCAATTAAATCTTAAATGTAGAAAGTGGTTTGATGGATAAATTTCATTTATGTATTTTAAATGTGACCACTTGAATGTGACAAATATCGTTTTCTTTTTGTTCTTGCTTCAACAACTCTGTAGTCGCTCAGGACATATTTTCTTTTTAGTTGATAAGGGAAGTATTGTGTGAGAGAATACTACCGTGTGTGTTATCTATTATCCCCTAACAAGTGCTCTCGGTGCTGTCAAGCATGAGGGATTGTGGTGACACGCATGCGCAGGTATGCGAATAGTCCCTCAGTAGCACATCTTGTTAGGTAGCATTATTCGATGGAACACCGGAAAAATCACGTGACCACACGCCGTAGTTCAAGATGGAGACTGAGCGTTTCGCTCTAGCTAGCTGTGTACGAAATACTCAATATGGCAAATAAGACAGACTACCAGACGTTTTAGCGATAATAGTAAGATTAGTAACTCGGTCTAAGATGTGCATTTAGCAGCTTTTGACCACGATGCGGTAAAGGTTTTGGGTAAACATAGACCACCTGAAGAATTTTAAACATTTAAGGTAGCCAGAGGAGAAAACTGTCAATGGTCATCATCACAAACTCATTTTGAGAGAGAGGAGATCGATATGGCATTGAGAGAGTTAAAGGTTTGCCTTCTGGGGGTAAGTGTGTTTCGATTTTTATTGAAACATGTTCATATAGAGTCTACAGTGAACATCTGTCTGTACCTGTGGAATCAGCTGACAGAGAGGTCTGTTTATATGGGTTAAATATGTTAAAATATGTCAGTTAGTAAGTTAAAGATATATACATGTACATAATAAATCACGTTCCTCTCCTTTATTCACTTTGAGATCATCACATAAGTCATAGGCAGAACATTGATGCACCTCTGAACAGCATCACATTTAAGTGAATTATTTTCCCTTGAATATTTCCTGAAAACATCCTGATATCTCATTTGCACCACCACATACTAATAAGTAAACATGTAAAGTTGATCAAACAAAGATTTTCTGGTTCCAGTTTTTAAAAATTGAGGATTTACTCTTATCATTAAAGCCATTAACTCTTGGGCCTAAGGAAGCTGGTACTCCATAGCATCACCAGTTTTGGCATTTTGTTGTTGAATAAAAGGAAAGAAACAGCTAGAAAGTAGTTGTATGTATAACTCTCTTTCTTTACCTCTCCATCTTTCATCACCGGTCTTTGCTGCCCTTTGTAATCCAGCTTTAAATACAGGATAAACATGTGCGTGTGTTGACAACAGCAGGCTGCCTTTTTGCACTGTACCCTGTTATAGCAATGAATAAAGTTATTGTTGATTTTACCTTGAGTTTCTTTTCTATTTTCTGTATGTAATCTCAACCCCCTCTCAATAATCTGTTCACAATATTAAAACCTTTACATTTGGTATTTTGGACTGCATGTCAGATAAAGCAAACATCTGAAGTTGACAGCTGTCACTCCAGAAAACATGTGCTTGTATTTATTCTTCAGAATTTACCGGCCTAAATATTAAACTGACATAAAAAATTAAAGTCACTGGACTGATAGAAGATGAAAATTAATGTGTGTTACAGCTTTACACCATTTCAACTTTCCAAAGTGAGATCACAGGTTTTTGTTTCATGCGCTGAAAACACATCAGTGACAACCACAATATTAATGCATATCAGGGCGGCTTATAACCGAGCTAATTTTAATTTTCTCTGCCGTTATCTCAAAAATAAGTTACAGAAAGAGCATACACTGAACCTTAGCTCTATACCTTCTACTCTTTGTCAACAGAAGCATAAAACAAACAACGAAACCTTAAGTTTGTCTTCCCTGTTTAACTCTCACAAAGTTGCAGGCCTACAGAGGAAGCAGGAAGGAAGAAGCTGCCATGAAAAAGCAATAATGTCTGGGCCCATTGCCAGAGGAGTGTTTTTATAGTTGTGATTACACTTGTAGTAATGGGTTCTGACTTTGTTTAGTAATCAGCCTCCTTATTTTGTCCGTGCAGGATACCGGCGTTGGAAAGTCAAGTATTGTTTGGAGATTCGTGGAGGACAGCTTTGACCCAAACATCAACCCCACGATCGGGTGAGTTCGTGTCATGTCACTTCTCTGTTTCAGGGGTGTATGTTTAGGTCAGTGGAGGAATCATGATCATGCAGCGAGTTAATTTCTGTGTGCATAGTGTAGTGATTTATTAATCAATTTTACACATGTTTAATTTTGTACATTGAAAAAGCCAAATATTTTCTGCTCTTATTCTATTTCTTCTATTGCAACTTTTCTATGTCTTACATGAGAATGTACTAAAGGTCTATCAGTTTTCAGACAACTCAAATATGTCATGTTTAGCTTTCCTGCAGAGTTGTTGGAGGAAAAAATACCTTTATCTTAGTGGCTTTGAGGCTATCAAATTATGCACTCTATTTGTAAGTATAAACAGAGGTGAGGATTGTGTAAGAATAAGGAGAGCATGATTTAGCAAGTTTTCAAGAGAAGTGCATTGAAACAGGCTCATATCTTTCATCCCCATCGGCGACAAGAATTAGGCAATCTGGGCATGCACACTTTGCAAAGAGTGCATCTTAACAAGCAGCACTATTCTATAGAAGTGATTTTATGTGAATTACTTTGTGATTTTTATCAACTTGGTTTTTTTTTTTAAATAAACAACGAATCAAGAAAGCCAGCTATAGACATTTTTTATTTTCTAATCAATATATGGAAGTACTGAACCTGGATCAATATATCAGCACTAATTAGATACATCTTTGTCAGCGGATTTTGTCCTAATCAGTAACAGATAACTGCTGAACAGAAAAGCTTGGTTTGTCTGAGGTAGATTATAAACAGCCCTTTCATAGTACTGACAAACACAGACAAGGTATTTATGTAATACTTGCAGACTTACTGGGAATCAAAACAAATGTGGATATTTCTGACACTCTCAGAAAAGCAGTTTTTGTTGTTGTGAGTCTTTTTGACTCTTTTTTTAATTTGGGGCTCTGCTGTTTACTTAAGCTGTTCGACATTTTAGGATATCACAATCCAGATGATCCTAGTAAAGGTCTCAGACTTGAAAATTCTTGTTCAGGTTGCGGCTATAACCAAATACCTCTGGAACGTGTTACCGAATATCTGTACTATTTCCATTCCTTTTGACCAGAGCTTCTTTCATGACCAAGACCGTGCAATACCAAAACGAGCTGCACAAGTTCCTGATCTGGGACACAGCAGGACAGGAGCGGGTGAGTAATATCCACTGAGGTTTCTGGCCCTTAACATTGTTTTCAAACGGACTGCTGGATTGTAAATCTGAGTGTTTTCAGCCTGTGCAGCCAAACCACAACAGCACATAGTTATGACGTTGTAATCAATCGGTTTGACTTGGCTGATTTGAAAACCTACAGTTCCTCCCCTGTGAGTTTAAAGGGAAGTGAGAAAGTCACACATACCACTCCCTGAATCAGCCAGAGGGAGAGTGAAGAGTGCAGTTACTCATGACTTCTGATAGGGGGCAACATTTACCTTCCTAGAGGGAGTGTTCAGCGCTGCTGTGTGAGGAGTCCTCCTTATTCCACAGTTTTAAAGACATGTGAGATGTTTGCATGTCTTCACATTTGTACGTTAAGTTTAGTTTAGTGTCACCTTTAATCTCTTTAATCTCATTTCTTCTTCCTCATTGCTTTTATTAGATACAGATAAAGGAGAGTCAGTGCATTACCACTATTTTCCAGAGTGGCAGACATGGATAAATCTGTTGGTTTTCAGTGAAATATTAAATTTATTTAACCAGGAATAAGTTACCAAAGCACATCTACATTGCATTCTTGGCACTACAATTGCTCAAGTTGCAGACAAAAAGTTAAAAAAAAGACAACATTAAAAATTAATAAGCAGCAGTCAGCAGTAAAGACATGTGCATGAGCCATGTGCAGTTATTATGTGTCTCATGTGCCAATAGCAGCAACGCATTATCCTATTTTTTAGAGCCCACACCCCTTTAGAGCGTGAAACTGAAACCCTCTACGGCTGACGTAAGGAAGAGGATACATCTTGGTGTTTGAGTAAAATTTTAGCATTGAAGTCCATCCCAACAACAACAACAATCCCAGTTATTTGCAGCGTAAGGAACTACTTTCTCTCATGCCTCACTCCCTGTGTGAGCTCTTCCCTTTTCCTCTGCGTAGCCTTCTCCTTTTCTCCCGCACCATCCCCTGCTGTTGTAATGCCTTATCCCTGCTGCTGTCCTCTCCAGAGAGGTGAGATAAGATGCTGTTTGCCTTTTATCCTCCTCTTTCCCCTGGAGGCCTCTGCTTCTCGGAGACCCTTGAGGGGGACATCAATGCAGCCCTCAGTTAAGATAAGACCTGAGGATGAAACCCAAGCTGTCTCAGCCCACTGGCGTGTGCTGCCTGCTACTGTTTCTTATCTGCAAGTCACTGCAACTCCACATCAGGCACTGCTCTTTTCTCTCTTTCTATTATGTTTTCTCCAGTGGACTGCTTCTTTTCATTCCTTTTCTTGGCAAGAATCCATTTTCTTTCATTCCTCTTTGTTCGTCTCTACCTTTTCATTCCCACAAATCCTCTTTTTTTCTCACGAGTTTCACAACCGTATGGGGAAAAACAAGTAAAATTCTTTTCAGTAGGTTTTGTGCTGTGGTATCCTGAGCCTCTCTGTGCTTGTTTCTCTAACTTCTGTGGAGTTTTGGCCGATCAGAAGCTGTTGATTTGAGGCAGAGGGAACGCAAATCCAGCCAACGCACATGGAAGGGGAGACTGGGGCAAAAGTGTGTGTGTGTTTTTTGTTTTTTCTTCAACCCATATCTCAAGACCAGATGAGGCCTCACGAGTACATCTGAGCCCAGCTGTCAACAGCCCATCGAAGCCGTCCTCTGCGACTGTTCTTCATATAAAAACAAGAAAGAAGAACCATGTGTCCCACAGGAATAGTGGGGTTTCTTTCATTAAGCACCCAGCTTGTGGTTTTAGTAATTAGTCAGCACTCACAGGGCATCGCTTGGGCTGCTGTGTGGTCAGACGTCTGGCCTCGCTGTGATTACTCGTTGGGTTAAAGCACAGATAGACCACACAGAACTGTTGGTGGTGCAAACCCAGCAATGAAACAGACAGCACTCTCCACAGTGCCTCTGCCAAAGCTGGAGTCCCGCTGGTGGACTTGGGGCCAGCAACAACTATAATTATGTGGAATGTGTGCTTTCCTGAGGTAACACTGTCACTCCAAGATGGATAGTTTATTCCATCATATTGTAAAGGAAAATAGAATTGGCGGGAAAGCCTGGGTCACTTGAAGTGAAGGTCTTTTTCAGTCACGGGTTGTTTCTTCTAAAATAAATATCATCAGTGAATACATGACACATGGTTTTATTAGTGTGTTAAAAAGCCCAGAACAGCTTATATAATGCAAGAAGGCGTACGAAAGAGGCTTCAAGTTTAAGAGGGAAAGAAATCCTCGACTGTTATTCCTCTAAGTATAATGTATGCTTGTTTTTTTATGAATTTTTGAGGCCGTTACTATATAAGCGAAATTAAAATCAAGGGCTTGTTAGTTTCAGGATTCAAGATTGTATCTGTCAGACATGAATCCTGGTGGGCCTGGAGGTGCAGTGAATGCAGTACAAGAGCCATGATGCAGAAACAAAGACAACACTAAAACCAGGGTTTCTGCTGGGTCTTAAAAGTCTTAAAATATCTAAAATCCAATCATTTGAATTTAAGGCCTTGAAGTGTCTAAAATTCTCGCCAACCTCATAAAATGTCTTGATGTTCAAAATGTATTGATGTTTCTTACAAATAGATTGATTTTAAGAAATGTAAAATGTTCTGATTTCCCTTCATGTCTTTTGTACTTTTGCCAGTATGAATATAAAATGGATCTTAAATTGCATTTATTATGGTCTTAAAAAAAGCTTAAATTTGACATGTTTAAACCTGCAGAAACCCTGTAAAACACACGTAAATGTATTAAGAAAAGAATACAAATTTAAAAAAGGTTCATTTTTGAAAGTTGTTTGAACTGAAATGCAGTGATTTAATCTCATGAATTTGGATTCATAAATCAGAGTTATATAGTTGTTAAACAAAGCAGGATGGAGGGATGTCATGACCTCAAATTTGTTTACTTGAACAGGAGCTGTGGTGATTTATACAGGCGCAGCCAAAGGCTGTTGACTATTGATTTCCCTAAATATTCTTAATGGCACATTAAAGCTCCTATGTGGATTTTTTTTATGTTTCAGCAGGATGAATTTTTTTGTGTAATTCAGCACTAAAGCACGCAGAGAATAAGATAAGCAAAGATGGTTGTTCCACAGGGGGGCGCCAAACTGAAAGTCCTTCACTGCAGCATTAAAGTTACTACCCTCACTTTAAGACCAAGCAGTAACCTGTGGTGTTGAAAAAAGGAGCCAGTATAACAGTGCAAGAAAAAAAAAACTGCAGTTCCACGAGTGTCCACTTGAGGCTGGCTTTATATCTGAGCTAATCCCCAATAAACTCCACATTAAAGTACTAACTTTAATAGTTAACACGATCAGAGGCTGATAAAAATACCAACTTTGTTATCTGACTCATTTTTATTTGTAAAAAACTGTTTGAAAGGTGATTTTTTTCTTGTAAATTCATCAATTCTGATTGCACCAAGGCTGAGTGTTTTGCATAATTGGGGATGATTGGTGGCCTGGCGTAATTGACTCACAGATGGTTTTGTTATGACTGGCAACCAAGATTAATTTGGCCTGTCTGAGCTTCATCAGTGTCTATAGAATCGAAAATCAGACTATTCTAACTTCATTTCATGTAGAAAAAAAATCAAGAGAAGTATTTGTGAGTTTTATTCTTTGGGCAACTTAATATAAAGTATTATATTAAGTTTCTTCAAAGTAGAAGAGACTGATGGACACTGGCGTCCGTTTGATAATACAGCTGGCATTACTAAAACACTTCTATTTGTAATAACTGTGCAGACTAAGTGTTGGAGCTGTGTCTCTGTGAGCATTGGAAAGAATTTTACCCCAAAAATACCAGAATCTGGCAAAAGGAGGAGCCCCTGGCATCCCGGGCAGCTGCACTTAGAACCTCACATGTTGTTTTGATTATGCAGTGCTTTGTGATTAAACTCGAACGGGCTCCAATAAATGTCAAAACGCTAACAGCTTTTGACACGTTCTGCTCATCTCTCTGTTGATCGCTAACACATGTGTGAAGTTTGAGTGGAATAACTCCCCACGCTAACATTTGAGATAAAACCACAGGGGCCTTCGGTTTGGTAAAACACTGCTTTGTCGTATTATCGTCCTCGTTTTTATACTCTGTTTGAGGTTGTTACAGTCAGCACTATTTAATCAGTCTAATAAAACCCTGTTATGTAATTACTGTGGTTGGTGACGATGTAATGGATTAGCTGTATCCATCTAAAGCTCCAACACTGCTCCCTAATCTGAGCAATGTGAAAATATATGATAGCAAACTGCACTGTAATAATATTTCTTGCACTACTTTCCTGTTGAGAATTGATGCATCAGAGGAAAATCAAAGTTTTCAGTCTCTGTATTATATATTTTTATTCATATTCTGCACTGTAATAACATGATTCAGCTTCACTACACTGAGACACACAAATGTTGGATAGGCATAAGCGTCATCTTTGTCTTACTGACCATTTGTCGGCCCTCTCTGTCCTTTTACAGTTTCGTGCTCTGGCGCCCATGTACTACAGAGGCTCAGCGGCGGCCATCATTGTTTATGACATCACAAAAGAGGTATTATTTACTTTTAATCCTCATGCAGCGTAATCCGCAGAGTACACACTGTATAGTTTCATTGTTTTCTACCACGTCTTTACTTAATTAGTCAGAATCGAAGGAATTTAAAGATACAGTCATGAAAATATGAATCATTCCGGTGCTGACCAGTGAGAGTGAGGATGTTTAACCATTAAATCGACCATTCCCAAGCTTTTGTGATCAGTTTTTGTGCAGATATAACAAAAACAGGATTATCACCAAAATCAAATCAATGTTTTGCCAATTGTTTAATTTGTTTTCAGCTGGTTTTGAATCTGCACCAAAAAATCAGACCAGAAAATGTGCCTGTCTACTTCATAGTTGATTTCATGTAACATATGTTGACCTGTATCATCATCAGGAATCCTTCCAGACGCTGAAGAACTGGGTGAAGGAGCTGCGACAGCACGGTCCTCCGAATATTGTAGTTGCAATCGCCGGCAACAAATGTGACCTTGCAGACGCCAGGTGAGCCAAAAGTAAAGACAAACCTGGTCATAAAACAGACAGTTTTAATGTTTAATGAGAGGCTTCCTCTTTTATTTACAGCCGGGGGATGATGGTAGGATTTTGCTTGTCTGGTTTGGATGGAAACCTGTTTGTGAGAAAATGTTTTGACCTTTTAAATTGGAATAATATTTAGTGTTTGGCTCAGATGTACAACAGCAGGGAGGATAATTGGCCTTCATACTGTTTAGTACTGCGTGTAAACAGTCTGCTGTGAGATTTGGGGTAAACAGAGTCTAACCTCTACTTGGTTTTATATCAAGTTTGATAACGTTTGTGTTGATGTTCATGTGTAGCAGAAAAGAAGGCAAAATAATCTTCAACATTTGAGAGGTAGCTGAAGATATTCGTGTTGTTATCTTTCACAAAATTGAAAAATCTCCCAGACTCTCATACAAACACTCTCTTGTTTATAAGCCCGTCCATGAAATCGTGAAATCTGCCATGTAACAGCCGCAGAAGAACAGCTTGATTATTATCATATGGTGCATGAAATCGGAGGATCTGCTCACATATTGAGTTATCGTGACATATCTCTGATGTTTACAGGGAAGTGCCAGAGAAGGATGCCAAGGACTACGCTGACTCCATCCATGCCATCTTTGTAGAAACCAGCGCCAAGAACGCCATTAACATCAACGAGGTGTTTATAGAGATAAGTGAGTGTGTTTTTCTTCTGCCTGTTCATCCTCAGGTTCCCATTGAGCTGTGACTAATTAACTGTTGTGCTGCATTAAGATAATTATCTTGTTTGCTTTGGTGTTTTAAAAGCAGGTAGAGAATGTTTTGTCCAGAATAGAAATGTATCTCAGCGGTGTTGTCATTCTTTCCTGAGTCTGTATCACATATTTGATCGAGCTGAGGTTGTTGTTCACAATGAGCTTGATTGCACTGCAGCTTCATTCTCCCTGCGTATTGTGTATTTTTCAAGTGCAGATTAGTTTTTACATAATGTACCTGTCATGCAGTAGTTTTCTCTCGGTGCATTAAAGGAGTATTAGACCCCCCCTCCAGAGATGAATGTTGCCGACTGCTTGCTTCTCTAGTTATACCAACTTTAGTAATGACCGCAGGATAATAATACACAGCGGTCTACGTCTCCACGCACAAACCTCGACCAAAACACCACTCTATAGCCACAAATAATGCTCAGAACAGCACCTAACTTCATCAACAGGACATATAGGGTCCCAGCCACAGCACTTGCCATCAAACATCTTTTTAGCTTTGCCTGATTTCTTTAGCAAAGAGACTAAACACAACTCACCGAATGGATCACTGAGTGCAGCGGAGTTTCGCAGCTCAAGGAAGAACATTTATGATCATTACTTCATGGAAATGCAATCAGAGTTTTTGTGTATCATGTATGTGCACTGCAGACGTGATAGTTCTTCAGCCTTAGCGTCTTGGTCTGATTGTATTTCCATGAAGTAATAATCATAAATTTTCTGCTGCACTCGGTGATCGACTCGTAAGGGCTCCCCCACAAACAAGCGGTTGCTGGAGGAGAGTAGGTGAGTTGTGTTTAGTCTCTTTGCTAAAGAAATCAGTCAAAGTTAAAAAGATGTTTGGTGTCTAGTACTATGTCTGTGACCCTATATGTCCTGTTGATGAAGTTAGGTGCTGTTCTGAGCATTATTTGTGGCTATAGAGTGGCGTTTTGGTTGGGGTTTGCGCGTGGAGACATAGACTGCTGTGTATTGCTATCCTGCAGGTGTTACTAAAGTTGATTTAACTAGAGAAGCAAGCGGTTTGGCAAAATTCATCTCTCGAGGGGGTGTCTAACTCGGTGTTGCGGTGTGTTTGACCAAAACTTAAATTTATACCGGAATATCCCTTTAACACCAACTTCCTACACTACAACGTTGTACCTTCAAGATCTCCAGAGGAGCAGAATAATTCATTACTAATATTTCTTATGTTTCTGTAGCTGTTGCTCTAACAGTCACTCATAATTGAGAATCTAAGTGTGCATACTTTTTTTTTCGGGTCCACTTTCTCTTCATTTTTTCTTGTGTGAACTCAATAGATATAAAAAACTTACTGCTATGAGAACTGGGGCACAGCTGCTGGATTGCTGCCAATAATTTAGCATGAGGAACAACTATTAAAAACTTACAAAGACAGTTTATGTTGTGAGAAGAGGGAAGCTAACTCCTGTGCATGTACTGTACTTACTCTGTGCGTGTGTGTGTCCCTCACAGGTAAGCGCATCCCGGTTGCAGAAGCGGCAGGAGGAACATCAGGGAAAGGTTTCAAACTTGGACGGCAGGCCTCAGAGTCTCGCAGGACGTGCTGCTGATGATGCCGGTGACTGTCCCCTCATGACCTGTAGCCTGATCTTTACTTTCCCCAGTTTACGGAGGCACCTCACACCGTCCAGTCACACAACCCCGCCATCAATGATACAGGGGTACAGCATTTCCAGACCGATGGCTGAAGCAGAAGTAAAAACAGAAACAAACAAAATTCTGATCACTGAATGATTAAAAACCTGTATTAATATTCTGATTTGTAAGCAAAAAAAAAACCTATATAAAATCTATGTTACTGGCTCTTTATAGACATGGACCTCTGTTTGGTGTGTTATAACTCTGCACTGAACAGAGACCATTAAAGAAGTCAGATGTCATTTGTACTTGTAAATTTGTACAAATCCACAAACTTTCAAACCAAAACATGGACTGAAATTGTTGAATTTCACCAAATTATTTTGATAACAGCTAAATTATTTCACTTTATCAGCTTTGTGAAGGATCCGTCTATACAGTTTAAGTGAATGAGCATTTATTTATCATAAGATGTTGATGAAACAGGACACTTTTATCACCAATACCATTTCCATACCGACTTTTTTTTACTTCATTAAGGATGTTTCAAGAGATGTTACTGATTCATGGTCAAGCCAGCGGGATTATGCTCCAGAGATTTAAGTGTTATGATGTGATTTGCTGTGATCACATGGTCAAACCTGAGAAATGAAAAGTATGCGGGGTCTTAACTTTAAAGGGATAGTTCAAAAAGTAGGAATGTATTTTTGTAAGAGCGGCATGGCAAAGTTAAAACGAGTGTCATATTTCTACAGGGAATATAAATCTGGAGTCCATTAGCATAAATATGCATAAAACAGGAGAGCTAAGGAGGCAAAACAGGTCCAAAAAGTGAGAAATCTCCTTATAGGCCCCTCTAAAACTTGTTAATTAACACATTTAATCTGTTCATATTACAGCTAGATTTTTGTGGGGATTAACCAATCACAGCGGCAATTTTTCAGGGATTATTTTGTCATACTGTTTCGTGATTTTAAGCGGACACCAGGATAGATGCCAGGAAGTTACTCGTCTCAGCTGAGGTGTACTCTGACGCATAATCCTCGAGTAAAGAAATCGAGAAAGTGATTAGTCAAATTCAGTAATTATTCCCTTCAGGGGTAATTGAAGGAACACAGAGGCACACAGACAACAAGAGCTAAGAATTCATCTATTTATTGACTCCTGTATTTTGGTAGTTTGATAGTTAATGCCCCCTGAGAATGACAGCTGCTTCATAAAATCTTATCTGTGTGATACAAACAAATACGCTCTCAGATTATTATGCTTTACTCAGAGTTGAGGACTTGCTGTTGCACTTATTAAGTTTATTGTTATAACGGCTCCAGATGCTCATGTGCGCTCCACAATTTCTCTTGAAATTGCTGAAAAGGTGTTACTGAATGCCAAATATGAAGTTTCCCATCTTCCACGCAGCAAACTACTATTACTTCAGCTTTTTTCTCTCATTGATGTTCTCCGAAACATGAATCTATTCCTGCAGCTTTAAAACATTTCAGAGGCGAGGCGAACATTTGTGAGGCCTCGCCAAATTCTTTAATTGTCTCATAAACTCTTTTTTTCCCCCCTCCCATTTCTTTGTCACCATCAGCGCTGGCTCACTCATGCTGTGTCGTTTTACCACTTTTCCTGCGATGGAAACAACAAGGTTTTGAAACTTGACACAGTTTCATGGAAAATCAGATTTCAAGAGCTTATATTCCCCCTTTGCATAACATTTAAGGTGCCGAATAAGACATAGCTCTGTGTCGACATGCTGACCCCTTAATGAACCTCCTCTCTGTGTGCGCTTTGTTCCAGCCTCTGCTTTCTGATTTTCCCTCCTCCAAGCTTCTTTGACTCATTCCTTCAAATTCCAGGCACTTATTTTAAGTCCAGCTTTCAGAGAAATATGGTGCACTTTAAAGCGGCGTACACTGAGCTCTATCATCCTCTTAAAATCATGAAAGCTATTTCTACTCTGAAATTCTTATGCTGCGCTGGAGTAGTCATTTCCCTCTAATATTGGCCTAATTAAACTTCACTTGAAGTTGAATGAGCCCTCCCTGGACTTCATAATTTTGTGTAATTTTATGCCTGTCTGTATCTCATGGGAGTCACTTTTAGCCTGAAAACCTCTTTACAAAGTTGCCAAAAAACACAGATGTGGCTTCAAATTGACTGCGTTTCCACAAATACACATTTTTGGATTGCCTTTAAGCGTCTTAAACGGACCTGTTTTTGATCAGCTGTGCCGCTTTCCACTTCAGGAGTTTATTTAAGAGTGCAATACCTTTGTTTTGTAAAATGTGACCTAACCCAGACATTCAGTAACACAGTAAGAGTTGGCTCACATGCAGAGACGTCACTGCCTTTCCTCAGTCGAACGCGTGATAATGACGGGTTTATCCTGACCTCCTTTTCTGCTGATGTGATGGCAGTTTTAAGCACACAGTTGATATTATGAGCAGTGTGATGTAGCAAACTAAATGCCTTAAAAACATTTAGGTCAAAACTTTGAACGGATTCATTGATTTACGCTGCTGCCTGGCTCTAGGTTGTAATATTAGCTTTGGCTGGTATTTAATATAGCTCCAGTAATTATATCTAAAAGGGAATCACTCTGGTACTTAAACAGCTGCACTCTGTATTAATTGGCTTCTAATACTAACTCACACTCTGTATGCAGCCTGTTATTATCTCTGTGAAAACACTCAATGAAACATAGTTTAAAAAAAAGGTGTCAGACTCCTTAATGTGCCCTGATGTTATTTTAGGTTCGGCTTTTATTACTATGAAGGACATGGTGCCAAATGATGTCAACACCATTTTACTACACCACACTTAATCAGACTTTTTAGAGCTAATGCAATATTACGAGTTTAACGCATAAAAAAACACGTACAGGTATTTGAAGTTTGATGATGTCACATGATTTTCCTAATGTGAAAACAGGTTGGATAAAAGTTGTCTGACACTTTTGCATTGAAAACTATCATTCGTCTTGGGCTGGCCCTGGGAATGTGATTAATCTGTATTATGTATATTTTTCAGTGTAAATATATACCATCAAATTGCACACAAATCATTGATCATATTCTATTCCAGGCCTGTTGTGCGACCACAATAGACTTGCACACCGTCTGCAGTAATTCCATTAGCATTGTAGTAACCATATTTAGCTTTTTACTGTGTTTCATATTGATCGTAAAAAAAAGATGCCTGAAAACACTTGTTTGCAGTGTATTTCCTAAATGTGTAAAAAGGGAATTGTCAATTGGTTTACTAATAAAATATTGACAAAATTATCTTTTGTGCCTCGTGTGTGTGTGTGTGTGAGAAAGAAATTGAGTCTGCATCTTATTCAGCTCAATCGGCACACAGGCAGAACCATAATAAAATTGGTTGTCAATAAACAAACAAAAATAAAACATTGCAAGTTATTAAAACAGGATATTAAAGAAGACTCAGGCAAATGTGTGAGTGTGTGTTAAGTGTCTCACTCCCTTGTGAGACTCCTCAGAGAGATGTGTGCGTTAAGTTGTCTCTCAGGGATACGGTGACAATGTTGTTGGTGATTGGTTGTGTTGTTCAGTTGGCAGCCGGTCTCACAGCTATAAATATGGAAATGACACTGGAGACGTGTGTGTGTGACCGGCAGAGGACTTTTCACTGCACTTTTAATAGTGCTGAGAGGGCAGAAGACTTATTTAATGATCTCCCAGTGGTGTACCTCGATTATGTTTACAATGAAATGATCTAGTGTTGAAATATGTGAGTTCAAAATGATTGCACTCCCTTTTTGAGTTTCCAATATGTTGTCTGCTTTATAGAGAAAATACAGCAAACAGTGACTGTGCACAGTTTATACTTATGACAATTAACGCTCATATTTCATCACAATGAAGCTACTTTAATTATGTATTACATCAGAGCGTCAGAACATCATGTAGGCTTGTGCAATTTAGTGAAATAAAATAACTAACCCTAAAAAGTGACAAAACATCAGACGATTGAACGCACACTGACACACTGGTATAGTTTTAAACTTGTACTTACATGATTCTGCCGTCATGCTGCCCAGGAATAAATGGACATGTTTGTACATGTCATTACTATGGTCCTCAATCAGGCTTCAAGGTTGTTGTTTTTATCATTAGATAGGACTTGTAAGGTAAGTCTGTTCTCATTTCTTTATTTAATTAGCATTATTATACCATATTGACCTAAATGTTACCATAGAATATTATTTCTCTTTGTACAGAAGTTAATAAATATTAAGTTTTACCAGTTATTTTCTGATTCCTTGACAGGTCATAGTAACTGTCTCGGTTACTTCTGCTTGTACTAATACTTCAGCTACCACCACTTTAATAAGAAACAGCTTTGACTATTATACAACTACTTCTTCAACAATTTGGACTACTATTCTTGCTGCTACTACTACTATTACAACAGCCACCGCTATTTCTACTAAGTCTACTGCTAGTACTACTACCTCTGCTACCACTTTAAGTAGTACTGCTTCTACTGTTAGTAGTATTCAATGACTCTGGTTACAATATACAGTATTCTGTATATCCTGCTTCTGCTACTACTCTTACAAAATAATCTTATTACCATCATCAACTTCATCATTTTATCAAAATTATTGATTATTATTATTATTATTGGATTGAATGGTCGGCTGTTTCAGCTTCACAGGTGCTTCCAATCCTTGTACACCCATAGGCTGTATCAAGTGTCAATCATAGACACATAGAAAACATGAACCCCCCTAATAACTTTTAAAAATGGAGCTGTACAGAAAAAAGAGGACGTGAGCACAAACCAGTCTTACAGTAACTACATGTCAACATCGTAAGTAATTACTTAATTACGACTTTATTCTAGTAATTTCGAGGTCTTACTTTGTTTTTTTCCTAATGTGGCCCTAATGCTCTGTCGTAGTCTTTCATTGCATCAAAATCAGAAAAACACTTGCTGAAATATCCATTAATTTCACTCAGTTTACCAGGTTGTGACGTTTTTTTTTATGTTTCAAATATCAGGAGCAGGTTCGTCATATTTGCCGATTGTTTGTTTTGCTGATTCGTGCAGTTTACAGCAAAACAGCTCCTTGTCATTTTCTTTCTCCGTTGACTCAGCTAGTAAACAAATCAGAAATGTCCTGCTTTCCGCCTCAAGGCTGCGCGCGCATACCTGCGATGACGTTGCACAGAAACCCTTCTATGGTCTACTAAAACATGGCAGAATACTGACTATGGAAAAGCATATTGACCATGTTTTATATTGATATTCAAAGAAATTAATTTTCGATCTAGATCGTTATAGTTTTATCGCCCAGCCCTACCCTGTAGATTTTACCTCGTTATTTTCCACCCATGCTGATGACTTTAAAACTGATTTCAGAACTTGTACTAAATTAAACCTCACACATATTTACATTTTCTTCTACTCACTTTGACTTCCCTACAAACAAAGTGGAAGCCCCCCTCGTCCCTATGTGCACCCTGGCATTAACCACCGACACCCCTACCCTACCCTCCTCCCCTCCCCTCCGGACGGACGGCTCGCGCTGCAGAGGCAGTGACGTCAGCGGGCTGTCTCTCAGTCCCTTCCTGCTGCATCACAACAGGCGCTAGTAGCTCTAGTAGCACCAGTGACCGGGGGGGACAGGATATCCACACTGCTGATTCATTCAGAGAACATCTCTACTGGCGTTTCAACACTCGACAACTTCTTACTACGGGGGTACACCGACAGGAACTGGTTACAGCGCGATAACCCCGCTCCAGCTGTTGGGAGATGGCCAGGCCGGAACAGGTTCTGCTCTTGGAGCCTCAGCACGAACTGAAATTCAGAGGTAAGAGGGGAGGGAGGGCCCGGTTTGGACGGGAGGGGGGGAGCTGGGTCTGCCAGCTGGGGTGAGGAGGGGGGCAGGTCAGTGATAGGATCACCGTACCGTGGAGAAGCTGCAGTCTGAGAGTCTAAGAGTAGGCAGTAAAAGAGCACCATAAGGACGGTAGGTCATCTGACAAGCTAGCTAGCATGGCGGCTAGCTGGATTAGCTCCCGGGAGCTAAGCTAGCCGGGCCCTGTTGCTGCCATAGCCTCTCTATCGAGCTCAACACGCATTAAAAATCACCACTACGACAGAGCAACCATTATAAACACAAGTCATACTCATTTATTAGTTTATCGTATAACACGAACACACGAACAGCTACATCCTGAGCAGGTGTAGAGAGCTAACGTGAGCTCGCTCTCTGATTGGCTGTCTCGCTCTGTTGGCCAGCCAGCTGTCATTTAATAACCTGACAGCTCGCAGGACAAATAGCCGAGCAACTTCTACAGTTTCATGTAATATATACGGCTCATCAACATGCCCGTTACTCTCATCGTCCAGACAGAGACCTTTATGTGGAGCTCGGCGTTTAGCTGCAAGACGCCACGTTGCTTTAGGCCCAAATAACGTTACATAAACACATATGGTGCTATTGTATCCGATTTGCAACAGATTACAGAGATCCTGGCAGAGTTTGAGATACTGCACCTTGAACTCTGGAGCAAGAAGATTAGTTGTTTCATACATTTTTGGAATAGCACAAACGACAGTCTACCTCTAAGCACAGTGATAAACATGAGAAAAGATGGTGACAAACTGAGTCACACCCCTCAAAACTTTACCTAACCAGTTATCAGGAGGTTAATCTGTGCGACCAAAACAGATATATGATTTTTAACTGCTCTTTTTTTGTTGATTAAAAGGGATATTCCGGCATAATATTAATTTAGGGTCAAACACACCGTAACATCACATTAGACACCCCTTCCAGAGATGAATGTTGCCGACCGCTTGCTTCTCTAGTTATACCAACTTTAGTAACAACCGCACGATAGCAATACACAGCGGTCTATGTCTCCACGCACAAACCTCAACCAAATATATGTTTGGTTGAGGTTTGTTTATGGCTCCTCAGACTGCTGTGTATTGCTATCCTGCGGTTGTTACTAAAGTTGGTATAACTAGAGAAGCAAGCGGTCGGCAACATTCATCTCTCAGGGGGTGTCTAACTCTGTGTTACGGTGTGTTTGACCATGACTTAAACTTACGCTGGAATATCCTTTTAATGGTAAAATACTGAATAAGTTTATTCAAATTCTTGCTTGTAACTTAGTCAACAAGAAGCTCTATGCATGGGTGATGCACACGCAAGCCACAGTCCCAGCTGTTATTCTTATACATACTGTATGGACAGTGAAATTTGGCTTATGCAACATTTTGCATGACTAAACTTGCAGCTAAGAAAAACAGCAGCACCAAAAACCTGCAAAAGCTTTTTCATCAATAGTGTTTGGATGTGGTGGGATGAGCTTCAGTGACTTACACCAAAACTGCCTTGGTGGTTCCCACTGAGTCACAAAATCAGAAATATCCTATTCTCATTGCGTTGTGTAGGACAAAAAAGCCATCAGAAAGACATAGTGCCAATAAACACTGTGGGAAAGCCTGGATTTAACCTGGGTTATCTTGAAATTGACCCCGGGTATGCTCTCCTCAGCATTAGCTAACATTGACCTGCTGCATCTGTCCAGCTGTGCACATGAAAGATTGCCAGAGAGCTGAAGGGGATGTTTTTACTCCCCTAAAACAGACATATGGTCCAGCTGAACCATGCAGCTCTGAGTTTGACGATGCATGTTATCAGGGACAAAGTGTCTCTCTTCACTCAGCTTATACTTCCCTAAAGACCTCAAAGACAGACTGACTACTCAGGGACTGAGAACTTGTTCTGAGTCTTTTTTATCAGTGGTTGAACGATACCACTTTTGTAATGGCTAATGGTGATACTGATAATAAAAGAGCAGGTTGGTCAGTGGCTGATATTTAATGCGGATATCACATAGTTGCTTTCTGCATTTGACAAAATACAACAATTTAACATGTAAGCATTAAAATTACTGGACCTTTTTATCCCGTGAGTTAAGATGAGATCATATTTGGCTTCTCTAAAATTGCAAAGAAATACAAGGACTAAAATAACAAATCCAACTGCAAACACCACAAAAAGACTCTCCCACAAACAATTGAATCAGTTAATCTGTCTCTCCCTGATCAGATTGGGTCTCTGTTGCTTTTAAAGAAGTACACCTGAAATAAAAAAGTGCATATTTTGAATGATATGATTATTTTTGAAATATTGATTGGTGCTCAATCGTCATATTTTTGCAAAGATGGGGAAATTCAGGGGAAATAACTCAAAATAAATTGCAGGTCTGTAACCGATAATGAATAAACATGCAATGCGATAAAACATTATAGCATACAGGTGAATCTCACAAGTATAAGCTAGTATAAAATATTTTAGGCGTCATGTCCACATAGGCTGTTATTGCTCCATTTGGTGTTTTTGACTCACTGACAACAAGAAACACAGATATGTTCAGGTTCATCCTTTCCCTATTGTTGTTACTTAGTATGAAGCAGATGCTCTGTTGCAGATGCTCAGTTGCTATGGTTACCTGAGTTAAATACCCCTTGTGCGTTTTTGTAACTGGTTTAAATCCAGTGACTGAGATTTGTGTTTTATATCAACTACACAGACACATGCCAGTAAATGAGAAGCATCTATATCTGCATCTATAGTGTCAGGCGTTGAATGAATGTGTGGATCCACAACTGTCAACCACACAGAGGAACTACAAGGATGTGCTTTCTCAGTATATTACACAATACCACAAATCACATGGCAATACTCAGGCTCCATGTAATGTGTAGGCATGTGGTGTGAAATTTCAGTAGATGGGATAGATAGTAAGTCTGCAGCAGAAACCTGAAAGCCCAAGGCTCAGCGCGAGTGTGAGCCAAATAAACCGAGATATTACAACTAAGCTTTTTCATATTGTAATAATTTTCACCTCTGTCAGGGGTGCCATTAACAGATCTTTACCAAAACTAACAGTTTTCCACTTTTCATCCCCCATTTATCAAGTATAACCTTGAAAGACGACAGCTTCAAATGTCTGCTCTTTATTATAGTTTTTAACTACCGTTTGTGGTTTTTTCGTGAGCTTGATGCTCTCCCAAGAAACTCTGAGGAAGTAGTAGATCAGGTGTACAGTAGTCGGTGGCGTGAGTCCCTTTCATTAAAGGCCTTTTAGAAGTGGAGCCAAGTCTGCAAGGGTCTGAATTTCCTCTCTGTCTTTGCTCAGAGGAGAAGGGAAGTGTCAGTTGCTCTGGATATTTGCTGGGCTGAAACTTTATCTTGAATCTGGTGTATGTGCTAATTTTAAAAAAGGTCCATGTTTTCTTCCACAGTGAGGGAGCCTCTTTCAAGTACACAGTCTTTACTCACCATAATAGCAACAGTAGTGACCCAGTTTGTTATGCTGCTTGAAATGAGTGCTTCATCATAAAGCTTGGCCAGGCAACGTTTTGTGTTTTTCTCAGAAAATCCCAAACTTATATGGACACACTGGGACTCAGTCATCGAATGCTGAAGATTTAGAAGTCACGAGATCTATATTTTCTGGGAAGTTATGTAATTGCTTGAAAAACACCACAAGACTATCTTGATGTCGTAACATAAGATATAGATGTCTGCCTATAACAGATGCAGTTCAGTGATGTAGTTGCGAATAGATCTTAATATGCAGCTGTGCAGAGAATAAATGGATCCAGATAAATGTGGAGGAAGGAGTGTCTCCCTGTGACTGCTTCTTAAAATTGAAGATATCTGTCTCCTCTGTGACTTTATGTTTCCGCAGTTTGCCTCAAGCTACAGCCCAGTCATGACACGTCTTTTTTCAACTGTTTGTTTTTCATATATTTTTTGTCTTTATTGATTAATTTAAAAGTATTTTGTTTGTGATTTCTTCACTGGAGTTAATATAGAATGGTGCCCTGGAAACAATACAGTATGCAGATTTGAGTTGCAGTTTTGATTGTTTCCTTAACTGGTTTGATACTTTTTTTATATATATTTCTCAGAGAATGGGGGACAATATGTTGTGGCTGGGAGTAGAACCAGCAACTGCCATGATGAGGAAAATGCCTTTCTACAGGGACGTACTCTTAAACTGCTTGACCAACTTAGGGATGTACTGATCCAACTTTTTGAGTCCTATACCAATACTTAACTGATCTGATACAAGCTTTAAATCAAATACAAGCGATCAAATGAATATCTTTGGGTTGTGGAAAAAATAAGTCATCCTAGAACAACATTTTGGGTGTCAGGAAGAATTAATATACATTTTTTTCTCCATAACTAATCAGCTGATCGAGGAAACAACCAGCAGACCTCCAGACAGTATAAAAGCTCTTCAGTCGCAGCCTTTTTCTTTTTTGAGCATCAGTTCACGCCAAAACTAATGCAAGTTACACACCCTGTCATTGAAATCATGAATAAGCATAATGTATGAAGAATAATAATGATTATGCTGTTAGTTTTCCCGGATCTGATTAGTGTGAAATATGTAGTGTTGGCTCTGAACAGACCAACTCTGTGAAGTCATCACCCTTTCATTTGTCATTGGTCCTCAGTTGACGGTAAATGAGCAGAACTCCCTCCAGTAAGTCCTGGAAATGCACACGAGTGACTAACTATTACCGGTTATCCCTCTGGACATAATTCAAATAGTGGTTTGTGGAGTTTTGTTAATGAATAAGCTGGTGCCAGAAATAATTAGACTAGTGTTAATGAACTGTAACACTCTGGTTTTCTAAGGGATCACTTATTTAATCATAGAATTAGATTTGGTGAAATGAAAGTGAGATCACAGCCTGTACAAGAAGTGTAGTGTGTAGATAATATCAGATAGGTCTCATTACAGGCTGGATTTTCTTCACACTTAATCCACTCGCCAGATTAGATTTGCACGTTTTATGCTGCAGAGCTCTGTTATCCGACAGACTTTATATTTCTGTTTATGTCATTAGCTCTTACATGTAGAGTAAAGCTCTCGCGACAGAGGAAACACGCTCACTTCATTCGTCTTTTTGGGATGAATCAAAGGTGCTCTTTGCTCTTTTGGCTTGTGTTGGATATGAGTGTAATAACTGGACATATTAATCTGTCTGGTGCCTCTGGATCTTTGAATCACCGCCCACATTTTAATAGGACTGATGTGGAGATTGGAAAAAGCTGCCAAACCAATGAAGTCTTTGTTTTAAGATTGTGAATATAGCTAATCCACCAGTTTTGAACATTTAAAGTTAAACCAAAACTTTTAGGGTTGGTTTGTCCTGTTGTCTAGACTAGACCAAATGTATTACTGTATTGTATATTTCACCATTGGGATCATAACGACTTGCCAAACACCAATTATCTAATCCTGCAGTCTGCACGGATAAATCACTTAACCTTCACTCACCTTTAAACTTGGCCGGCTCTGCTGCTTTTTCCAAAGGTTTTTCAGCGTTATTGACAAATCTGTGCAGCTCAATGCATCAGGCCTTGAGAGAGCCACTGGAGATGTGGCCTGAATAAACAATGACAGCTGTTATTAATTGGAGCCAAACCGCATCAGCTGCTCTGATAATAGTCGCAGTGAAGTGGAGGGAGATGACTTATAAAGATTTTAAAAGGTTGTTGACTGCTTAGAGGGGGAAATGATACTGATCGCTGTTTACTAGGGCAGTAAGACCACTTCACAGCTGACAACAGAATCAGTAGGACCCACCTTTTTACCAGGAGAACTTCCAATCAACTTCCGATCATTCAAAATCAGAAAGTGAATTGAATGTGTTGTAATGACGTCTCATCCAGATCTTAAAGTTTACTTCATGATTTACATACCACCATCTTTTCACTAAATAACAGGTTAAGTCCTGTTTGTTTAAACTGTTTCATCAGTCAGCTGTGTAAACTCAGAGCTACTGTCTGCCTTTGGTCAAATCTGTGTTAAAAATTTGGCCGTTTTTTAATCATTATTTTAGTTTGATTTAGTACAAAACAGTTATCTCAGTGTTCGAAATGAAGCTTACTACTTTCCTTCCTGAGAAGTCACAATGAAATCAGTTTTTTTTTTCTATATCATTTGATTTATTTGTGCTGCCAGAGAGGTTTAATATATTCCTATTTTATTATTTTCTGCTGCAGCAGATGATGATGGATCTGCATGGTGATGTCTTTTGATTAGAGACTCTCATTTGCCTTGATAATGCCACTTTCTGATGCCTCAGCTCAAACACTTTACAGGCTTCTTTGCGTCTGGATGCCAGAAACAGTTTTATTCTCCATCAGACTGTGTTGATGTGTCATTTTCTCCAACCGTCTGGCATTGAAGTGAACTTCACTGAGCAATGGTATCTTAAATTTATGAGTGTGGTGGTAACAAAGATTCTGAATCCAAGAATGTCTTTGGCTGCACTCGAAATAAAAATAGATCTCTTTTTCCAGATCGGATTAATGTGATGTTATTTGTTCTTATTTAATTTTCATTTTTTTGTGGTTTTGAAATCCAGACTGTGTGTTTAGTCAGCTAAATTATTAGATATTCAATAAAGTAAATCAAATAAAATCAATTGCTATCATAAGTTCATATTTTCATGACTGTAGGCTCAAACTGCTGGTCACATGCCATGACTAAGCTGTAGCACAGTCAGCTGACATTAGCCAGGACTTAAAGCTCCAGTTTATGGCTGCTGCCATAATACTAAAATACTTGACTACCAGGATGTAAACACACACAGACAGCTGATGACATCCTGTCGTGCACTGGGGTTCAGAAAATAGAGACAGGTTGTCTACATACAGTCATGGAAAAAATTATTAGATCTGGATTTTCCAACAAGACACACAGAGTGGTCAGTTAGAGCCTGGATGGAGAACCAAAACATTCGAACCATGCCTTGGCTTGCTCAATCACCAGATCTCAGTCCAATTATAAACCTGTGGAACATCATCAAACTCCAACTGAGAACCACAAACCCAAAAACAAAGTAGATTTGGGAGAAATTTTGAAACAGGGATGGGCTGCAGTGAGACTCAAGACTCACGGCTGCAATTAGGGCTGGGCGATATGGCCTCAAATCAGTATTACAATATACTGATCAGTTCACCTCCATAACGATAAATGGACGAGAACTACTCCACAAGCTGCTCACCCCCTCCCACATTAACTTCGTCTACTTCAGCCGCTCCAACTGTTGAACCGTCCTCCATCTCCTCACCTGTCTTTCCCTCTTTGTTACGGACTGGATGGGGTGGAGTCACGTCTCTGACATAGGACAGTGTCTTAAAGGGACATGAGACCATAGCCTACCTACACACATCCAAAATCAACTTTTATTTATCTATTTTTTGACAACTAATATATGGATATGGGAAAAATGACGTTGGTTATTGATGTAAATTTCGGTATCTGTAAATTTTCGGTTTATTGCCCAGCCTTAGCAGCAGAGTGCCTAAAAGCTTTATTTTTGGCAGAACTATGCCACAGCTATAGGTGTAAGAACTCAAGTGATTTTGGTTATTATCAAGAAAACCGTGGAAAATGACTTGATATCAGTTCTTAAATGTAACTTTTATGAGCTATTTTTGTTGGTATCATTATATTTGTCCAAACAAATGCTCTTTTAGTCGTACCAAGCATTAAAATGAACAAGAAATTGAGGAAAACAAGGATAGTCTTATAATTATTTTCCATGTCTGTACATACATGGCATGTAACCACTCTATCAGCACAGGCAAAAGGAGCTTAACCTGCAACAGGACTACAGGCTGGTGGTGCTCTACCATCACCCTGTGCTTAGTCGTCTTAAATAACCTGCTTAATTTGGACTCTCTCAGTCACCGGGTATCTTAAATTTCCATTGAAACAAAGAGGAAATTTGTTGATTTGGATCATAGAGACACAGATGGTAATCACTGTGGGATATTTTATGATGAAACCCTTACCCTTCAACACAAGATTTGTAAGTTTCCTCCTCATCTCCTCTCTTTGCAGGTCCTTTCTCAGACGTGGTCACCACAAATCTCAAGCTCTCCAACCCTACAGACAGGAATGTGTGTTTCAAGGTTAAGACGACAGCGCCGCGCCGGTACTGTGTGCGGCCAAACAGTGGAATCATCGATGCAGGAACCTCAATCAATGTCTCAGGTGAGGATGGAGGGACTGTGAAATACCGAGTTTGCGCTCACTCACAACCTCTGAAATGTGGATTACCTGGTGCTTTGGTTCTTTGGTATTGCAACAGGTTGAGGATTCAGTCGAGCTGAGAGGAAAATCTTTCTACATCTCGTTCAGGGCTCTTGACAGTTTGAAACGATGCTTTCAGACGAGTACTCTGCAGTCATTGCAAAATTGAGGAAAAGGGGTTTTGCAAGACAGGTGTAATTTCACAAAAGGCAAGAAAACACAATTTAATACAAAAGCGACATTGAAATGAAACTCGGATGAAGAAGTACAGCTGCCATACTGAGCGCAACGTGCAAATAAATGTCTCTTACAGATGGTAACACTTGAGAAGCCAAACCATAATCTCGACAGTATCATAAATTTGTTTGCTCGTTTTATACAAACACACACTTCCTTCCCCTCTTCTGTTACCCAGAACCCTCCCCTGCCCTCTCACCGCAGTCCCTCCTGGCAGACCTCATTCCCAGTCAAGACAGGTATAGGCTAGTTTTTCCACACTGTGCCACCTCTGCCTTTTACAGCCCCAGACTCAGTTTACAGCCTCCCCTATCTGGTGTCAGCAACTGCAAACTGTGTCACTGGGCCCCAGCAAGTCAGCAAGTGGGTGACAAATCTGCACAGTCCTCTCTGTCAGTCGCCATCATTTCTCACACTTATTTGGGTAAAAGGTTGCAGGTTCGAGCCCTGAAAGGAGATTTCTTTTGGTCTGAGAATGTAGTTAGCATGAGCAAACATGTATCCTTTAAGTCCTAAGGGAAGACTCAGGGAGCAGTGTGCTTAACGGGATAACAAGGAGCTCTGGTCGCTTAGCTTGTCGGCTTTGTATGCCTTTAAACTGCGCACACATTAAGCTACTTTGATGACACACCCCAGTATATCACAGGCTCTGCAAACCCAAGGTGAAACCAGGACTCGCTCTTTTCTGCTTTGTTGCTCTCCAACAGGCTGCAACAAAATCAACTCTTTACTCTCATTTAATGGATGCATCGGTTAAGCTTTGTTTGCCAGCTTTCCTCTGCAGAAACAACTGTAACACTTTACAGCATGCATGCCCTTTGTTTTACCCCATTTCTCAAATCTTCACCGCACTGTAAGAATCTTCATGCTGCCATATTTGTCTGACCACCTACGATCTGAGAAGAGGTCTGAGAGTGTGTGCATGTCCTGCCAACTGTTTCGTGCTACCTGACCTACATGACAGCGGTGGAAATAACCCAGAATAAATAAACAGCAGAACATGAGCAGGGAAGACAAAGCTGCAGGCAAATAGAAAAAAGCATGACAAGTGCAGGATCAGAAATGTTCGAAATTTGTGTTGCAAATGTTTTGTGCAAACGGATTTGCATTCAACGCATCTGTAAGAGCCCGGGGATACGTTCTGTGTGTTTTGTGTAACTCTGAATGTAAACACAACTTCAGTTTGTTTATACAAAAACTTGACCGGGTGCTTTTTTTCAAATTTCTTCCTTCCTACATTGCAGTTAACTGATAAAAGTCTCTGAACAAACCAGACCACTCGAAGCTAAGTGAAATAAACACTGCCGGGTCGTCATACCAACATTTCAAAGGGGTCTAGAGTCGAGATACTCTGAAAGCACAAAAAGTCACTCCCAAAATAACTGACTGACTTACAGTTTCACAGAGTTTTTCCTGCCATCTAAGAAGATTATATTGATCTGTAACACGTTGCAGTCCAGTTCGTCTCATATTTCTAGCCTGGACTTTAGATCACATTAGCACAAAAAAGCGACAGACATCCGCTTGTAAAGAAAAAAAAGAGCAGTCTGCCACAGGATACCTACAAACTGGAGATGTGTCATTTGCTGGCTTTGCTGAGGATTCACATCGTGCTTTTGAAGCGTAACCCGGCTGTAACTGTATATGTATAATGTAGCCGTGGCCACAGGAATGTTGCTGAGCCTGATCGGTGTTATGTAGCAGAATTCAGTGGAAAATATGTGGCGTGAAGGTCTCAGAAATCCTCGTGTCCACAAATATTGAGCTTTTTCAGAGGGTATGTCAGAAGTTTGTCTGACATATTCAGGGCATGTTATCACTCTGAGAGAAGAAGAAAGCAGCAGAACACGTCACAATCAGAGATTTTTATCACTTTTAAGAACGAGTTTTCTAACTGTACAGGGAATCACAGGTTCAGACAGATTTTCTCTTATATAAGCTGATACTACAGGTTATATGAGCCAACCTTATGTACACAGATACACAATGGAGATCATATGATATAGAATACAAGTCCTGGGGTAGGTAGAAAGCGCTTCACTCTAGCATTAGATAATAGTAGGGCTGCACGATGTTGGCCAAAAACAAAATCCAGATTTTTGATTTCAACTTTTTAATTCAGTGACAACTTCACCAAACTTAGCTTTAATAAGTTTTCCTATTATCTCTCAAAACAAAACCACTGAAAATGATGTAGTGCATATGCCAAGCCAGTAAGTGGCACTGTAACGCTGCAGAGGAAATGCACAAAAGACAGAAGAAGAGTACAGAGCATGTGTATAAAGGTTGTTTTGGTCGGACACGCTCAGGCGCCATAAAAGAGTTACGCTGTGTGTCACATGATCATTTCCAGAGATGCAGATAGACATCCACACGGAGATGAAATGATCGTCGTTTATAGATTCATACACTCTCTGACCCGTTTTCAAAAAGTACCGTTTACAGTCACCTGAAACGCCGTTTTCATGTGGATGAAACGCTGATACAACAAAAAACTTGCGTTTACTCCTGAATTTGTTTCCGTGTGGACGGGTTGATACCGCCTTCAGACAGACTTTGCGCTTCATCTGAAACTGTGAAGTCGTACCAATTCCACATAACTGACTTGCTCTTGTCCTATTTAGCCATGAAATTGACGGTTTTAATTTTTTTACATCGTCATTATCAAATAATCAGATTATGATCTAAAATCGATTAATCACGCAGCCCTAGTCAATGGTTTCAGTAATGAGGGATGTTGGATTTTGGACTTTTGCGATATCATTAGTGTAATATTTTTTAATTAATTTTGGCCGAGGCTTATTTTGATACCGATATATTCCTGCGATTTTTTCACTATAAAAAACTCAGTCTCTCCTGTAACAAAATATACCTGATAGTCTTATTGTGACGAGACAAACAGCATCTGATCCTACTATAAATCTATTCTATTTCAAATACAGACACTTTCATTGGCGTGTCTGCTGTCTGTTTAAGACACTGAAATACTTCCATACAGTCACATTAGGAATGTTTTCCATATGTGTGTTTTTGCACACGTAAGCTGTCCTTACATTCACATATTTAGTGCATCACTTTTTTCACACTGATGATTATATCAGCAGAAATGTTGGTTCTGGCCTTTACAGATGATAAACTTTTTAAGCAGTTATCTGCCAGCACTGACTTGATGCCAATAATATAATGCATCCCTCTGAATAACTTCTTCATATTTTGTGATACACAGACTTACAGCTACAGTGTGAAGAAAAGGAAATATTAAGCAACATCTCGCAGTCAGACTCTAGACTGACAGACTCCATGGCTCAACCCCTCTTGTTGGTGAGGCGACGCCCGCTTTTAAAGGTTAAAAAGTGCATGATAAGAATAATCCCCCATTTATCAAGTTTGTACACCCCAAAACATCCAACAGTACAATGTCTTTTGCACAAAAAAACACTCGCCTTTGTTTTAGCCTCTTCCAACCAGCAACTCAAACATCTCACAAACTGCACGTCACTGGTCTTTCTCAGAGACAGCGTTACATGTCAATGCTGCTGTCTGCGTTTTCTTATATGTTTCAACATGAAATTAAACCCCTGGAAATAGTGGGAAGTCCTTTATTTCCCCTCTAAAATCAGTATGAGTCTGAAAAATCTCAGATCTGTTGGACTAATTGGACACTTCTAATATATGATACACTCACATGTTCTGCTAACCACAGATCCCTGTAAAGGTAGGCGATTCCTTCACATGTATGGTGGATTGACTTAAGTTCACTCTCTCCGACCTCTGAACGGGTTATCTGCTCTCCATCCTTTTTGCATGATATTAAATTATACCGACACGGGAGAGCACAGTCAGAAAGTGTGAGATCCCGCTAACCTGAGAGGCCTGATTATGAGAACGTTTCATGAGAGTTGGCTCGAACAGCGCGGTGAGTTTTCCCTCCAGGCTTGTATCTCCACAGCTCTGGTTGACATCACTCTCTTTCTCACTCCCACACTGCAGCGTCTCTGTAGGTTCGCTGATCTATGACCACGTTTTCGTGTTGAACAGTATTAAGCAAAGTAGACGAGGGGCAGCCTTTGACAACTGAAGCTTCTACGAGTCGGTGTGAAAAGGTTACTGTTATAGATAGGGGGTGTCGTACAATGAGCCATGTGGCGTCATGTGTCATATCTCCTTTCGTGTCACATCATGTCTTAATGTTCGGAGCGAATCTGCCTCACCGATCTTGTTCTGCTAATCATAAAACTGAGACATTATCTTTTGTTTTTTCTTTATTTTTATTAAGTTGTCAAACACTGCATTTGTTTTCTGCAGCGCTGCAGAGGATCCTCTTTAAATAGGTCATGGAGGTACTGCAGTCTCAAGTTTTATCCTTTCATTACAGCTGACAGAAAACTGGTTATTTTTCTCGTTTCATGGAAATGTCTCATCATGACTCTGTGAATTGAGAAACTGAACCGAATTACGAAATGATTCAAATGAAGAGTTCTTAAGCAACGCAGAACTGTTTTTTAATCAGAAGAATAGTGATCAATTCATCATTCACTTCATATTTAATTAAAAACTGCAAAAAAAACCTCACTTTTTAAATGTGCTTTTTAACAGTTTTTTACATTGCAGTTATTATCTGGGTTTACGCTCAATGCACGACCTTTTTTATTTATATTTGAAGCTTTTTGCTTTACTTTTTAGTTATTGAAAAACTTTAAAAATGTGTGGATTTGAGAGAGCTTCAAGAAAAAAAATGTGGTCACTCCCTAAATTTCATTAGTAACTGTAATTAATAACATTTTAACTCCATGCCAAAATGCAGCTTTGAAGTCTAATGAAGCAATGTTAAAGAGTATTTATGATTTGGGGGTCTAATGATGAAGTGAAACATACTTTATGATCTAGACTTTAAGATTTACTATTCAAATAAAAGTTGAAAAACAATGATTTAGAAATAAGACAGAGATTCAGAGTTATTCAAAGTTATCCTAAAGGTTAACACGGTCTCATGGTACAAAAATATGCAGAAAAAAAGGCGCTCTGTCTGCTTTTTGATGCCGTTACCCTCTAACATCAGTCTAATCAGCTGCACCTGTATGCTCAGCTCATAGGTGTTGGCCCCCCTGTGGTATTTACATTCTGTGTGACACAGAGTGCATGTGTGGACTTGTCGACTGAAGTGAAATGTTCCACACAAGAGTGCAGTGGTGTCACTGTTTTCCATCAGGAATACACCTCAGTGGCATCACTACAGTATGCAGTTCCTCTGTCTGTACTGTGGTTAATGCGTCACAGTGACAGCTCTAATGATACAGATCAATAAAATTTCCAACTCTTGTCCTTTTTGCATCCATATGACTTCCTGCGGCGCTTCAACAACATCCTGCTCTTAGTATCATGGAGGCGCATTAGACAGGATATTTGGCAAAAAATGAAACACACACACCACAGCGCTCTAAAACACACACATCTAAAACTGATAAACCAATAAAGTCAAGAACAAAATATACTGCAGATTAGTGCTGGGCGGTATTATCAAAAATTAATTTCTCAATTTTTTAAAAAACTATATCAGCTATTTTATTTTTCAAGCATGACAGGGTGTTAACCTCATTTTTCAATAATTTAGAGAATAATCACTGCAGTAAATTGGTTTGGAATGACATATTTTAATGTCATGAGGAGTGAATATTGTAGAAAAATATTCATGTCCACACTAATATCAATAAAGTGAAGGAATCAGGATTCATGTTGCGGTCAAAAATCTTCTCTCAATCTACAAAGTTGCCAACTTTCCCTGCAGACGTGAAGGACGCAGATCATAGTTTCATGCATTCTTGATATTCCAGGACATGCTTGTGGCTAAAGTGGTGAAGATAACTGCTTGTGTTGCCTCCTGCGGCTACAACTTAAGCCCGACAACATTTGCAAAATATTGTGTGACATTGGATTTTTTTAAAGCTGAAAAACTTCCAAACAACAAACTTCAGTTTCAGAACTTTCACCGTGTTTAACAGTTTTGTTCACCGCTCATTGACATCCGTACGTTCAACACAGGCTGTGCTCTTACATGCTGCTTGTTTGGTACAACTGCAAAACGCCCCCTATCAAACAATGTTCGCAGGCGCAACATTCTGACGCATTGCATTCCCAACTTTTTGTACGCTGCACACTCACCGGTTTAAGGGTATATGAAAAATACATATCATAAAAAAAACAAAACAAAAGAAAAACAACGGTATTCAGCAAATGGCAACCCGCCGAGCACTAGGGCGATACGGCCTCAAATCAATATCACGATATATTGATCAGTTCACCTCTATAATGATAAATGGACGATAACTACTCCACAAGCTGCTCACCCCCTCCCACATTAACTTCGTCTACTTCAGCCGCTCCAACTTTTGAACCGTCCTCCATCTCCTCACCTGTCTTTCCCTCTTTGTTATGGACTGGATGGGGTGGAGTCACGTCTCTGACGTAGGACAGCGTCTTAACGGGACATGAGACCATAGCCTACCTACACACATCCAAAAACAACTTTGGTTTTTTTATTTTGACACCAAATATACCGATATGGGAAAAATGACGTCGGTTATTGTCGTAAATTTATGTATTTGTAAATTTTCGGTTTATCGCCCAGCCCTACCCAGCACGACTGCAGATTAAAAACTGAAGAACTTACGCATACTAATACTGATGTAGCAGCACTAAAGGGCACTAAGTTTGTGGTGTAAATTACTCTACATCTGTATTTAATCACATTTTAATTGCTAATATTTTCCAGAGTTTAGTCGCTCTTTTATATCAAATTTCAGTGAATTGTAGGAAACCAAAGAGATTATAGTCAGTATAGTCAGTCTGTTCCTGTCCTGTTGTTGGATTCTTCTGAAAGGCGGCTCCATGTGTTACTGTGAGGTAATCTGAACCCCAGGCGGACCTCTGTGAGCACTTGAAGGTAAATAGTTAGCGGTAACTGTTTTGTGCGTCTTTTCTCTCGGGACACACACAATTAATTAGCGACAGGAAAGGAAAGTTTTGTTGCCTCCCTCCCTCACCCCTCTAATGGTTCCATTCATCATCAACAAGCAGGCAGGCCAGATTACCATCCTGCTTGACCGTGTTGACTACAATTAGCCTCCGTGAGTGTTATAAATGATTACACCGCGTGGAGAAGGAATACTAAATCACGCCATTAGCAGACGTAGATTTTTGTACGCGTGTTCAAAGACTGTAGATCAAAGCAGCTGTAAATCATTTTTCTGCTCTTGTGCATGTGTGTTTTTCTTCTCTGGCTCCGACTCAGATTTTCTTTTATGTTATTCACTGTTTCTCTATGAACTTACATGCTTTCCTGCCTCCGCTCTCTAGTATTGTCCCCTCGGACCAAAGGTAGATGGCCGTGCAAATTGGGTTTGACTCAAACAGGACGTTCTCAATCTGTTCGTGCCGTCTGTTTCTGGTTTGGTACATTGAACCGCCCTGATTGCTGTAATGGTGCACTACATCTCTGAGGTTTTCCTCTCCAGGGGGAATTGGCATGTGCCATATATGAAAACCGTCTTGATAGTTGGGTTGGCTTTGAAATTAGGAGGTCATTTTTTTAAAAAGTAGAGGCCAAAGAGTCACACATTCGGAGCAGACAAAAACGTTGAAATATGCCTTTCAATTACACCCTCGTTAAAACTAAAGTCAAAGGAGAGAAAAGATCACCAATCAATAGCTATTTTCATCCTCTCTGCCCTTCCACCCTCCTTGAACAGGAACATAAGAAAGTGATCATTGTAAATCATCGTTACAGCTTTGAAATACCTTCCCACTCATTGGAATGACATCAAATAACACAGCGGTGACCGAGCGGCCTGACGCGGCGATGCCTTAAAGTCGTCTTCCAGCCCCACACCTGCTTTCTGTTAGGCCGATATGTAACGTTAAGAAAGAAAACGACAGGGTTGGAAGCTGTTAGAAAGATTACCCCCTGGGGTATTTGTAGATCCGTCAGTGTTTCGCCGTCATGGTAACACAAACTTGGACATAAATCATCTCCAGCACTTTTTCCGTGCAGCCCGGAGCCTTGAAGGCTCCTACTTTAGTGTTTGACAAATTCGTGGGTATTTGATACTCGCTAATTCAACTTTAATCCAGAGGAGTGGACGCAGAGTTGAGGAAGGGATGGAAAGTTGCTGACAAAGAGGAGTAACGGTTTATTCGCAGGAGTGTTTATTTTGTATTTAAGGCGGCAGATTTTACCCACAAGTCTCAGCGTGTGCCGGTCTGTGTGCAGCAGTGTAAAGGACACTAACAAGACGCTTCATCTGGCATGTTTACCCAAGAAAAGACGAGAGGGTGAGGTTTCTTAAAAAGGGAAACAAAGCTGAGGTAGTCAGGCGGAACTGAATGACCATAGAAATCCTGCAGACTTCCTGATAACAGTGCGTCTCCTGCTGTGGTGCAACTTCTGTCATAACACCACTCTTCATATCTCCATGTTTTTGGAAATTCTTCACCGCAGCTGTTCACTAAGATTGTTAGTAACCCGTCCAGCTCCACTTTCCTATGTTTGGAGAAGGAAGTCTTTACTTGTTGCCCGTCATGTGACCCCTCTCAGGTCTCAAGAATCGAGGCAAATATCAAAATTAAAGATGTGTGTGTGAAGTCAACTAAATGATTGAACATGTTTACCCTCACAGCAGAGCACCAGAATTTCAAGTTTGTTTGGGGGTAGGGCAGCATGATTTCAGCCATGGTCGAGAGAAGGGATCCTCAAAATCTTCACCTCGTTTTCTCCTGCCTTTGCTGACACTGATTGTGTTTTTGTGTTTCAGTTATGCTGCAGCCTTTTGACTACGATCCCAACGAGAAGAGCAAACACAAGTTCATGGTCCAGTCCATGTTAGCACCTCCTGACATGACCGACATGGAGGGAGTGGTGAGTGTTTCACATCAGATTTAATGACTCTAATTGCACGGAGAGGGGAAGTTGATCAGCCGGGGTGAAAGGCTATGCAGCAGAGCTGAGGAGAGTTAAATCATACCAGCATGTGTGGTCTCTTCTTTACAGTGAAACATTATTAACCTGTCAGCAGATGTTTTGAGGCTTTGGTATGATGTGATGACTCACACACGTATTAAAAAATGCCTTCACACACTGAATCAACCTGAGCGATGGTAACAAAAGAGACACGGGGCCGAGGCAGCGGCTGAACCCTGCTGGGTTATTGTGCACATCTGCGTCTATGACTGTCATTGAAATAAGATTTAAAGCAGCTTTATGAGGCGGGGTTAGACAGAGAGCAGAGCAGAGACGGACTGCAGTCCTCCTCCAGCTTCATCTCTTTGATTCTGAGTCCAGCTGTAGATGAATTGTTGAAAACATCACCACGACATATGAGGTATTCTTACCGATAAGGAGAAAGATTAAAGTCACAGTATTCATGAAAACTTAAAGAAAGAGGACAGTTTTACCTTCGACTGTAGAAAACATGGAGCTAGCCTCAGCGATGACACTCATTGATGCTTTTTGCATTATTAGGTCATCAGGTTCTCTAAAAATTTGAGCTTTTACTGTGTCTGATTTTTCAAAAAGTCTAGTTTTGTTATAGAAACTGAGCTTGTATCACTCTGAAGTGGAGATCTGAGCGGAGGGGGAGTGTTTGTGAAACTCTGGAGTCCAAAGTAACAGATTTTTGTTTAATATAAAAAGAGGTAATAACATTAAGATGGAAAAGTCCCTGTAGACCGAGCATTGGACAGTGGCTTAAGGAAATATCAAGATGTTTACCTTTGGAAAAAATCACAATTAAAGATAAGCAAGAACAGTTTTAACACATTTATAGATTTACTTAGAGATGAGGACTTATTTAGTATGTTGGACAAAGCTAAAGGAGAGTTTAGTCATTACCTCTGCAACTGAACTGATTCTTTACTGATATTTACAAAACATCTTACATGATGTAGGTTTTTACGGGTCGCCTTCATGGTGAAATTTATCTTAATTTATCTTGAATATTCATGTATGTCTGAGCCATCAGCCTTAAAAATTCACATATAATTCGTTTTTATTCCGGTTGGGACTCGATTAAAAGAATTAATCAAATTATTTATTATATAGATTGTTGAAATTATGTATATATTTATATAAAGAGCTGCTGAAGCATTAAAAAAGATACAAGAAATGAGGGTTTGGTTTGAAAAGTCTTTAACTGGGTGATTACTGAGAGAAGAAGCAAAGTGGTCTCTAGTGGAAAGTAATTAAACAGAAATGATAAATTGATTTAGTCAAAGTCAGACATGCAGAAAATTTGTTTTTGATTCACAGTTTAATTTTTCTTAAAGAGTCACTTTTTGATCAATAGTTTCTGCTAATTTAATGATGCAGGTTAAAATACCAATCCTTCATTTCTAGATCCTGTCATAATAACTAAGACTCAAAGGGATACACTCAGAGAAAAATTAATAAATGAGACAAAAAAGAAAGTGTACAGTTTGTTGGTTTTTCTTCATCTCTGGTGTTTCTGCTCTGTGGTTTCAGACCCTCCAGCAGCAGCAGCAGGGCGCTTTCTGAGGTTTCTGTTCTCTTGTGAAGAGCTGCATTCATTAACCGACCTCTCTATCACTCTCAGTCTGCTGCCTTTGTTCTCAAAGCCTCAGACTTTCCATTTTTCTTTCTTTCATGAGTTTCAGAAAACAGCTTAGAAACCGACCAACCACCAGACGTGCTATCTACAGAGAAATACAACCACAAACGTTGTTGTTGTGACATTTTTCACTCTCAGACAGTTGCATTGGCATCTTGTTTCGTGATAAGATTAAAAAGTAATAATGTTTTAAGTGTTTTTCCTTCTCTTTGTTTCTCCAGTGGAAGGAGGCGAAGCCAGAGGAGCTGATGGACTCTAAGCTGAGATGTGTTTTTGAGATGCCAGTGGAGAACGAGAAAACGGTAAGCACGTATTTTTTCTCCTTTTCTGCCTCAGCCATGTCAGTTTGAGTCACCAGAAAATATCAAACAAACCAAAGGGAACACCTCCTGAATCCGTGTATCATTCATTCATTTAATTTTCAAAATAGAACCAAAAATGAAAAAATGAGACAATGAATTGTTTTCTAAATATTCGTCTGTAAAACAGAATTAAAAAACAGATAATAGTTTGTTTTCCGTTTTCTTCTTCTGCTCAAATGAAAGTAGGATAAAGGGATAATGACGGTTTTATCTGATTTAGACTTCTTCGTCTGTAGAAAGTTTCGTGACCCGTAGTTGATCAAGAAACGGGCTTTGGCATTACGGCTGGACTAGAGAGCTCGTACAGCACTTTTTTCAGGATGGCAAAACTCATGCAGAGATTTAGACTCTTTCATCTACAGATGAAAGAGTCTAAATCAGACAAAACTGTCGTTATCCATTTGACCCATTTTCATTTGAGCTGAAAATAAATGGAAATCGGAAAACAATCGTTTTCTCATTTTTGGTTTTATTTTGAAAATCGAATGAATGAATGATTCTCCTAAAGTCTTCTGCCGTTATTTTAAAGAGCACGCAGACCTGCCAACATGTATGCATTTTGCATACTTGTCACGCGTTTTGACCTCCGAGTTTCGGAAACAGCAAAAGTTTCTCAACAGCTACCGAGAGAGATGGAAATTTCCCCGCGTGCCGAGGCTGCTTTATCACGCTTTTTGCACCATGAAGTCACCAAGGAGCAACAGGTAACGATGTTGTTAGCTCGCCGTTACTCATTGCACGGTGCACGAGCCACATGCGGCTCGTCAAGCCATAATTGGTGGCTCTTATGGTAGTTTCTATGTGGTAAACCTTGATGGTGCTTCCTAAAGGGGGCATTGTCAAACCTGGCAACGCAGCCTGTGTGCCATGTGGCATTGTTTACAACACTTTTCGGAAGCGCGCGTTTGCAGACAGGCTACGTTTGCTCCGCTAGCCGGCATGAAACACAAAATGGATCGTTTTTTTTAACCATTTTTTAATTAATCGAAAAAAATGCAGTGTTGTGTTGTAATTATTTCAGTGGTGGTGGGACAGTGGGGATCGCCCCTGGGATCGGGATGGGTCGGGTAGTATTCATAAAAATGTTTCAAAGTTCGCAGGTCTGGAGTACGGCGCACTTTTAATAATTATTTTGAGGTTAAATTTTTATATTTAAATCCTGCTGTGTTCCTTCATTTCTCCTCCACCCTCCTATCTTAGTTTTTCACTTTGAACTCGAATCCTGTCTAATACTCTTACTCTCTCTCCCGCCTCGCTTATTCTCTCTCTCTCTTCCTTCCTTGTTTCCTCTGTCTCAAGTTTTCCACCTCTCTCAGCATCACTTGCAAGCCTCGGCTGCCCTTTATACTCCCTTTTTGTTATGTCTGTGATCCCTCTCGAACCCCATGCTGCTTTACAAACGTTATCTCATCACAATATGAACTGCTTCTGCTGGCTCCATTATCACAGGGAGCAGAGAAGGACCCACAGTAGCTGCTTTCAATTTATTCTGTGCCGTGCGGTACATGCACACGGCTCCGCCACGGCCTCCGATTTTCTGCGACAGTTTTTATTGAAAGCAGCTTGCTCCACTTCTGAAAGGCACCCCTGGGTGAACTCCATGACAAACAAAGAGATGGAGGCTCTGTGTCCTGCAGGCCTGTGGATGAGCATGTGTACCGCGTATAAAAGTCTCATGCAAATATGAAACTCTTAACTCATCGCGTTTCAACTTTTAACCCACATACAGCACGACATGGAGTCCAACAAGATGATGTCGTCCAGCTTGCTGAAGTCAGAGTCCTCCTCGCTGCCTCAGAAGTCCCTGAGCTCCACCCTGGACGACGGGGAGGTGAAGAAGATCATGGAGGAGTGCAAGAGGCTGCAGATGGAGGCTCAGAGGCTACGGGAAGAAAACAAACAGATCAGGGTGAGTGAGATGAATGGAGGACTTCAGCTGATTGATTAGTATTTTTCCTTCTGCTGAAAGAAAAGAGACAGATTTCTCCGAGTCGCACTGACACGCTCAACAATCGGGTGTACAACTCCAGCTGTGCAGCTTTGAAGAAACTACAGAGACTGTAGAGTTTCTCAATAAAGTGAGGCTGTCGAACTATTTATAACATTTTTCTTATGCTTTGCAACTTTCTACTTGAATTAATCACTGCTGAACAAACACAGGGTGTGATCAATCACCTGATGAGCTGAATCAGACAGATCCAGAAAACACATTTCGGCTCGTTATCAGTCATCACAACTGTGCAGCACCCAGTTAAAATACCTGGCTTATGGTTAGATTTATTCAGATGACACTGAGCGTAAATCTCTCTGTAAATGAAAATCTGTTGATCTGTTTTCTGCATATGTTGAGTTACAAACTAAGAGATAAGGTCAGGGCTCCAGTGCTGAGGGCCCAAAGGGAGTCCAGGTTCAAGTGTGGAGTCAATCAGATGAGTGGATCTCAACAGGAGCTCCAGTCTTCAACGAGCAAGACACTGAAATTTAGTGAACGATGATAAGTAAAAAGATCAAAACAAACCTCAAAGAGGCTTTATTTTACAACTGAAGTCTTTTCACTGATCAGGGAAATTTTCGTTCCTTTGCTCAAAAATGGAATTTTTTTTTCACGATTTAATGTTGAGCTGCTGTTAAGAAAAATGAGCATCCTAAAGACTAAAAAATGTAAATGTGTAACTTTGACTTTGTACTCAGGGTTATGTGTTTTTATTCTGAGAGTTCCCCCAAAATAAGACAAATAATCATGATTTATTATTATAGGGCCGCACGATTAATCGATTATAAATCGTAATCGCATTCTTTGTTTATTACGATGAAAAAAAATTAAATCGTCAAATCGATTTTCCTCTCTATCACATCTCGCGCCTCCAGGCCACCGTAGGTTCTTCCTTCCTCAGTTCCCACACACACCAGTGTAAACAAACATGGCGTTTACAGAAGAAAGCGATAATTTCGTGGTTAAATAGGACAAGATCAAGTCAGTTGTGTGGAATTGGTACGACTTCACAGTTTCACATGAAGAGTAAACCACTCCCCGCTGCAAAGTCTGTCTGAAGGCGGTATCGACCCGTCACCACGGAAACAAATTCAGGAGGAAACGCTAAAGTTATTTGTTGAAAACAGGTCAGAGAGTGTATAAATCTGTAAACAACGACCATTTCATCTCCGTGTGGATGTCTATCTGCATCTCTGGAAACGATCATGTGACACACAGCGTAACTCTTTTATGGCGTCTGAGCGTGTCCGACCAAAACAACCTTTATACACATGCTCTGTACTCTTCTTCTGTCTTAGTGCATATCCTGTGCAGCGTTACAGTGCCACTTACTGGCGCCACTTAAATCTGGATTTTATTTTTGGCCAAAATCGTGCAGCCCTAATTATTCGTAAGCCTTGTGTTGTGAAAGCGCCGTGATGCCAGTTTGTTGCCAAACTAATACCGATGAGGTCACAGCCTAAAAAAACCCTTCAGCATTCACTCATGAGTCTATTCCTGCAGCTCTGATACGTTCTGTATATCGAAACACTTCGCAACATCTGAAAAAGGACGCAACTTTTCCCCCCACACTGAAACAGCAAAGTTTCATCTCAATCATCAAAATGAGCAGATTACAACTCTGGACATCCACCGTCACTGCTGTGTTTCTCTGTAATTATTCATCCTGAGTAATGTTCACAATCAAGATAAGCAAATAAAAAGGAAAACTTGCTTCATGACACCACAGTGTCCTTCACAGAGGCAGTAATTCAAGATGGAGGTTTATATTGAGGACAAGTGCTCGTTTCTGTAATCAGCGGCAGACCTCAGGATTTAAGAAATCAATGAGTGTGGCATCAATCACAGCCATCAGTGAGGTTTAAGATTTAAGATTGGGGTTTTTGTGAAGGTTTGGCTGGACACTCGTCACACACACACACACACACACACACACACACACACACACACACACACACACACACACACACACACACACACGGGGTAAGGAGAAATCGGTCCTCACGCCCTCGCCTCCCCCTCCTCCCCCCTTGGCTCTTGCCAGAGGCAGAACGACTGTTGGCTGCTCCCGCGGCTGAGATTAAACTAACAGAGAGCCCCCCCACCCGCTGCTGGGAAATGAAGTGTGTTAAAGCCTGGCGCCTTGTGCAGTCCTCTGGGGATTTGGTCAGATGAAGATTTAAGCAGATCCTATTTCTATGAGCGAGTAAATAAATACGGTCTTATCGTATTGATGGACAAACCGACTCTTTTCAGCGTCCTCTCCCACCGTCACTCATCTTTCTCTGTCCTCAAACTTTCAGCGTTCTTCGTCTAATCCCTCATCTTTTTACACCCTTGTCTTTTCCCTCCTCTTCCCGCTCCAGGAGGATGATGGTCTGCGGATGAGGAAGAGCAACATGATGTCGTCTCAGCACTCCTCAGTCGGCATGAAGAGAGAGGAGGGCTTGAGCGCCCGCTCGGTGGCCCTCATCGTACTCTTCTTCGTGGTGGGCGTCATCGTGGGCAAGTTGGTCTTGTAGACGGCAGCGCAGTTCGATCGGCCGCAGCATGCTTTCTGGGGGGAAGAAAAACAAACATGGGATCTGGGAGTTTTGGATCAGAAACGCCATTAAGCCGCTTGGGTGGGGGGTGGTACTAGTTTTGATTCAGTCTCATTTATGTAAAAAATTTCAAAAGTAATGTACGAGGAAAAAAAAAGAAGAAAAAACGATTTATGATCTTATGAACAAAACCTACTGTTACAGGTCTTGCCTCAGCGTAATCATCACATAATCATTCTGGTTCTCTTCCCAAAGTTTCTTGTACAAAGACGAATGGTTTTGTGGGCGGGGGGATTAATGGAAACATGATAAATGCTCGTGATTCAGACCAATGGATTTTCTAACACCGGCAAGGTAGTGTTGGTGCGATTGAGTCAGTCTGCAACTGTGCGAATGTCATTTTAGTGTAATGTTGTTTCTTTTTCTAAACGACGGAGGCCAGAGCCGATGTATATGTAAAAGTAACTCCCTTCCTCGCCCCACTGTACAGTCCATCCAGGTGTTCCTTCCAGCTAAGCCCCCTTTAAGGAAGGGATGAACCAGAGAGACGATCCACACAGTCGGGGGTCACACACAGGGCTATCAAACTGACTCGTCCAATCAGAGGCTTTGAAAAAAAGCGGCTCGTCTTTGATTGTAGAGCGGCCGTCGTCATCATGTATGAAACACTAGACCACAGGTATTTTTTCCTTGAGTTTTTATTTTCACTCGACTTTCTCGCGCTCACCCATCACTCAGTGCTCACCGCATCCCCCTGGTTGTCGGAGGGGGATGTTCGATTGCATGCGTTCACACCACAGAGTGTTGCATCTGGACTTTTGAATCTAATTTAATTGCTTTATTTTTTTTCAATGGTGACAATAATAATATGTAATTTGGCTGTAGGTTTGCACAACTACATTTTTTTCTGATTTATTTCTCTCTCCTTTGTGTTTTGTTGCATTTTTATGATTTTAATTAATTTTTTTTTCGTTGTTGTTGTTGTCGTTGTCGTCGTTAGGGTTGAAGCATTTAAGAATATCGCAGCTACCAGAAATGAGCTCCAGATTTTGTAGGATTAGATCATTTCTGCTAACGAACTCCAGATGAAAGCCTTGCCTTGTGACCTGTTTGGGCAAGTTATTCTCAGGCCAAGATGGAGGTATATAAATATATTTACATTAATATATATATACACACACACACATGCGCGCGCACAGACAGAGAAAGCATGCATACATATTAGTGAGGAACCACAAATGGGCAGAAGTTGCATGTAAAGAGGAATGGTTTTTGTGTTTCCTTTATAACATCAACAACATCGAGGTCCTGTTATGTGTCTTAACTCGGAGACCTCGGTCTTTTGAAGCTCTTTTTCGTTTCCTACTGAGCCATACATTTGTGAACTCTCTGTTTCGTTTGGGGCAAATGTATGTCAGAGATCAGCTGAGTGTTTTTTTTGAGCTGCCTGTTTTCTCCACTGCTGGTGAGATTGCTGTTCTTTCCACTCCACTGCGGTTCCATTTTTGGGTGTTTGTTCAGCATTTATCCGTTGCTTTAAAAATGTTATATCCTCACTGCATTTGAAGTCGTGTTCATTTTTAACGCACCAAGATTAAGAGTGTCTCTCTTTTTTGATCTTCCTGCAGCATACTACTCGTTTATTTTTGTTTTGTTTTTTCTTAAGCGAGACGTGGGGGATGAGGGGTTCGGGGAGGGAGACATACAGCAGCCTAGCTTAAAGCCACGAGGGGACCACATGATGACATTGTACTGTTCAAGAGCCGATGGTGATTCTCCTGTCAAAATAAACCGACAAACTGAGAAAAGAAAAAGCATACCTTCAAACTGATTCACATCCTAATTTGCATGAGAGAAAAAGCAGTGAAATTTGGTCATTTTACGTTTACATGATTCGATTGGAAAAAAGCGACAGTTGGTCTGTTTATCCCGTTTTATCCACAGATGATATGAGTGTTTTCCCCCTTTGCTACAATGAAAAAAAAACAACCGTCTTTTCATGTAAAGTGGAGTGGAGCGCGATGGATGTGAGAGTGGGGTAAATGATTTGAATAAACATGAACTTGTGTTTGAACTGTATCTCTGTAGAGTTGTTGGGTTGAGGATGACTTGCTGCTTAGAGGGAGGGCAGAGCTGACCCTGAGCTACAGTCCAGTCTTGGGTTATCAGACCTGGATCGCACAGTACTTGCAAAAGATTCTTCTTGTTCAGTGATTCCTGTTTGGAGTAACAGACTGTTTAAAGAAGGAAGTTCTATATATAAGTATATATATATAAAAGCGTGTCAGATGTACACGACCACTGTCCAGCTCATCTGGCGCTCCAAACAGGACTAACCAAACAACAACAACATTTCCCTGTAAATACTCGCTGATCCAGGCACGGTTGTTAAAACACACTACACTGACCTGTTCTGGAGTCTCTGACCATCACCGTGATCAATGTAAGCAGTCGGGAAACTGTTTTGTATGTATATAAATAAATAAATAAGTCTATCTGAGAAGATTAATATTCCTAGTCAAGTAGTCTCTCTGGTGTATAAAAACTACCCAACCTGGTTGGACTATGTAGCATCTTAATAAATTAAATGAATAAAGTCCTTACTGAACCGTGTCAAGTTATTTGCTTTTACACACATTCATTCAAAGAGCTTTAAAGTCCCACTCCAATGTTTTTTTTTTTTACTACCATATTTTTCAGGCCATAAGTCGCACCGGATTATAAGACGCATATACCGTTACAAATACCGGTACAGAAAAATGAGCTCACTTATCGAGTCATTCCTCTTCGACAAATCCATCGAATTCTTCATCTTCAGTGTCGGAGTTAAACAGCTGTGCGTATAATGACATCAATCTTGTCATTATCCGAGTCAGTCTCGTTACTGTCACCTGTACTTGGTAGCCTGGCTGGGCCATCCTGTTGCGTGAATCACTTACCGTTCCTTCCCACTACCGTCTGGACTTAGGACGTAGGAAATCTCAGTGTGTCTGAACCTGCCGTTTGGGTCCACCAGAGATTCCCCACCAAACACCGGAGGTCTTTTTTCAGGGTTAATCACCCGTCAGCCCGTCATGGCCAGAATTTAGCCCAAAAACAGACGTTGAAAACTGGGCTTCATTTAGACTGTCGGATTCAGTCCTGATTTAACCTGAACATGTTAAAATGTTGGTGTTATCTAGGACGTTGTTTAATAATAATAATAATCTTTATTGTCCCCAGGGGGAAATTTGCTTTCACAGGTCTTATCCTCACACAAAACACGAGTACAGACAACACATACCATATGACACAAAACATATTACAAGGACAGGCCATGAGAACCCCCCCAGAATACCAGTATGGTGAAGACGTCTTTTCAACCACTTTCTTGGGTCACAGCTATTTGAATGCAGAAATGCAATTTCACACTTATTTTTCTCATGATGTGTCCTGTAGCGTCAGAAAAATGTCATATGAACATGTAGACAACAAGAAAAACATGCTTTTCATCAGAGTGGGTCTTTAAAGGTGGTCTGTTGTGTTTGTAATGGAGACGTACAAGTTTTAAGAGTTTTCAGGTACGCACACACAAGAACTAGAAACCAATTAGACAGTCAGGTCTTTGGACGTTCATTTTAAACACATAGCAGTATCAGTATGTTAAGACTCATCCTGGTGCCGAGCATAAAACAGAAGATAAGAAAGAAGTGAGTAAAGTTACTGTAACAGAAGTTTTTGAAGTTAGTACTTTGCTGTTTTCTGTCGGAGTGTTTTACTATAAAACATTTGTCACTAAGTAAAAGAAATAGCTAAAACATTATAACTTCTGTATCAACTGCAGGCTGATCATGATGTTTACGCAACAAAAACTGAAAAGAAACCAAATGAATTTGTCCCAAAATCTCATTCACAAACTTTGAGTTACAGTGGCCTGACGGGTCCAAGTGCAAATCTCGTTTCAAGCCAAAATTACTCGATAAGTTCTTTGACATGAGAATCATAACTTTTCAGAAACTTGTCAGGAAAATTTTACTCGCCATGTTTGTGACTCACAAACATAATTTATATCATAATTTTGGCTCTTAATATCGAGCGTCTCTGCGCAGCCAGCCATGACATAATCGGGGAGGGGTCTACAAAGTGCAATAATGACAATCGATGGAGCGAAAATGTTCAATAACTTCACTCTGAATATGTGCAGAGTCAAATCACCTCACACAGTACTGCTGTTTGTTATATTATTGTAATTAATTTAGGAAAATGTGCTTTTAGTAATTAGCACCTGAGCATATCTTCCTCTATCAGCAGTCTTTGGCTCTGCTTCTGATGGTCCGGTTCCTATAATATGAGAATAAAAACATGAAGCAGTCCAGGTTTGTATTAAAATGTCACACTTAAGCATCTATGAAACCAAATGTATTTGAGGTTTCCTTTCCCGAGTGTTTTTAGCTTTAAAAAAAAAAACTGAGGAAAACACAGATAGACTTTCAGACTCTGCCGCTCCTCACATCTAAACTTGTGCTGGCTCGTTAGCCGCTACCGCTCTGCTTGATTTGGCAGTACCAGAGTTTGCAGAGGGAAAAGAGTGAAAATAAATATCTGCAAGAAAAGTAATTACTCTTCTGACTTCTGCTTTGGCTCTTGTGGTGTTGAATGTAATAAAATTCTGGTGATTAATCTGGTGTTATTGTATCAGGAACAACCTGAGCGTGTCTCTGTCTGCACCTTGTGGTTGGAGGCATTCGAGCGGAGTTAGTACTGTCAGGAACCCCCCGGTGTGCACCTGGGCTCAGGAGCTCCTCTGCAGTTTGACTTGGCCACGGCAAAACACAGCTGCAAACTCACCGGTGGAAACAGACCAATATTAATTTACATTTTTACGTTCTGTGGGGAAATTATCCATTTCCAAGAAGAAACACGGAGGAATGCTTGAGGACTAAATTTAATAAAGGTCCTGAACTTTGCCACTTACCTCAAGAAGAGGTCAACGAACGGGTGAATAAACGAGCATTTTTGTCTTTGCCTGGTAGTTAACCAAAATATAGATAAGGCTGATACTGATGCCAATAATTAGAGAGCAGGTCAGTTAATTGTTGATAACACCATTATCAATATGTTGGTGTCGTTTTGTTTTTGCAGTTGATAGGAAACTGCAGTTTTATGATAACACCCATATTTCCATGGTCCATGTATTATCTGTCCATTTAATTATTCCATTCAATCTAGTAAATGAAAAATGAGTCAATATTTTGTTAATTTGTTTTTCTATATAACCAAAAAATAAAGATTGGTGTTTGTTTTTGTATTTTCAGCTCAAAAGAATATATAATAGAGAAGAAAATGAAATAAATCTTATTTGCAGTTACTGATTTTGAGTGCGCCTGTTTTGAGCACACGTGCATGGAGGCTACATTGGCAAAAGATGAGCGCCAAAATCTTTCGTTGCTACAGAGCTCTGGTTGTCATTTTTTCTATAGTCATATCTTCCTCCTTCAGCGTGACCCTCCTGGCGGCCTTGAATAATACGTAGGATGCGTTCATCTCCATGACAACAGGTTAGCCTTTCTCTACCACTCTGGCCTGGAGTTTTTGGTCCACGTTGTTGGCGACTTTGTTGCGCATGTGCAAGCAGTAGAAAGGCACCGTGGGAAATGGGGACATCAATAACCCGAAAACGAAAAGTAGATTTATCATTTAGTTTTCGTTTCCTTCTCTATTATATATTCTGTTTTGAACTGAAAATATGAAAACAAACACAAATCTTTAATTTTTTGGTTTTATAGAAAAACAAATAAACAAAATATTGACTCGTTTACTAGACTGAATGGAATAATTGAATGGAGAGATAATACACGGACCTTCCATGCACTTTACAATGTAATTTAAAATGTCATCAATAACTGATAACTATTGACTGATATTAAAAGCTTTTTTGTAAATACACCACAAAAAAGATGCTTTTTTCATGGAATCCTGCCTACCCCACTTTTAAGGATAAAATAAATTAGTATTAAAAAGATTTACCCAAAAAATCTGAGTATGAGCAGATAGCATCTTGTACTGTGGTGCGGTTTAACAGTATTTTGATCTAGAAAATGGAGATCAAGTTGCTTGTAGCCTGTGTTTGGTTATACTGGAGCGGTGCGTAACCAGCACAGGCATGTGGACATCAAACTGAGAGAGGTTCTGATGGCTGGTTGTTCTAGCTCTGCTAATGTTCGCGGTAAAATAATCCGACACTGTGAGCTCATGTTAGATAGGACTAATGTGTTCAGCTCAGTTTTGACAGTTTTTCTGAGTGTTTTCTTACCTTTGGACCCGTCAGTAAGTTGGAAGTGAACTTTCTGTCATAACACTTTGGAAATTAGACGCTCTGGCATATCTGTATTTCAGAGCAGGTTTTTTTTCAAAGGACTAGAAAAACAAGGACAAAATCCAAAGTGTCAAGTACAATAAGCAATGTTAGAATAGTAAAATGTTTTTATTTGATGTGTTTTTTTTAATGAAAATGCATCTTCCATCTTGGAAATAAAAGGCAGGAAGAAGGATGAATGGATAGATGCCAACAGTGGGAGCTTGTAAAGCGTCGGGATCAGAGCTCAAATGTGAGTAAAACTCCTCTAAGACGAGGGGGAACATGTTTCTTCTGCTTTTTCTTGTGGAGCCGGTGGTTCCTTTTATTCATGCTGACCACAAGGAAACCACTTAGGACATTGACCTCCGACCTCTTTACAGGATGTGTTTTAACCGTCTGTCTGGAGTCTCTGGCTGATCTTTGCTCTGCCTCCCTTTTGGCCTGTTTCAGGAAATCTGGTCCTTATTGAAGTCTGTACAATAAACCTGATGTCTGGCTGCGCTTCAGTGCTGTAAAACGTATAAAATATTTAATTACCCATCAGCCTGTCACACTCCAACTCTTGGTGTTAACTGTGCGCTGTAATTACTTTTGGCAATATGCTGAGTATCATTTTACAGTGTTGTTAAATTACACCGGGTAAACAATCCATCTCCTGCTTTATCTGCAGGTTTTTACAAATCTGGCATGTTTATATATACCTATGATTAATTTTCCTCTCAAAGTTGCACACAGTGAAACTGTATCCTCTGCACGGCATACTTGTTTGGCATATAAATAAGCCAAATTTCATGCAGATTTTCGACTTACAAGAGGTCCCTGTAAGAGTTTTGGGACTGTAACTGTCTGAAAAAAAAGTTTGTCAAAGCGTGCCAGAAAGGTTGGAGGCAGGACAACTGGCAGCGAGGAAGGCAGTCTGGAAGAATCGGCCTGTGTCAGATCGCTCCAGCTAAAACCTTTTCAATCATTAGTGTGATCTTAACCTTAGAGGAGAAACATGACCTGATTTAACAAGCCGCCACTACTGACAGATAGCTCATAGGGGGATAACCTCTGTCAAAATCAGCCCCAAAGGCAACAAACATGGGAAAAAGATTGTCTCATACGCTGAATGATACACATCACTGTCCAACTGTTGAGGTTTGGGGTAAGGTTTGTCTTGCAATTGTCAAAGTAACCCTCGGTAAGAGCTTTCAGACTAATCTATTAAGCTGTTCATAAAGAGAATTAATTATGATAAAGTGCATTAAAGGAAACTTTCATTTTGTGTAATTTGTCGGCCTG